ACTGTTTCATGTGCATAATTGTGCAGTAAACCAAATGAAGTGAAGAGGACTGCACAAAGGACCCTGGGTCATTTTGTGCTGGCAGTCTACTGTGTACACACTGAACCTGTGCATGTTTGAGTTCCATATAGAAACTACATGCTCACCAGTGACTGTGGGCATTTGGGCACATTTGTGCTGTAAAACCATAGGAGGGTTAAGGCAAAGAAATGTGGCAATGGTTTCTGAAAATGAGCAGAGAACTTCCCTCAAATGATGTACTTTGGGGTATCCAAATCTTTGTCTTTGCTCCACTGGAAATAGGTAGGTGACAAAAGACATATCCGCAGCTCTGGAAGCCCATTTCAGACTCAGCTCTTGCATGATATTATGACTGGCAACCACTTTTGCTGAGCATGATGTATTCTGTGTGCTTTAACAAACTTCTGTGGTTAACAGTTCTGTGGAACTGGACCGCCTCGTGGGTGGCTTGTCTTTACCTTCGTCTGATCCCTCCTCTTCTTGATCGCTCTCTTCGTCATCTTCTACTTCCTCTGCCTCATCATCGAGCCACTCCCCATCATCGCTCCATCCCCCGTCGCTTCCTTCCCCGTCACTGTCCATCTCCGTCACAGGTTTCTTGGGGGTGCTCGAGGCTTTTTTCTCCCCTTTTGATTGCTGCAGTTTCAGTTGTTGCTGCTGCGGCTTTCTGTTCTGCACTTGCTTCTGCTTGTTCACCTGCTGGTGCTGTTGCTGGAGTTGAGCCTTGCCGACCCTCTTGATAATCCTGCAGATGTTTTGTGTACATGGAAACGGAATGATTCATTTACATGTACATGTTGTAGTTATGGAAATTTGGAATGTCACATACCAGTGGACACCAGGCAACATATTTGTAGAGCCAGAAATGTGGTGTCTGGTTAATAGATTCTTCTTATGATCAACTAATTCAACTCTACCTTTGTCGAGATCGACGCCCCAATCGTTTCTCAGTTTCATCTGTTATAAGTAAAAAATTTTAATATGATTGAAAATAACAAACACAAAGCATGCAATACATTACTGAGAAGGCGACAAACTCGTTCTACAAGATGCTGATTACTTTGATACATTTAAAGATACGATTAGAACGATGTAAAAATTAAAGCGGTTTTCTCCCAACAATGTATATTGGTCCATATAACTTTCTCACCTTGGCTTTGAAGAAATTTCGGCATTTCTGGCGCTCCTTGTTTCTTCGATTTTCTACCCGGTCCACGTTTGCCAAGTTCACTCCGATCTTTCTTTCTTCCCATGCTGAAAAGTGTTTCTGTTCCCTAAAAATTTCAAATGTTGTATTTGGTTAAATTTTTTAGAATTCTCACGTTTTAAAATCCACAAGCATGCACATGCGATTTCAACACGTGCAACTTACAGTTTAGCCGGATGCCCACTTGTAAGTTGAAAATTATAATGTACTGTTATTTGTTAGGGTGCAGGTACCGCTCCACCCGTCTGTACAAAATGGCGTCGCTCAGTTGGACCGAGATCGTGCAAGCTCAAAAGGAGAACAGGCGAGAATTGCTTCTTAATGGTCCTCAGATCGCACAGCGAATCGTCCGGTCAGGATTAGATCGTACACTGTACTCACTGGAGCTCTTGAACTATTTAGAAATTGCCGACGCGTCGCTTCCAGACCTGTCAGAAGACATCGGCAAACTCGTGAATTTGGTGAATCTGGTTTTGCGTGGCAACAAATTGTCAACACTGCCCTCAGCGGTAGGAAACCTGAAGGTGCTCCGTCTGCTTGATGTCTCCAGCAATGTACTGAAGACTTTACCAGACGAGTTGGGGGAACTGTCTGAGTTGCACACACTTGATGCCAGCCGGAATGACTTGGAAGGTTTGCCAGAGTCGATCGGTAAACTTCACCGCTTGTCAGTGCTGAATATTTCAAGTAACAAGATAGAATCGTTGGAGCCCTTATGCACTGGTCAGTTGCTGCATCTCAGTGAGCTTACTGGAGTGAAAAATGCCATCACTGTTATCCCGGATACCATTAGCCATCTTCAAGCCTTGAAGAAGCTTGATCTCAGCTCGAACAAGATCGCAGAGGCCCCGGCATCACTCGCTGATTGCACCAAACTGAAGGACGTGCTGTTGACAGAAAACCCATTCCGCGATCGTCGCCTTGGAAAACTTGTCCAGCAGTCGCGGGGCACCAAAGCCACCTTGGATTACATCCGCACCCATGGGACCAAGAAGTCGGCACCAGAGGAGAAGCCGGCAAAAGCCAAGAAGAAGAAAGGACGAAAGAAGGCGGCGTCTACCGGCAGTGACCTCAGTGAGGACTTGGACAAATTAATGCTGCGGGTTCTGAACTTTAAGGACTCGTCGGATGGGGGCGTGGAGGTTATTGTCAAGGAGGGCGTGGCCAGTGTCAGGCCCTTCATTGTGTGCTGCATACTCAGGGATGTCAACTTCCAGAAGGGGACCCGATTCAAACGATTCATCACAGCTCAGGTTGAAAAGCCCAGTTGAATTTAATACACCTTGGGCTCGATATCACATGACTAATAAATTTTAAAATGACTCCAACAATGCTTAATTTAAAACATATGCATCCCCCTCTGAAGATAATTGCAGATCTTCCGCGGTATTTGTTGTAACTATATGTAAACTTATAGTTTTGATTTACAGGAATGAAAGATTTCAGAATTAAGATTCAGATTTAGTGGACTCTCCTTTTTGGAACTTCTTGATTCAAAATACTGTTTATACATGCAGTTCAGTGGTAAAAACAAAGTTGAAATGTCTCACCTCTGAAATGTTCACAGTGCATTTATATATTTTCCTAATGGAGTGTTTAGATATTCACCTTTGTCTGTTTCTGCAGAACAAGTTACATGATGGACCACTGTGTGCCAAACGAACCAAAGCCACTATTGCCACCCATGACCTCAGTCTTGTCAAGTTCCCGCTCACCTACGAAGTCAAAGAGCCAGCAGAAATTCAGGTCTGATGTTTCCCTGGAATTTTTGGCAACTGTCTTGGCATGAAAAATTACAACACTTTGCCACATCATTTTTGAACACCAGCTTGTTTTATTGAGGTTTTACGGTACATTTTATGTCTCGATTCTTGGTCAGTTATTTTGTTTCAGTGTTTGTCTTTCCATCTTTCCAGTAGATCACTCCCCTCGGTCGGAATAAGTGTACATCTGCAGATGCATTAATGACCCAGCTCCGTAAGGAAGCAGACGACTTGCGCAAAGAGAGCAAACGAAACACAGTCTCTGGCATTCACAAGTGAGAAACTTCGTTCCTTGTTTGAAGAAAACTGGTCTATTTTGTAAATGAAGCTACCTGCTTGCAAGGGAAATCAAACAGCAAACTTAAGTGCTTTAATTTGTAGCAGTAATGGGTTAGCTGATGCCAATCACTTCTCAGTTTTAAAGATTGAGACTTCAGTTTTTGGCAGAATTACAGCAGTGACTAGCAAAACTTAACATAACCCTAGAGGTATTCTGCATCCTCGAAAGTCTTTTTAAAAGTGAATATATTTTCAGATTTGCCACAGTTGTGCTCCAACAATGTTCATGGTGAAGGATATGTTGGTTTTGCAATTTTGCATGACTGCAATTGTACTGACATTCAAGTGGGGACTACTAGCATCAAATGGAATAAAAACATGAATAAAACGTCATCTTTTAAGTTCCCTTTCCATCTGCTTGGTGCTTCCCTTATGCAGATATCTGGAGTTGCTGGATGGACACCAGAAGTATCCTTGTCTTTGTGATAGAGAGGGTCAGGTGATCTCCTTTCCACCAATCACAAATGCTGACATAACTAAGGTGAAGGTCAACTTCTCCCTCAAGTCACCTTTTTCACAGCACAGAAGCACTAGGGTGTGTCCAAATTACTTGGGCGTGTCCAAATTACTTGGGTGTGGCTTGAAGGCTTGGAAATACCTTGGGTGTGGCTTGGAAATACCTTGGGCGTGGCTTGGAAATGCTCATTAGTCTATGGCTGTGGCTGCAACCGTTCCCCATAGAGATGTGTGTAAATTCATGCCACAGCCGAGTCATTCAGACTAAGGCTGAGCATAAACAAGCTGAAAACCTGTTGCAAGCTCAGGTACTTTCTCAGTCACCGCAGGTTGGTTGGATTTCTTACAGATTTCCCGCTCCAGCGATCACATCCTCATTGAGGTGACAAGCTCCACCGATTTGGCCGTGTGCAAGAAGGTCATGGATGCCCTGCTCCAGCGTAGTGCAGAGATCCTCCTGGATAGCCCAGGGACAGGCACCGCAGCATCTGATGACCCTGATGAGGATGTGAACCCGGGACCAGCAGACGAGGCAGCAGCTGCAACTGATTCTGCCGGAGGGAGGGAGGTTGGAGGTCAGAGGTCACTGGTTGTGGAACAGGTCCGGGTCAGTGGAGTGGAGGGTAGCCTGAAAGTTGTGTATCCCTCACGCACCGACCTGCAAGACATGACGGATATAAAGGTCATCAGGTCATAGGTTAGCTATCATGTCATTATGCAACAAGTTGTCACTAGGACTCACAAAGTGGCAAAGCTAATTTGTCTAAACCTTGTCCGTTGCCAAGACGTACTTTATGCTTCACAACTCGAGGCCTACTAAGATACCCTATGTCTAGATAACGGTAAAATAGTGACAGTGAGTAGATTGTGGATGTTGAATCTGTGTTTAACGGTGATTGCCTCCACCATCATGATGGATTGAGGCCAACCATATAAATTGCCAACGATTGTTCCTTGCCGATTTCGAGAAAAAAGGATTTTTCTTGAGGCCGGTACAGTATTATTTAAGCTTTACTAAAATGTAAATTTTACTGAAGATTCATTTTTGCAGCATGCATTCACAGTTACAAAAGCGCAGAAGATAAGATGAAGGCAGCCCTTTTAACTTAAGTTAGTACAGTTTTGCCTGAATCCTTACGTTATATCAAATATAACAAACCAAGTACATGTAAATGCATGATTAAAGAATTGTATAAGACATGCAAATAGCCAAGCTTTGCTGCTGTTGGAATCTAAGAACCATATTCAGATATTTTATAGGGTATGTGATGGGTAGATTAGTTTATGTTTGTCTTGTAAATGGCAACAGTTGATGAATAAAATGCTAAAATGCCCCACTGGTTTCTGGTGTGAGCAAGGCAAAATCATGGAGCATGGAAATACTTGTAGGTGTGATGTTCAGATTTCATGAAATTCAGACTCAACGGCTGTATTGTACCTGCTGAAGTAGTCAAAATAAGTCATAGGTGCAACTTCAGTCCAAATGCAGATTCCCCAGGGGTCGAACTTTATTTGACAGTGTCTCCTTCAACTATTCGAAAAGAATAAATCGGAGTTTAAGACCCTTGGCAACATTTTGTGGTGGTTGGTTTTATGAGTTTATAAAAACAAAGACGAGGTGGTAGGACAGTTGCCCGCTTGTTAGTGTGCTGTGAATGTTTCTTTGCATGAGAATTCGCCAAAATCTACTCCCACCTTGAAGTGTGCGACTTGGAACAATGAGGGATTTCCTGAGACAATTATGACTGCTTGGTCAGTCGACAGATTGAAATAATTGAATTAGGTGCACTCTGTGGTGTTTACACGTTTGAAAACAGTAGTGTTGAAAACAATATCTGAAAGACAACTCGAAACATATGTAATTGCTTTGTACCTTATCGAATAAAATGAAATTTTGTGGACGTAAAGTAACTTACAAACCAAGACTCTGTCAAGATAATGATTACGATTTGAAGTTCGGTTGATGCTTACTGTGCACTAACGCAGACGAAACCGCGCCGCATTCTTTTTTAGTCTACAGTATTTTTTTTTCAATGTTTTCGGGAAACTACCATTTGAGATTGTCTTTTTAAAATGTCGTTTTGTTTAAACTTTCTTCCAGCCCCATTGTTGGACTGGTGTAGCCCAGAGTAGGAGTCAAGACAAGGGCCAGAAATACATGTAACACCCGTCCCTTCAAAAACTGGAAATTTTCACACTTTTTGAACTCAACGTTTTCTGTGATCATGATAACTTTGTCCATGTGCTTGTGAAATACCTTTCTTTCAACAATCATCGAACTTGCATTTCACTTTTTCCCGAGCGCGTGTTAAAGGATTAGTGCATTAGATTGAACCATCGTGGAAGATGCATGTAGGAAATAATCTGCCCATTGCTTGATTGCTTTAACAAGACAACGTCCGCAGTCCTGGGCAAAACCATTAGCCTTGACCATAATGCCCGGTAGGCCTGGTCAACAGAGAGTTATCACTCACTACTAACCAATAGAAACCTGTGACCTTGTGAGGTGCCTTGTGGGATTGCCCGGACCTGGGCAAGTGGACGCCAACTGCCCAAAACACGACCGCGACGAGGTAGCCTCGTCGTCTGTTAAAAGCATTTTTTTTTGGTCTCACAGGATGGATTCGGATGATCACTCTGGAAGTCTGTCTTAATGATTTTTTAATGAAAAGAAACCTCGGGAAAAAAACCCGGCCAGGAAGGGATGCATCTTTAGAGGCAGACACGCGTACGTCTGCATCTTTTCTCAGAACAAACGCAAAATTCCAATACAAAAATGCATCCGTGTTATATAAATAGCGCCCTCTTTTATAGCGATTCAGCCTGTAGCTCCGTGCACGTCCACCTACATAAAATAGGCCTATCAATTCACTGAAAAAGTTATAAACAGGTACTAATATGCTACATATTTTGGTAATTCGCGGTAAGTTTGTTTCACAAATAAGATTCGAATTTTTTCAAGAAACTTACGCTATGCTTTGCTACACACTGTGGTCATTAACTTGTCGTATCCATTACACTAAATCTACTGCATGTTTTATTAAAATTCACAGAACTGGGGAGGAAGATAGCTTAGGAAAATTATGAGCGCGTGTCCCTTTAATGACCCTTTGGGGTCATGATAACCCACACGAAGGTCAGTGATCATTCAGTCACGTTCGTTCCGCATGAACTCATAGTCAACGGCTGCTTCATGTCGTACATTTCGTCTATATGTGAAACGCATATATTTTTTAAAGACAGGTAGACTAACGTAAACCTGCAAAGCCAGAATGAAAAATAGCATACGAAGAAATGGGCTTCCAACTTCCGTTTTAACCATTTGATGTTACTTTCAAAATTCCAAGACAGCACAGTTCTGAAGTACTCAGGCTGAACCTCAGCTCAGTACTGTAACGTATACGTTGCTCTTCCAAAAGCAAGTCGATACGCATGCTCAGGACGTTAAAATCGTGGAATTATGGCAGGAAGAATACAGAATTGTTCCATTCTTGTAGGCTGTTCAACGAAATACCGTAGGACTGACGACACAATTCTTTCATGATTACCTGAGAGCTTGATTGATGAAGTTCTTATACAGTCCTATTTGAAGCATGTAATAATCCTTTTTTCTGTCATCTTATGCACAAAATGTAAGGAAGACGTACTGATTGCTTTGTAATCCACTCCTCAAAATTGATAATCAGGCCAGGGTTGAATGTACATGTAGACGCAACCGAACCCAGGCTGTGCCTAGCGCAGAAAATTTGGCGGTCTGCACTGAAAATCTGACGTACGACCTCGCTTGACATCAGAGTGTGCGACGGTTTCTCGTTTTTCGAAGTAGCTAGCACATACATGCTTATTAGTACAGCTCACTTGAATTGAGTACAAATGCAAGGCTCAATCGCTTCCAAATTGTGAGTGCTATGATATTTGTTGGTGCCTAAGGTTCACGGAACCAGCGAAACGGCATTCAATCCATGATTCCAATCTTCTCAGCATGATTGTTTACCAGGCCCCAGATATGAGTGGAAAGGAAACGAAGATAATTTGTTCAGAGTTCATCAATCGGTCGCGGCAAGAACTGTCAACCACGGGGGAGAAATATAACACTTACAACAGGCATCGTGAACATTTAGGCCCAAAGACTGAACCGATGCAACATCCTATGCGCAGTTTAGAATAAATTAAAACAGGTGTTCGCTTGATGATGAGATGCTGTTGAACTTGTCACAGATGTCAATAGCAATCGATATGGAAACAAAATATCGAGCCAATGTTTGGACAGCGGTCTTTGGAACTGCAAATTTCCGGTCTCAGCAGCCCAAATTTATGTCTTATTGTGTATGCGAAACCTGCAGCGAGCAGTGAGTTGAATTTCATCATGCACAAAACCGGTAAGGTTGATATCAGTGTTGGAAAGCATGAGGAATGTCACACACTTGAAAATGGATCGACATATGGTCAACTTGGATCGGCGGATACATTTCCATATCTAGGTTAACCTTTAAAAAACGGTCTTGGAGGCGGAAGCCGCATAAAACAGCCACCGACTCCCCCCCCCCATCTTTACGTTAATAGCTGTTCCTTGGAGCGGTCACGGGGATTGTCATGATCGCCGTGGTTGCAGTAATGCAATCAAATGGGTTTTCGCGCTCCTCCAATCACACACACTGTGGACCTCTGCACCTGTACAAAGGCGCAGGTTCCCGCGGGGTTCAACCAGAGTGCAACACCGCTGCGCTGACGTGCCGGGTTAATGTGTAATTTTTTTTTTCGCTCCTCCTCTTGTGTTTCCCTAAAACCCCGGGACCTCTGAACCCCTCATGCAAGCGCGCTCTCCATCCAGAGCAGTCGCCCAACCAGGCCCTATCGTCACTGGCTGGCAGCTATAAGCCACAAGTTCAGTATCACCCGTACCACCATCTGCCAACACGTACCCTACGCTATTGCGGTCACATCACAATTTCTACACTGTGTGGAGCACCATCTGCAAATGCCCAGCGCAGTCCTGTGTAACTGGACTGAAAAAACCCTGTTTCTTTCGCCGATTCTGTGTGCGGTTTGGTCCATTCAGGAATTTTCCTTGAAAGCATTCGCTTTCGTCTGTTGGAATTATACCTGGCTGATTTTTTTTTTACGGGGTGAGCGGCGACTTAAGTGTTGACAACTCCAGGCAGGTAAATTTGTCCGTTTTTATTCGAAGTATTTTGGTACGTGTGACTAACTGGTTTATTTTCGAACCGAAATTGGCAGATTTTTGGCGGCGTCTCTTGAGAGCTGGTGGCGAAATGGCGACTGCATTTGACGTCAGCGCTGTCGAAACATGGCTGCTGACGGTGGTCTTTGAGGCCGAAAGAGACAGATTTCTGGTTGCTTCGTTGTCTATTCTGTCTCAAAAGGATGAATTTTTGTTTCCATCAGCTTTAAAGACAAAGATGCTTCGATGAAAATGCCGTGTAGTTTTTTTAAAAAGGCCAAAATTTTTGCCAAGGACGGAAGAGTAATTTAAATCACTTTCTGTTCTATTGTGCCAGGCAGGATTTGTGTGAATTTCGGTATTAAATTAATCTAAAAAAATTGATGATCTTTTTTTCATTTTTCAAATGAAATTTACAATCTAAAAAGTTCACTTTTCTTGAAACAGTTTCATTTTATTACCATAAGGCTAATTACAGCCTGTTATACCAATTCTATATTGTGACTGAAATTTAAATTTGCAACAAATGATTATCTGAAGTTGCAGTAAAGGAAAATCAGCATTATTTTTGGCAGTTTGTGAAAAGATCTTGCTTGCCTCTCAAGGAGCACACTAGACGATCATCGTTCCCTTCCCGAAACTGTTTTTGTAAGCGTACTCTGGTTCCGCCACATATCCTGGTAAATGTAGGGGTTTTCCAGTGTTGATTTTGTGAAATATGTTCTCACCTTGATACAGATAATGTACACGACACCATCACGCGGTTACATTAAAGGTATCGTGACGACAGGAATAAAGGCCATTGAATTGGCTTTTGAGAAAAAAATAAGGTGAAATTTTTACCCTACGCATTATGTCGAAGTTGCGGTTTGTTGGTGCTCTACGTACATCTTAAAATTGAGTATAGTTTCAGCATATTTTCTGGTCATTTTTCAATCATAAATTATTGTGTTGTATGATCATTCACACTCACAGATATCTTGAAACATAATGTAAAAAAACGAGATAAGTATCTTCGTCAAATGACACAAACATAAAATTAATGTAAAAAAGTATCGAGTGAGAAAGACGCGAAAAGGAGCTAATGAAAAATCCAACCGATTTTGTAAAGAATAACCAGAAAAAACCACCCCCCCCAAAAAAACCACACATCACCCCAACTCGCTGTTGTAAAATTCACAACGCGTTGAATGCTTCAATGCTTCATTTTTAAATGCTTTGTAATGTATACAAAAACATTTATGGAAACGAAAAAATTGGCGATAGTTTTTACTTCACCAATAACTCGTTCTGCACTTGATGCCTTCGTTGTCATCGGACCGCTCGCATGAATTCGAAAATAAACCACAGAAGGACCTGGGATTCTTAAACTGTTCATTGTCTGGCACACGGCGTCGCAAGGTGAACAGGGCGAATGCCCTTGAGATAGCCTACCGTCTACAACGCGTTTTGGCCCGGCGGCCTTCCGAGCTCTGCTCGGCCGAAGGTCTTTTATACGACGCATTCACAGTGGAGGGGAACGGCCGGCCTTTCCTGTCATACCAAGGACTCGTGTAGTACGCGCATAGGAGCGAGGACCTTGTTTACTGAAAGACATAACCTACTCACCAAAGTCAAAAATATTTTGGTTTCAAAATTTGCTTTGTCTGGCAAAGGCTAATGAACAGGGCAAGAGTAATTTTAAACCACTGCCACTGACTGTTAATATGGGAAAATCTGCACTCGAAATGGGTGTAAACGATCTTAGGTGTACGTGCGATAAAAAACTGAAGCGCAGGATTTCTGAGCATTTCGCTGAATGTCTGTCTTGAAATGCTTGATGGGATATTTTTTCTATCATCGTATTCCATGCACCGAACGTGCTTGCGCGAGAAATTAATGCACAAACGGCGATGTCTTTGTGCCGGCGAGCGTGCCGCACAGTCGTCAAGTCGGTTGCTTTCAAGAATGCCCCGAGCAAACACGCTGAAAATCGTGTTTATGCATGAGACGCCACTGCACTATATAGGTAAAAAAAAGTAATAAAACAGTGTTTACGGTGGCTAGAACAAAGGGCTGCAAAGGAGGGAATAAATCTACACAACATTCCCATTCACATCAAAGCATAAAACACATGCTGTACAAGGTACGACTAGCACAAGAGGCATACTCATCACCAGAGGCAGGCTTATCACATACATGTACATGTACATGTATAATGAAGCCACAGGATTGGGTGCAGTTACATTTAAAGGTTTCCTACTAGGCTAAAAGGTCCCTGGCTCTAAATATGACGTCACATTAATGTACGGTAACTAACGGTGATTATGAGTTATAGGCCTATATGTAGTGCACACACATCTCCTTATCCCGAACTTCCCCATAGACCCACAGCTTGGACCAAATCCCCGCCACTCCAATATCCCAAAACCCCGCACGCCCCCTGTTCTTCCCCACCAGGCAGTCCGCCCTATGCACTCCACCATTTAACCTCCAACGGTGTGCGAAAAAAAAACCATGAATTGTAGAATTCTGTAAAAACAAGTCTTTCGTTGTCCTCACAACATAAAACTCTGTCTCTTCTACACTGTGTCAAAATTAACTACATCGAGTCGCATCTCGAGCCCAACACACATTAAGTTCTCAACTAGAGCACCGTGTGAAATTTCTTCTGCGAATCGCGACGGAAGCACTCTCACCAACAAAAGATATTTCACAGTGTTAGTGCTGGAAACTTTCAGCCACGCGGGTATCATCAAGGGAAAAAGTGTGACATGCAACTGACAACGTGAAGACGTGTTTACTAAAACATACCGGAGTAATTAGAAGTTCAACCAGCAATTTGGGCCAATTAATCAGGAATGAAACTTTACGACATGTCTGTGTGCAGGGTCCTTGCTGACGTGACCAAGGACCAACCAATCACCACAGACCTCGATTAACACTGTAGCATACTGCGATTCCCAAGGCCCTCCCCCTATTCATTCAACCTGAGAAAGTAGCTGTCTAGACATGATTGCGTAACAGCCATGCGCTGCCCATAACAACAACTCGGTGGGAGGGGGGGCACACACATGGAGAACCTCACGAACCCATTCACCTCGAAAATGTTCTGTTAATTTAATGTTCTGTCATGGTTGTTTCCAATGGTGGTGGCGCAAAGACAGGTATAGGGTGCCTACTGGCCGTGGTGGGTATTGTGCGGCAGGATTTGTGGGTAACAGAGAAAAGGGCTGGGACAGAGGTCCTGTTACATCACACGCGCCGCTACCCCGTGGTATCATCATTTAAATTGCTCGTGTTTCCAAGGACGCAGAGATAGGACAGAACGTTAGGAGCGACGCACGTACGCAACCCACACTCTTCGTGGCGTATCTCACAACAGTATTCAACACGCGCTGAAGGTGGTTGACCATTGCTGATGTCCAAGAGCTTGTCATGCATTTTATTTCTCCGAATTGGCTGGAGTGAAATCCTGGATTTTTTGTGAGATATTAAAAAAACGGAACAATGGGTCGCAAGGGCAGATATCTGGTGACTTTGGATCAGCAGGAAGGTAAGGACAGAACGACCGTGTCAAATTCGTGGACAGAAAAAAAAAACTCGAACAAACCAAAAAAGATGAAGTCTTGAGGCGTTTCTTGAACTTGAGGTACAATCGTGATCAGAAACTAATCATCTCATCGGTAAGGGGTAACTGGAAGAAACAGGCTTGAAGAAAACTTGCGGCGTCTGTTACTTTCGTTAAACGATTTGCTAGCATTTTCATTTACAATGTATATCCGCGTTGGGCATATGAATATTAATCGACGCCCTCCGCTCTCCTTTTCGTCGTTCTTTGAAGGCATTTTCTGGATTAACGTCTGTTTCATATCAAACGTGTGTGCATTTCTGCATTTTTAGTCTTTCGCAGGGTTCAGTCATTTTTGCATAAATTCTAGATACTCTTCTTATCCCATGCTCAAATACGTGTCAGCTAATCTTGCTGTTGATAGCATCATGATAATTTCTCACGCGATATTCGAGACAAAAAACGCGCCAAACCGACCGTTTCCCCGTGAGGCCAGCAGTACGGTATATTTCAACCATTCTATTTTAGACACCACACATCACTAGCGACGGAAGCAAATAGCAAAGTATTTCCGATGAACATGTGCCCTTTCAGATGACACCAAAATTGCAAGATTTAAATAATATTTAGACCTTTTATGTCGTTTAGATTTGGGATAAATCAATCTCCAATGCAAATCATGCCCGGGTCCATCAATATATAGCAATTGTGGTAACCGTCCTAGTACCCAATTATGATAACAAATTGCAAAATGACACTGCTGAAAAAGCTTTTTTGTTTCGCCCTTTCACATATTTTCCAAAAATTACAAAAAAATTCTCATTTGGTAGTCCAGGCATGAGCAAAAATAATTTATATAATTTTGATGCAAGACCTCTATCTATTTGAAGTAGGGCCTACATTTACTTCCGCGAATTCAGCACTACACTGACACCAACCAAGCGACCTTTTAAAATCTAAACTCTTTGGAAAACTAGCCTAACTCATCTTCCCACAAAATCGCTATTCATCTGTGACGAGTTTGAAACCAGATTTGTTTCATTATTTCATTTTCAACCCAAACCGCAATGAAAATATATGCCACAGCGTGTCTGCAATTACTTCATGAGCATCCCCCATGGCCAGAGTCAATATTTTGACGCTTTTTGGAGGACTGTTTTTCCTCGAATTTTCACAGTTGCTAATTTCCACCGGTGTTTTGCGGTAGGTTCACCAGTGCACATTGGGTACAATGGTACATGTACATGTACAGTACATGTACACACAAAGACACAGCGTGTTTTCGTTGGTCAGAACCTGTTTTCATGAAGCGCTGCCAACGGCGCGCAATCGGTTTACGGTTTGTGTCATTTAAAGGGGCGATCTGCCTTGCTTCTAAATGTTTGCCAGATTCCAGGTAGCGTGTTTTCTTCACGGGTAGTTTCTGTAATGCGTGTTCACCGTTGTTTGTCCAAGAACCTCACCACCACTACTGTAGTCTATTTTTCGACCAGCTTTTTGCTCTTCGAGGTAGCACGCCCATAGAAACCCCCTTCAAAAGCCATGTAATCTTCTGCTGTGGGCACTGAATTAGAGATTATTTTCGCGTTATAGTCATGGTGCATGTATTCCGTAAGGCCTTCAAAATTGTCAATTTACAAGTATTCATTTCTAATCGTAATAGTGGACTTAAACTTAAATTGTACTTTGAATTGCCCTCTGACGGGGTTAATAAAAAAAGATCTTTGGATAGAATGAAACAAACTTTTTAAAAAACGAAACTTCAAATTGGTTATACTTTTATTGCACTTTCAGGGAAAATTTTTTCAAGCGTGGAATAGTTGACACGTTATCATAGCTTTGATCAATCTTTGATAAAAGTATATCCTGCAATAAAATATTATTTATATAATATTTATATTTTTCTAAAGTCAGATAGGCATTTATTCTCTTAAATATAGTATCAATATCATTTACGGTGGATTTTTGTGGCCAAAATAGAAATACTTTATTCATGTCTACTGAACTCCAAACTTGCCGTCTCCTCTTTTATATTTGCTCTGTCACACAAGGGAGCAGTCGCCATAATTCACGTGCTTCACAGTCTGAACCGAATCTGAATCTAAAACTTCTTTCCCCATTTATTTCAAGGCCTCAGCCTTGAGTGATACTATTAAAAGAAAAAAGGAAATCTTTAATTTTTTTTTCAGTTTCCCATGCACCGAGCTGCTCATAATTATCGTTGCCCCAGATTTGCATGTCGGGCCTCTATGGATACGGGAGGTGACAACGGGTCACGTTGCCCGACGGACAAGGAAATTATGGGTTTGTTGAACTAGGAATGAAAGAGAAACGGGGCGAGAACTCGGTCAATGTGACAACAACAATGACATGACAACTGAAAATGAGAACTCACGAATACACGACTCGCTATCGCATCTTGGCAGGAGGTAGCGCTTTTGCGCGTGCGCAACGACTCATTTTTATTCAACCTTTCTGCTGTTGCACATTTAGAAACTGCTTTCATCTCGGAGAAATATAGTGTCGGCAGTTTGGTCTGTACTCACAAAAAAATTGAGCAAACACAAAGGCCAGTGCAGAAAGCAAAATAAAACAGCAAATTTTACTTGTCTGTTCCGTTTTCACAGGCAGAACCATGCAGCAACCCGAGGCCACACCGGTGGACAGACATAATGATACACGTAGGGAATATATACCGGAGGACCACCTGCCAACTAGTTTGTCCACCGCGGTGCCTAGCGGTCTTTCCCGGCTTCTGCAGGATTCTCCCACCGCTTCGCTGGCTGATCGACCCATCACCACCAGCGCCACTCCGGTGACTCCGCCCTCCCAGTCGGCTTCTCCCCGGCCTTTGATCGACCCCAACGCGGCCGGCACGTGCCCGTGCCGGACCCCCGTCTTGCTGGACATGTCGCGCTGCGAGCAGACGGATTTCGACCTCTTGGACTGGCTCAATAAGTCCGTCATGCTGGTCAAGACCGTGCCGGGCCTGTCTCCGTTGCCCCGGGCCGACCGAGCGCTGCTCCTGGCGGCCGCGTGGAAGGAGCTGGTCATCCTCTACATGGCGCAGAGCCAGTTTGACTTTGACTATCTAATCCCGCAGGGCGGCCTGGACGAACTGGCGCAAAAAATCTCGGGCCCCGGCTCGATTCCCGTTCGGCACGGCCAATGCTGCATTCACTGGAGCTGGATCGAGGGAATCCCCACCCTGCGGAGCGTGGAACAATTGAGGTTTATCCTTCACAAGTTTCGAGAGATCAGGCCAGACGACAAGGAGTACGCATTGCTCCGGGTGCTATTACTGTTTAATGCCGGTAAGTCTGACCCCCGTGTCGAAGTAAAGGTAACACGCCAAGTGTGAAAACAGATTTGCCCGCGCACCCATGATGAGACTACAAGAAGTCACTACCGCTAGCCAGTGATTACCATAAGCGCATGTGTTAGCTTTAGCCGCAGACGTAAGAAATAGTTAAAGTCTGGGACTGAAACTAAATGAATCAGGTGTTAAAACGGATCCCTTGGAGAAAATACAGTGTTATATTGGTATTTTACCATCTGTGTTGAATTAGTCATTGTTACGACAGCTGGAAACGAGCCATTTTCGAAAAAAAGTATAAGTTTGAGCACTGCAAAAGTGCATAGACCTTTGAATAATTTCTGCTACGACACTGCATGCCATTCTACAACTTTATTAAAGGATTCTATCTACGATCACGATTAGAGTGCATATGAGTGGAGTGAACGTGCCAATTCAGCCTCTGTTGAGGATTTGCTACTGACGATGGTATTTCCCTTCCTTCTTCTTTTCCAGATCTCCGTGGTCTGAGCAACTCACCGGCCGTGGAGGCAGCTAACGAACGAGTTCACACCGCGCTGATGGAGTACGAGAACGCCTGCTACCCGCGCGATCCTCTCCGCCTGTCCCATCTCCTCCTGCTGCTGCCGGGGGTCCGCGGATTCAGCGCCAAAGTCTTCGAGAACCTCTTCTACAAACACCTGACTCGAGACATGAACGTTGAGGGCGTCCTCAGGGACATGCTCAGGGACTGACCTTTGGCCCGAGGTCGGGTCCCTTCGCTGCTTCACTTAATTAGAACCGGTTTTCCAGAGGCTGTGCATAGTAACGAGACTACAAGTGGACTTTCTGAAGGCTCTTTGAAATATGGGTCCCCGCTCCATTAACAAGATACTGGCTGCCATTCCATCGGACGTAGACCTACTCGAAATCCCGGATTATTCGGAAAAGAAACACTCAAGAGGAAGGTCATATACATCTTCGGATGACAGTTTTAAACTTTTGTATTTCCGAGACAACCCCTGTATAACTTTTATTGTTTTTATGTCTGAAGATTTAAAATAAATAAGTAAATACCACATATTGGGCTGGACTCTGGAAGAAACAACGCTTGCTTTCAGTTTCAAAATTTCGAAGCAGATGTTCTAGCAAAACGTCTGAAACAAACATGACAAAGACATCCCTCACTGTCGGCCAAAACAGCTGCAATCACAGGGCTATCTTCAGTGTATAGGACCTTACATGAAGGCGCCATTTCAATTGAATGAACACAGAACACAAATTCCATTCGATGGCAAAGCCCATGTATGCTCGTTACATTAATTACTGGCGCGTCACACCAAGTACATGTATATTAGGGGATTTAGCACACATATAGGGTATAGATTTACCTATATTCCCTGTAAGTATACTAAAACTATAGTTGTCTGGGCTCTGACTCCTGACCCCTTCTTTAGTGCATTACCAAACTGGCACCCGGTAATACTACATTGGCTGGTGCGCTGACCAAAGCTGAGCTGAATGGCCTATTAATGATAAACTGCATGCATTGGCATCTATTACCATACCCTTCAAAATGGGGGGGGGGGGAGTGACCACAAGCCAGCTTCCTGAAGGCACCATCCCTGTTCCATCCCTACCGATCGACTCCCACAATGTCGTATTTGCAAATTACAACTTTACATAAGACTAGAGGGAAAAAAGGCGTCGAGGTTACTATAACCACAGCATAAAATGCTCTGTTTATTCCAAAATCCGGATAATAAACAGAACCAAAAGAACTTAGATTCGCGGATGAGTTTCAACACTCAACGTGGGACGTGTTTTCAGCCGCCCGTGTCTTTTGGTGCCTATGTCTGTTGGTACACGTTATAACTAACGACATTCACTTGCGGAGTGCTATCACCATGTAAGATTAGTGAACAAAATCGATTTCCTTGGAATCCAAATTTCACATTCAATTTTTACCCGTAACATTTAACTAATGTACATAGTAGGCCGGATTCCCGGGTTAAAAATTTTAAAACTGTGGCTCGCAGTATCGACGTAGTGACAAGAATAACAAATGGTACGGCTATCATTCGATATGTACTCGGATGAGGCTGATGAACCCGCGGTACGCCGAGTTAGGGTCTTTGGCGCGCTAAATACAAGGGGCAGCGTATTCTAGTATGACAAAAGTATACCATCTGAAGACGTATATGCTCACAGTCGACGTTTCAATCAATATGAAATGGTCGTCTTCAGAGACACGACCTTGGAATGGCCACAAATTTTGTTTGGCGGCTACACTTCCGTTTAGTCCGCCATTCCAAGTCTGAACCATAATTATAAACTGGAAACCACTGACCTGTTTTTTTCCTTGAAACCATCAGCCTGGTCATTTGATTGAGAGTTTATTTGTGGCATTCCATCCGAAAAAAATACAAATTAATTCCAGATTGTGTGTAAAGATTCACAGTTTGCGCTACTTCCCGTTACTGATTTATCGACATAACTTTATAGTCCAGACGACCTGGCTAGAATTGAAGACCTACTTTACTGAAATGGTAACACGTGCTCTATTATGACCTACTGAAAAATTGCTGCGCTAGTCAGGTTTTATAGAAGCAATAATGCAAACGTGTTCTGCCATGAAAAAGTCTAAACAAAAAAATCAATGATTTTTCGTTGGTTTTTAGTATGCATAGATAAGCCAAATATAGACTACTTATGTTTGCTATGTTTTCAAGTATTAGAACTTAACACCGTCATCAGGTATTTCAAGGGAACGAGCTTGCCACGTTTAGTTCATAGTGTCGTTTGAAAAAACAGTTCGGTTTTAATCATCGTAATCTTTTGTTGCTCGTCATGAAATGATGAAGACAGACTCTAAGTTATTGATTGTTGTAAATGTGTTCGTTTTATCGCGTAAATAGGATAAAAAAGATCAGTGTGAAATGCATGAGAACAAAAAACAAAAAAACAGAAAAAGCGAGCATCGTCTCGCGTTGCGGCCATCTTGTCTTGTTACCTGTGGTCTTATATGTTTTAACAGTATCTTCAGGTCCTGAGTACACGCTGTTCAACTAAATTTAGGAAAAATGGCTACACTATTTATTTTGGTCGTCAACTGCAATTCAAACGTTCAAAATAGTTACAATGTAGCGATGTACGCCATCTTAAATTATCTTTTCCGTTGTAATATCGGCTTGTCATTAAACGCTGGACTTTTTGTATCAAATACAGAAGCCAGAAATGGAAAATCGAGAAATACTTGTCTGTTGTGTTGTTTGAAAATGTATGACATGTAGGTATGCACATTTGGCGATTTTCGCATAAGACATGCGCATTTTGTCCTGAATATGACCAATCATACAGCAGAGATCGTTTTTAACGCGAGAATCAGCTGACAACCCTCGACCACCAACAGCCTAGGTCTCATTTCTGACAAACAACTTCGACAGGCTGCCATACAAAGTCGAATAAAATTTGCATGCACACAATGATAGCGAAACGTATGATACTCACTGGAATGGAAGAACGCCGAACAGGCTTCAATTTTAATTCTCACATCACAAACATCACAGTTCAAAAAATGTAATTGAATTATACATGTATATGCAAAGAGGTGACGTTCATTTCGATGCCAAATCGAAGGCAGTTATTTTCCAGACATTCATTGAAGTTAGGTGACGTTAATCATTCGTTTCTGCGGCATTTCATTTAATCTCTTACGGGTATCGAGTTGACAGGAATTTGTCACTGGTTTCTATGGATTTGGTTAATTTTTCAGTCGAGACTTCTGGTTGCCTTTTTCCTTCTCTTTAATTTCGAGACATGATTCCCATGGCGATCTATTTGTCAGAGGCTATCAATCCCAGCAGAACAACTTTTGAGGGGAATAGAGAGGAGAATCCATGGAAATCCATGGAAATCAAAGTCTGTTGACGTACAGTACTTCTTTGGGTTTTACTATATGAATTTTTCTTACCTTTTCCAAAGAAACGGATTGATTGAGAATTTCGCTGCATTTTTCAAAAAGCACGGTTTCTACAGCTCTCTGCTGAAGTTATCAGAAATGCCATTGTATATGAATTGACTCGGATATTGTTCTGGCCCGTTCCCACAGCTCTGGTCCTGCTGTTAAGGGTAATTTAAGTTGACTGACGGAGGGGTCCTGTGACATGCGCCGTTTGTCTCAACACTTCACCCCTTGCGCTAACTGTCGGTATGCAAGGGAGATAGGGGCGGTCTGGTGCACATCACTCTGTGACACCAAAGTGCAAGGCTTGCTCCATAGTGCGTTAAAGACTTCTGACCCACGGGACTATGAAGCCCATTACCAGCACTCACGTCGAGCTGTCATAGTTATTTCTGGCGCGGGCCGAGCATTTTAGTTGAGTTAAACCATATGTGACGGAACAAATCGATGGCGTGGAAAGGGGAGGGGGAAATTTACGGCAGTGTGTACGTGAACGAGAGTATGAGGTCACGAAGCCAATTCACCAAAGAACTTGAGTAATATAACATCTTTTGTGTAAACCACTTTCGTTCGCCAGTAAAATAACAAAAGAACAAGACTTAGGCTGCATCCGAATCTGTTCTCTAGAGCTAGGTCTACACTCCATTGGAAATGCGTGGAGACGCGCAGACAATAGACCTAGCCGTAGCTCTGGAAGCCCGTTTCGGACACGGCCCTAGTATGCATAGCCTACAGAGGGTAGGTCCCATACCGAAAGCGATCCTAACTGAAACATCAACGGAAAACCAAAGGGGAGCTCGATTGGTAAAAAAATAATTTATCCACAAAGGGAAAGAAAAACACGGCTGACAAAAAAATCAATACCGTTGCGTGGCCGTTCGCAAGAAGTACAAACAACCGCAGATATGACCTGACCCAGATCGACTGATAAAACGGAAGTCATGAGAACGGAAAAAAATTACCACAAAACCATAAATATCCTTGGCCCTTGCTCGGGCCACAACACCCGGCGGCCCGCCCGGGCCGATAAATTGTGGTCTGGGCTGACAAATGACGAGTCGGTGGGCAGCTGCCGGTTATTATGCGGGGAGACCGAAGCGTGTGGCCGCGGACCCGGACTGTCTGGCTATAGCAAGTAGTATAGGCTGGTGCGCTGATGGACCGTGGCCGCTGGTTGACCGTGACCGTGCGGTTGGCGCGTGAACGTGAGGTCGTGACGGTGAGCGCGCAACCGGACCGCGCTGATGGGCGGGTATCACACGCGTGGAATGGAGGCGAAGATGCGTGAAATAGTTGCCGGGTGTGTCCGGGTCGGAGAGCTGGGAAATCATCAAGGGTGATGGAGAGCGGGAAACAGGATTCCAAGTGAATCACCGTGGAAAGGCTGAAACTTTCCGCCGAACACAGGCGAGATTTTAGGGTCGCTTTAGGATGGAGTACCCATTTCCTGAACTGCGAACTTTCAAAAAGCAACTTTATTCCCTGTGCTTAATTGATTCATACCCGGTTCAAATAGGTTACCGTTCTTCGGCACGAAAACCGTGCACGGACCACGGAGAACAATTCAAGTTGTGCGTCAACTGCCAGTTCCACGTTTCTATGTAACTCTATATGCAGTGGGCGTGGTTATAACTGGTGACGTCACACTTACGAACCGAGAAAACCCCGTGCTTTGAAGTGCGACTTATTTGACGAAGTATACCGACAAGATACTCATGTTTAAAGAGACAATTCTGGCACAATGTTTCTGATTTCTACAACTCGCATTCCATTCCACAACCAACTCTAAACTTCTGCAACGATCTCATTTTTCAAAAATAAAATGACAATTCGCTCACAGCCAATTGTCATGATGTGGAGCCACAATTATCCACTGATATCGTTAACGATTGACAAGGAATATATACTGGATCGTTGTGTTTTACAGTACTTGAAAGGTCGAACCGGTTCACCGCTAGCGTCATAAGCTATGAGTGGTGATGGGTACGTTGCCCGTGTAATGTAAAACATGACCGCTTTCTTTTTCTTCCTGCTGACGCACTCATGTCACAATGAAATCACTCTTGTGTATCAAAAGAAAAACGGTTATCTACGCAAGTTACCCAAACAGGGAAAGAAATGAGGTCTTGTCAACGTGGTGTGTATATTTAGAAGCTTATCTGGCACACAATCGTTTTTTCAGATATCGCGATTGGAAAACGATGCATAACGATGACGTTGCAACATGGGTGACAGCATAAAGTGACTGACTTACAAAACGAGTGAACTTCCGGACCAGGACTTCATTGGTTCCATCATGGAATGGGAACTAAGAATAATGCCAACAAGAAAAGTGACACAGCGTTGTTTTGTTTTCTATTTTAACGGGGTCCGCGACGCAAGTGAATATGTTACAGAGTTCACTGACAACAACGGTGGGAAATTATAAACAAAATTACCGGTAATATTGGCTGCAACAACCACCAAACTGTGCCAAGTCCACCGTTTGTGTGGCTTTTTTTGGGGGGGGTGTCCTCCGTCATGAATTCCTGTCTTCTTATGACAAGGGGGGCACTGTTCAGCATTGGTCGTTTATTCTTAACTAGGCCTACGGAAAATCTAGAGCCGATTTCATGCGTAAATCTCTTCCTCGCACATTCAATACAGAGATTTACTTTGCGTGGACTCTGTTTATGGTAAACAGTCAGACATCAAACTGATCAAATTAGGTAGAAAAAATCGTGCTATTAGTTCTGCATCTTTCCTGTGTTTCCTGCTGATGTTTCGTATTACCACTTATCTTTTTGGGGGTTGGGGGCTACTGTCAATCAATATCTCAAGGTACCATGATAGTTTGTAACGTGTTATCAAGAGGACTTCTATGGGGGAACAGGACTTGTACTAAAGCGATAAACAAACAAGACCGAAGAGTCAGCCTTGCCGGAAGCACGTGCATAGAACCGTCGGCCGACAACAACGCGAAGGTAGGGCAACAGACGGTTAGTATATCGGTATTCACTGCTCTGTCGCCGCAATGGCGCCGTTTTCAGGCAACAACCCAGGCAGACAAGTCCTGACAAGTCTGATATGTCACTTTTATGAATCTATGACCAGAAAAATGAGTTCAATTATCAAGGAAGCCGGTTTTAATGGCAGTGATGCCGATTTTTTGGTATTGAATAGTTGCAGAATATTCTAATTTGCTTTCTTACATAACATTGCCATGCATTATAGGCGTACATTATTTCAACGCGCACTTCATCATTTGACGCGTACGTCAACGGGAGAACTTTACAAGCAAGTACAGGAAAACCCACAGAAAAAAACGACCTCATAAAAATTTCACACAAGTCAAGGCCGACAGTGACGTACTTAGAAATTGGAATTTCAGATATAAACTCGTCGTCAAAAGTGCGAATTTCAGGTCAAAATAACAGATTCCCGGTAATTGTCGCTGCGGGTTGACCTGGGTCAAGTCGTGTCCGTTAGCCGTGACCCAACCACACAGCGAAGGTCAAGAGAGGTTCATAGAGGTCAAGGGGTCAAATGCATAGGGAAAAAAATAGAAGCCTTCGTGTGTCCGGGGGAAAGTTAACCCTTGACTCAGAATTCACGGTTCCAACTTGGTAAAAGAGAAAAAAGGACTGTATAATACATTAATGATTAAGATGAAATCGTGAAGGAGGTAACATTTCGTAAACCTGCCCTGTATCCGTACTGTCGTAGTTGGAATTTAGAGTTTCGATTGCGTGCAATGAAACCGAGAACCAATTATGGTTGTTAATCAACTGAAGGCTTCGATGTGGACGACATTACACGATATTGGTCGTTTTATAGCACGGTGCCGTGTTTAGAGAAACCATGATTATCCTAGAGGTACACTGTACAAAATATCTGCAATTTTACGGAGAATTTTTAACAGATCTGCATTGTTATCATTTTTTACATCATTTTTGATGTTGAAATTACAATTTTGTGCTACATTTCTGTGTTTTAACGCAGTTTTGTGTATTTACAGAGTAATTTGTAAAAAAATAGAAATAAAGGCTGGCCAATATTTACAAATCCAGAGCTTGCAGCTTAGGCCCTAAGTGATGGTTTAAAATGACAGCGATACGAGCACAACAGTGACAGAAATATAAAATATTAACACATCTATATTTTGTAATATTATTCAAGGCATGCCTTTGGATGTTCAGGCCTCGGGCCAGTCCTCACGATTTCTTTGAGGGATGGAAGTAAACCAACATTGTAGGTTGAACTTTAAAGCTTGAGGGGCAAATTATCATTCCTCGAAATTACATTCATGAGTCACTGTATCTTAATTTTCCCAGGCAGATTCAAGCCTTACCCTTCACTTTAAACTACCCTCGTCTGCACCGTGCACGGCTATGGAACCGGATGGATATTACCGCCGACCGGCTGAGTTTTAATAGGAGTCTTTCTGGAGGGAAATTCACAAAAAAATGTCTGCACTGAGCGTGCGCACTACGAGACATTTTATCTCGGTGAGGATTATGCGCTCCGCCGGATTACATGTGCATTGTTCCGGTGCGAGCCATGAATACTTTTGAGACTAGTCGCTCTCTATAAGCGCTTTAACCATGGAGCCCTAAATATCAGCGAGCTGGTTTATAGTCGTCTGGTTTCCGAGACGTTTTAATGTAAAGGTTGTTGGGAGGTCAGTCAGGAAAGCTGGATTCGGTATCAACTCAAAGTTTTCTTTTCTGATGGTTAAGCTGGGCATTAACCTGTTGAAATTAGTCTCGGATGAATCTTCAATGTACACGATTAAAAAGGAAAGAGATAAACCAAACAGTATAAACAGAAAAAAGGGAACTAAAACACACACTCGATAAAACCAATCACATAAATGCAGAAACAAAGGGGCAAAAAAGAAAGGCAAAATATAGCATCCAGACGATGAAATAAATATCCAGATAAAACTAGAGGAGTCCAGCTCCCTTCCAAAAACAAAATATCAAACAAATGACTAAATGTACAGATTTTTTTAAAAATTTCTATTCCCATTGCTAAGCCAGCTTAAAATTCCCGGGGAACGGGTAACGGCGTTGTTGAACCCTCTCGTAATGGCAAGGTCAAGTTCTAGATCTTACAGTCTTCACCAACCTTCAAACAAAGAGTCCCAGCCAGCATAATGCAGGCTGAGCACAGGGTCAACAAGATTCGGGACGACAGCGACGACTCGCGGGTTAGTTTTGGTCGAGGTTGATCCAAATTTCCCCACTACTGCTTTGCGCTGGGGTTCACGGTCCCTGAGCAAGAGGCAACACGGACTCACACCCACGGACCTATCGCCTGTAGCACTGTGCTACCCAGGCTACGAACGAACCAGCGAGAAAAAATGCACATCATTTTGGCGCATGGTTCCGTGCAAGAAGATATTATGACCGCGCGTGTAATATTAAGACATGACAAAGACATTGTGCATGCAAAATGCGCCTCATCGTCGATTTTTAAAATTGGTGTACACTCCAGACACAAACAGCTGACCCTTGTATAGATCATTATTATGACAACAGTGACTTTCTTCTTCAATAATATTAACCTCACGAAAATAATTCCATAGCTATCCCAAAACAGTCCCGTATCCTCCGATTCCATTATGATTTTACACACACTCCAGGGACATAGGGTTAAACAATGATTGCAGTTTCTGTGCAATTTTTTTTTTTTTTTTTGGTTTGTGCAAATACTGAAGGTCATTAACAAAAGGAGACTATCGCGTTGCATTTGTTGTTTGAATAAGCTGTGCCTACGTACACGTGAGAAAGACCTTATTTTTGGAGTCATAAGCACGTCAACTGCGACCTTCAATGCAGCGAACTTTAGATTTTGACCGCTTACAAAACGCAGAGCAAAGAGTGAAAAATATACATTGACAGTTTTTTTTCCTACTTATGATCGGGCGGGACCCGAAGCACTCGACCAGGACGTCATTGTGTGGCAGCGATGTACCAGGATTTGTCCAGATTGTGTACTCAAGTCAAACCGAATGGCTTTCCCCCTAAGTTTGATTCATACCACTGCTTTTGTGGTGCGCAGTCACGGGGAAAGGTTCAATTACTTCCCGGCACATTGTATTCGACACAAGTGCCAGGAAGACGAAACGATAAAAGTCATGACCGGTGTTGGTTTTGAAGTTCTGAAGCGTGCGGGACCCGTAAAACGTAGACCTAACTGCAAGTTCCCAGAGCAACTTGGATTTTATTTGTCAGTTAAAGTCTTGTTTTTTTTTTTACTGACGAAAGCGACTGAAATTTTTTATGATAGAAAAAATAGCGCGAGACTGGCGCCGATAAAGGTCAGACGGATTTACCAAAAAAGCAAACAATTGTAGATGTTTGCTTGCTCCAAGTTGTCGTGTCGTCCTGTTGCTACCTCCTTTATGACAACGACTAATTCCTTGGGGCGGCTTTACAAAACGGTCATAAAAAACCTACTGCAACTCTGGTGCCAACCAACAGAATGACTGCACAATGAATAGGATTCATCGGTCTTCAGGTATATTTTCATCAGGTGGCATAACTGCACGCACTTTGAGCTACAAAAGCGTTTACATGTAAATGTTTCTCCAAGCCGTGACACTTTCTCTCAGTTAGAGCTCATTCATGCACAGGGAAGCCTGTTTATGGTGTTCCCTGAATCTATCCTACTCAATGTAATCTATGAACATGAGACATGAGGGTGCCAGACTACTTCACTTTCATTTGTTAAAACATCTTATTCATCAGCGTGAATGACATTAATTTGTAATGAATTGTATTTCACGACTCTGGTTCTACTCTCAGGTTTTATGTCAAGGTTCAGGTAACAAAAAGTAAACTTTGCTTTCGGCCTTTGAATTAGGTATTCCCCTATCTGAGTTACAGTCACCAATCCACCCTCAACTCATAGGCAAGGCTGAATTCATAGATTTCCTGAACGCATACACTGACTATTAAACACAAAGATGCACTTGCTTAGCAGGAATAGGTTACCAGCTAAACTATCATGGAAAGGATATGTGTCTGGTGACAGGTTTCCTGCTAATACTTTGCTCAGCCTGGTGAAACATGTCGTTTTGTGCTCAAATATTGGGCAGGATAACACCAAAGTGAATAACAAAAGATCTCCAGTTTAATCTGGGCAGAGATTCCATGTACATGTACTTAAAAATTCACTCTCACGATTCCAACAAAATTACTACAGATTATGATGAGCCTCGAGCTGGCCCGAGAGGGCGCTATTTCCTTTGCAACAGAGACTCCTTTGGTCGGAACTGAACTTCGCTGGTTCACGAATGACTAGGAAATGCACACGTTACGGTTGCATCGCTACCAACAAAATGCATACTCCCGACCAATATGGCTCTTTTCAACCGATGAGGGGGTGCTTCTGCTAGAGGCGAAAAGGATTGCTCAATTCATTTCACAGGCCTCTAGAGACCGAGTTTGGTACTGCACCTCCATCCATTAAAATACATCGACAATTTCCCTTTTTGGTGCAATCGAACCGAGTCATAAAATTTAACTAAGCATGAAAGAAAGATCAAAGCAGAAACTCAAACAGGAAATGGGATTGTATTATTATTTACGATAAGCGCATTTTAATGTCAAAGACCAAAATGAATTGGAAAATAGCCCCCCCCGATATTTTAATTAAAAATAGCACAAAAGCCTGGATGTTGCTATCAAAGTAAACTGAAACACGAATTGGCGCACACTGGCTTTCGTAACTTTTTTTACCCTCTCCATTAAAAAGAGTGGCAATCCACTTGGAGTTTTTTTGGAGCACTACTGTTCTTCCTTGATCAAGTGGATATAAATAAACTGCAATAAACATCAACTAACTGTTTAGGTCCCATCTCAATGAAACGGATAAGATAAGGGTCAACTCAGCTAAAACCGGATGTGGACATATGATAACTGTTCTTCCTCTACCACTAAAACAGATATTTTTGTTCCCATAAGCTATCTGTGCGTATGAAATAAATGATTGATTTAAAGACTTGTCCCTGCACGGAAATGTTGGACGCGGAGACAAATTCGGAGACAACAAGCACGGCTACAGAATCACTTTTATGCCAAAGTATGGAAAATGCTCAGTGGTTTAAAATAAAAAGGACCCACTTGATGTTTTTTTTTCTTTTAGATCCTTCAAAACCAAGCAGCAGGTTTGAGAGGATTTTGTAGGATTGAGGAAGGTAGAAACCTAGCCTCTGTTACTTTTCCCAAGGCATGAGGCCCCACTGATTTTGTAGAGGTACAAGGATAACGCTGTTGGTGTGGTGTCGATAGGGTTGTGGATTATGTAGACATTGGGTAGATCCCCAGGCAATCTGTCGAGTGAGGCAGTGTCAACAAAGCGACACTGGTCCCGTAGGAATTTTTGGCGCCACCTGTGAATTTGCGCCATACGCGTATCCACAGCCAAGAGAACAATGACCACTTTTCCAATGATCATTTTATTTACTAAATTGAATACGCAGTTACCTGCTGCTTGCCTGCGAGAGCTCTCTATCTCTTTGGCCAGTGGTGTTTGCCTCGGAAATTCCTGCAAAAATGAGACGAAAGGAATCAGATAAAAAATAATGATGAAAACATCTTTTATTCACTGCAGCAAGAGGGCGGGGTGGGGGGTGGATAACAGCTGTCCAAAGACCCAAGACCAAGTCTATTTGCAGTTGGCATCTGACTTATTTCTGGCTACATTATCTTGCAAGTTTTGACCCGTCCCAGCAATGTGATAAAAGTGAAGAAAGGACAGCACAGGTTGGCTAGACACAAACGCTTTTTTAAAATCCAACTTGGAGCCTGGGAAGTACTGTCCAAATAAGCAAAGAAGACAAAGATGGACCAAGACCCCAATCAGTCAACACTGGCTCCTACACTCAAAATGCAGGTCTAGAACCAGCACTGACAGATTCTGACTTCCTTCAGGAAAGAACGTTTGTCATTGGTTCATTTAATATAAGTTGCATACCTTCCTCCGTCGTGCTTTGTGTACGTTACACTGTGTTGTCCAGAGCCACGAGGCGCCTTTGGTCGCCCCTTGTTCTAAATTAATTTTTAAAAAAAACAAAAGGTTTATTATTACAAGGAGGCTTTTCGCAGTGCATCCTGGGAAAAATCCAGTGTCCACAAACAACAAATGGTATTTTGTTTGCACGCTTTGTATAAATTTGAATTTCACGTGTGTGGCAATGACAAGCTTCAAAGTGTATTGTGTAGAGGTGCACATCACGTACAGGGTCATATTTTCAAGATATTGACCGTTAAGTTACAAAGCAGCCCTTCCGTGGCAAAACTTTGGTTACTGTGATTCTATGTGATTCTACCTAGAAACTTCCAGTTTTTGCCAAGGGCTAAATGCCCAAGAGCTCTACAACTGAGAGGTACATGTACTAATGAACTTCTTCAGGAGACGATAACAGTAAAGTGTCTTGCTTAAGGACATCTCTTGTGTTTTGGTTTTACATTCTCCTAGGCTCAGTCACTGTCATGTTTGTGATAAACTAGCGCCTTCCATTACATTAGTATAGATTTTCATTCATTCAAATAGATTTATATTGCCTCTAAACCATACAACGGTCACTTGCCACCAGTCAGTCAGAGCTGAAAACGTGACTCAGTTGAGTGATGAAAGTATCTTCTCTGTGAATTTCATGCAAGTCCGGTTGACCAGATTTGTAACATGCATTACTCCTGAAAAGTTCCCATTTTCGTCTTTTTGGTATCCACCCTGAACATCTACAAAAGTTAAATGGTCCTGGCTGTGAACATGAGTTGATAAGAACTCTCACCTTAAATTCGGGACGGTCGCGTGTTGATGCGTGAGTGAAAGGATCAAAATGCTTGGCCACGCCCCTTCCTCGATCACCTCGCCCTCTTCCTTGGTTGCCCCACCCACTTCCTCGGTTGCCCCACCCACTTCCTCTGCCACTGCTAGGCTGTCTGCCATCTGTGAAATTGAAAGGATTGTGAACAGTTGTTGAGGGTTAGTTGTTTTCAAACTTGTTTTAACTGTGCGACTCAAAAGATATTTAAAACATGGAATAAATCTGTGCTTTAAGACTGGCTTGGGAGAACGGACACTGATAATGTCGCTCACCTTTGGCTGAGGCACTGTAAGTGTCGATTCTCCTAAACTAAACTGGAGTAATGTCTCTTTCCTTTCAACAGTGCCCATCACAGCAAAGACAACAACTCGTACAACATTCATGATGACCACACTCACCATTTGCTGGCGGCACACTGACAGCGCTGTAGTCGAATGGCTTGAATGTCCCTGGGTCAACCACTCTCTTTGTGTGGGGGTTTGCCTTGCGATTGTCCGACTTCTTCTCCCGTTTGGCCGGCGGTCGATAAGTCATCACTGGTGGGTCGTCCACTGGAGGAGCCTTTCGTTTCTAACATGAAAAGTAAAAAAAAGCATGCAACATGAACTTGCAAAAGCCACAGGAAAAAACACAGCTTTACAATAAACTGATTCAAACCTAGGAGGTCAAATCATCTCCCAGCGCCAAATCTGCTCCACTCAATCTTTTTTTATCAAATGGCAGGTAACAGTACCTACGTCAGTGAAGACTTCCACAAGCCAATGTGGTCCATTGAGTTAGTATTTATCTCCCGTTTCAGCAGCATGAATTGACCACCTCGATTCCCTTGAATGGAGTGCCAATACATCACAGCTAATACCCAGATAAAGCCAATGTCCATTTATATTCCTAGGTGAAGAGAGTCAAATGAAATGGCTTGCCAGAGGACACAAATATGATCCAACGGCTGGATTCGAACCCCCAACCCTCTGATTACGAGTGGTATAAGCATTAATCGCCAGGACACTCTCCCCTCTATCAACGCTGAGGGGAGAGGCCTTGATCGCCAGGACACTCTCCCCTCTATCAACGCTGAGGGAAGAGGCCTTGATCGCCAGGACACTCTCCCCTCTATCAACGCTGAGGGAAGAGGCCTTGATCGCCAGGACACTCTCCCCTCTATCAACGCTGAGGGAAGAGGCCTTGATCGCCAGGACACTCTCCCCTCTATCAACGCTGAGGGAAGAGGCCTTGATCGTCAGGCCACTCTCCCCTCTATCACCTCCACTGTACCTGTTGTCTCAATGTGCCTCCTGTTTCTTTTCCGGCTGTCTCCTCCGTTGCCTCACCCTCTGTGTCGCTCTCACTCTCTCTGTTATTGTTGGCGTTCTGGAGAGCGGCGGTCTCTGTCTTCGCTGGTGCTGGTGGTGGCTTGGGAGGTTTCTTCAGCTTCCACACGCTCAGAGCTGTATCAAGAGGTACCTGTGAGTGGTGGGAACGATTGCAAGAAAGTCACAAAGGAAGTCTCAAAGAAGGCTCAAAGTAAGTCTCAAACCTGGGATGGGACTGGAGGGTTGATGGAAAACCAACTAAAGCCTTCAGCAGACGATGACATGCTGTGGTTGTCCAGGGCTTACATGGCATGAGTTGTCCAAATAACGACGACTGGGTAATGTTGCACTAGATTTGTTATATAACGGAGGAAAGTGGCAAAACCTGAACGATCACACCTCTGAAAGTCCTGAATCTTGGGGTCAAAAAACCTGAAATCTGGAAAAAATCTCGAGAAATCACGATCCTGTCCAACTTTTTCATTTTCTAGACGAAAACAGTTACCTCAGTCGATGAGCCACTTGAGGGAGCGCCACTCTTACTTCCAGCAGGCAAGAGGTTAATTTTGTCAGCTTCTAGGAGGGCGGGGGTTATCTGGACCAAGCGCTTCGGAGGAAGAAACTGCCACGGGGGAAAATCAACACAAATTTCTTTCAAGATGAGCGCTACAGGAAAACTAGACCAATGCTGGACCAATATCTGGACTCAACGAGTCGTCATGCAAGACTGCCACAGGGCTAATAATTATTATTGAAAAGATGCTACTAAGAAGTTGAATATTTGATTTGCTCTTTGAAAATAAATCAGGAATTACAACGTGTCATTCCTTATAATTGGATGTTCAAGTGTGGGAAAATGTTTGATTTCAGATTTTTGGGGTGTTTTGCAACAGGGACAAGTGTGGTCTCAAACTTCTGATATTTATAAATCAGAAACTGCCTTGTTTGGACATAGTTTCAATTGAATCATTTTCTTTCAAATCTGTTTCAACTCTGCTAAAAGGTCAACATTTTTAAATGTCCCTACTTAAAAATAATATCTCCAAACGAGCATGAAGACATGATGAAAAGCCTGTTAATATGCTTGTTACTATGAATGATGACGACACAACGTACGGGTTCATATCTTTCACGGAGTAAGCCTGACTGAGGAGGATTTCAGATCAGAATTTGAAAACGTTATATTCACCAACCATTTCAAATGGGTTGACGAACATGGACTTGAGCCGTGCCACTTTCTGTTGTCCTGGCGTCGGCTGGGCTCTGTCAGTCTCCTCGTCTGAGCTACTGCCGAAGGCTGTGATAATGGGGCTGGCGCTCCGTACAGTCCCAGGGTGGACTTCAGGGAGGGCTTCTTCCCCAAACAGAGCAGAGTAATGAGCAACTGGAACGGAGCGAACCACTAGGAGAGGCAGAGGAAATGGGACAATGGCTCCAAGTCAGTTTTTATTTCACCCATGCCTCTTCAATAGGACCAAAGGACCAGCATGCAACGAGGCTGGGCAGCTTTCTTCCATGTCACATTCACACAGGAACAAAGACAGTAAAGGTGTCTATAAATTGAATTCTGGGACGATAGCTACATTCTGAAGTGTGTGACTTTCAAATGCATAAGGAAAATTTATGATTTCTTGCCAATTTTTGGAGTCAAAACCATTTCCTGCCGGGGTGCCTGGTTTCGGGCACACAGGCTTTATACACGAAGCCAGGGAGCCTGAAACCGAACAAAAGAGCTAGGCCTTGTAACAAAAGACCGTACTCGGAACCAAAGACTGAGCTGCCGGGAATTGCTAACATTTTTTCAGCTGTCAATAGTGGGGGAAATCTGTCATTGTTTTGAAAGATTATACCACTGTTTGTGGCATTCAGCGTGAGCAGATTACCACAGGGACAAAAGTGCTCCAGTGCTCCAGGGATGAGCGATAAAATACTGCTGCATGCTAATCTGGCGCCTACTGAAAAGATGCTAAAAATGCACTGTGCGAGTTTCTTGAACAAAACAAAAATTACATAACACCGCACCATCTGGGCTCTCTTTACTAGGCAGCAGGCCTGGCTGAAATACACAGGCATCAATGGAGGTTGCCTGTCAGATTAGAGTAGCCACGAGACAGTCATTTGTGTGGGTGTAAATGTCCAGTAAATGAAGATATGATTTTTTGAAGAATTTTGAAAATAGAAAATCTTGAAAATCACCGGGTTTTACGTCATGCAACTTCAACTTACACCCACCCAGCAGCAAGTGGTTAAAAACACCCAATTTCACAACCACTGAATGAATCATTCATGTTAAGCTTGATTTTGATTGGACATTCAAGAAAAAAATGTGGTATTTGACTCTTACTGGGTAGTTATGTGTTGTAAAATTGTGAGTTCTTACGTAATACTTACTGTTATTTTGGTCTGGGACTTCTTGCTGTGGTGTAGGGTCATGAGGACAGGACAGGAGACTGTTTAGTGGTCTAGGGGTCAGTTTGATTGGGGTAGGGGTCTCCATTGGTGACGATGGGGAGGCAAATATCTTGGGACTTGGGCTCGGTTTCTGAGGACAGTAGCGAGGACAAAAGAGACGCAAAAATGCAACACGTGAATTGAGGAATTGAGAGAAACACAGTTTGGAAATCAGCTGACCAGAGAAAAAATTCACACGCCTGTGAATTCCGCTTGATACTGAGGGTTGGTCCTACCTTGATGCGGCCTTGGTACATCCTGGCTTTTAGGACCAGCTGATGGACCTCGTTCAGTTGTTGTCGCACCAACGGGGGGATGGGATTACAGCAGGCCAACACTCCATGGGGCTCCCTGGTGGACACATCACAAGAATGGAAAAACTGTTGAAGGCTGCCTTTTCATAAGAACATTTTTGGTCCATTCCATGCCCCCATCTATTAGCCAGGTTTCGCTGCTGTACATTCTCAATGAACAACTCTCGCAGTTAAAGAGTTTATAGACACAAGGCATTCTTTAAACACATGTATAAAGAGGCCCCTTAACTATAGCAACAGAAATTATATTTAACATTCATCAAAAGCGGGTAACTACAGAAATATAAAAGGATCGTGTCTGCAGCACCAACTGCCCCGTAAAATCTCACTATTGTCCAACATCTGTCCCGAGCTGAAGTGCACCCTATTCGGCGAAAAGAAACACAGGTGGTTACAAGCAGGTTCCTGCATGTGTTCTGCATGTATACAAGACCATACATGCTAAAGTAAATTAGTTACGCGTACTCAACGTGCTCCGCGTCAAACGCGCATAAACTTGCGCGCATTATGGCACGCCTATGCGTTGAGTACCAAAAAAACATGCCCTCGTTTGTTCCGCTCGCAGAGGATAACACTGGCCAATAAAAACGCAGCATGTGTGGTGAGCTGAGGCTCAATGACACAGAATCTAAACTAGTTTGAAAGCGGGGAGAGCAGAGTCTGCGATGTCAACCTGACTGGATTGACACAGTTCGTGACACCTCACCTTGGAAGATTCTCGGCAACTTGGAAGAGCATGTGATTTGGTAGGACGTAGCCTGTGCTTTCGTCTTCCTGTCTTCCTACCCGGTCCCTCCAAGCATACAGCAGCTTAAGTGCCTCGTACTGCATATTAAAACATAGGTCTACTATAACATGGGTTGACAAATTTACGAAGTTTCAAACTGGCCTGTTTTCTACAAACCCTTCAACCTGTGACACTTATGCAAATTGGTCCGAAGTCTGAGGTCTTTCCAACTTCTCTGATTCCCAACTTGGCGGCATTGCATGCCTCTGCAGACATAAAGAGCTTGATTACATCCTAATACCGAAGAGATGATTGACCCTATTGATGAAGGCTTCCAATCGTCTCTAGGAGAAGCAAAGGATGGACACTTCCGCTACCTACCTGTTTTGGATTGAAGGACTTCTTGCTGCGTTTCCACAGAGTTAGGTAGGAATCGTCTGTGAAAATGAGCTTCTTGTAGCGCTGTAGTTAAAAAGAGAGAAAGACAAAATTCTGTGACGACTCAAAGACTGGACAGTTTTAGCAATGTGACACACTTGCAAAGGGTCAACTTCAATGGAAAGAACTCTCGGTGTGGGGCCTCCGTTGATGGTAAAGAGAGCAAATGTTCCAGCAAGCAATGACCTCGTATGAGGTGTACTTGAACATGCTTGATGAGGTGTCTACCGTACAGAGTAATTAACATGTTGCCCCCGCCTCTCCATTTGTCACCAGTGAGGGCGTATTCAAGCACGAAAGCAGAAAGGAACCACGCCTCAGTGTGATGCTCTTGCAGCAGATAATGAGACCTAGAGTGAACCAGGATCTCCCGAGTCTGGAACCTTTAACGATGATTCTCGGGACTGAAACCAAAGCCAGTGACCAAATTCTCTTACCCGGAGGCAGACCTGTCTGCTTTGCTCGAGGGTCTGCTTCAGCAGGTTGTTGGCCTTGTTACCTCTCTCGATCAGCTCGTTCTTCATACGGTGATATATGTACAGCAAGTAGTGGGTGTCGGCACGGCTGTAGCTGATCATCTCCTGGGGCAGAGGTCTGCAAAGGTCAGAGGTCAGAGAAGCTGTCATTTAACACTTGAGAATTCTAAGCTGTCACACTGGTCTTCACAGATTTTGCAGAGCCATCTTCCAATCTGTGCATGCAGCACGTACCTTATCCTCCAATCAGCAAGCTGGTAGGATTTGTCAGGGGACAGGCCGCAGTAGAGTTGGAGCAGGTGAGCGAGGGAGTTTCGGGCCTTGCCGAGGATGCGAGAGGCCTGGCCGGTGTCAAACATGTTGACCACGTAGAGGCCGAGGTCCCGCTGCAGCCATTCCACATCCATGTCAGCCCCGTGGAAGACCTGATCACAGTTTTTAAACAAACATCCGTCGGCATGAAACAAGAGATTTTTTCAATTCACAAATGGGCTTTTTGGTTGGAGCCAGGGATGTGGTTTGAAATTACACATGACTCTATGTGAAGTGGCTCAGGCCACTACCGTAGACCTGTGTGTAATTCCAAGCCACAGCCAAATATTTGGACTTGGCTGAATGTGTATAAATACACAGTCTTTGCAAGGCCACCAGATCAGATTGCAGCGAACTGTTAATAGACAGATCACCTTGACAATCGCTGGGTTGGTGAAGGAGTTGTTAAGGATTTGCAGTTCACTTCTGAGAGCCAGTGTGTCAATGATGTAGTCATGGCGACCCGTCGAGATCTGCATGAGGCAGGTGAAACCCTGGAATGACCGGTAGGAGTGGTGCTGCAAGCGATGGAGAGAAACACAACATGAACTTGGGCTTCCTAGTTACCTCGCAAATTAGAATAAAAGGGTGTTCTTGAAGACAGTGACTAATTGACACAAAGGTGAAAAAGATAAAAAGCAAACTGGGTGGGGAGGGCAAATAAAGACGGACTGACAAAGTCGTCCACTCATCAGCAGACTGATCGCACCTCTAAATCAACGGCAAATTCATTCAGCGAGTCCAGCGTCCGACTGAGTTCCTCCAACTGCTCCACTGTGTCCACCAGCGTGAGCGGGGTTGTGTCAAGGGGTTCGTAAGAGGGCGAGTCCACGGGGAGAAGCATGGAGGGGTCGGGAACGAAGTGGTCCAGCTCATACTGGTAGGGGTGGGCCGTACTGGGGTGGGGGAGGGGAGCAAAATGATGTTAATGAGTAACAATTAAGGGTGGCAAAAGTCACTTCAATAGTAGTCGGTAACTCCAGACAGATGGAAACAATTTTAAACGCAACTGAGCATCAGTAATGGTGGATATGTGCCCTTTATAAATATCCAACGTTATCGTTGTCTAGGAGCCTCTTCGAAAGCGCATTAGCCAATTGGCAACAATGTTACATAAATAATTCAGAGGAACATGTTTGTGGCCTACATGTCTTCACTTTCATCAGTTCCCACTCGCTGCTGATGGATGAAGGCTGAGACTGCATCGGGAATGTCTTTGCCTTCTGACTTGCTTTTGCTTGGAGACAATAACCCTGGGTGAGACAGTAAGAAACGAAACCACATCATTTCACTCCGTTTGCACAACTGGAATCACAGCACAAGTAGAGAAGAAATGAGTTTTAATAAATGGGCAAACACAAATGGTTCCTGCTCTTCATTTGAACATGAACATTTCCACTGGAACCTTCAAACTTCCCAGAGTTAAAAAACTCTCACTCACTCGCCACAAAAAAAAATGGATTAAAATGGATGAACACAAATGGTATTTGTTCTTGATTTGAATATTATGACACTTTTGATGTAACTTTGCAAACTTTAAAAAAGGTCCAAAAAAGGCCTCCTCACCACAGTGAAAATAAATTTGCCTGGCCTTTGAACTTTCTACAAGCATTTCTAGTGTCATGTACCTTTATTGAGCGGTTTCAAGGCGTTTGGCTTGCTGGTGATGATTGGGACAAACGGTGTGTTGCTGTTGTTGATCTTATCCTTGAACTTCAGCTGCGGTCGGGAAATGTTCTTGGCATGCATGAGGTGAAACGATCGACCCTTTTGTGACTCTGTAGAACTCTGGGGAGAGAAGTCAAAAAATGGCATTCATGCTAAGGTTCAAAGTCCTGCGAAATACCACACACAATGTAAAGAGATTCCAAGGATTTTCAGAAGGAATCCAATGTGATACTCTTTTGACTTAAAGGTTAGCATAGAATTCAGGAGTCTTCACCGACAGCTCAAGGGCTTGTACCACGCACCTGTTGGTTCCAGCTGGCCACTATGAGCTTGGGAGGAGCCTTGGGCTGGGAGCCTGGGGGGAGAGCTGCCTTGCCTGGCTTGATCAGTCCGGTGGCTTCATCCAGGAGTAGGCCCTGGTTGGACGGAAAACCACAACTTGAAGACGTTAGTGACAGAATAAGGGACAGAAACTACACGAGATTACTGAAGACTTGTAAATTCAGGTGATCTGGTTAGGAAGTTGAACTCCTCACCACTTTCTCAAGAATGGTGTCATTTGTCTCGATGATTGCATCCGTCTTGTCTTCAAGCTCAGGGGCAGAGCTCCCCCCTGTCAGATGTGCTTTACTGCCTTGGAGATGCATGAGGCCGTTGATGCTGTTAAATTGAAAAAAAAAATTACATGTCAATCGAATGAAGGAGACACTTAAAAAGACATAGAATACCCACCTCAAAATGGTGTAAGCACGAAAGATAAATTGCACCAAATTTCTTCCATATCAGTTTGTCCATGTAACTGTCAAAAGAGAACCTTATTTGCAAATATAACAAAGGGAGGTACTTTTAACTCTAGCAAATGCAATTTCTTACGTGACAACACTTTAGCTTTTGTACCAAGCACAAATAGGTTCATATAATAATAATATCGATTTTTATGGCGCACTTACATGTATTTGGAAAACTGATCAAGGCATAATTCCATTATTATTATCCCTGTTCACTGGGCCCATGAAACATTCCAAATACTCCCTGGGGAGTATACAGCTCGATGCTGCCATTTCGGCGCAAAGCAGCTAAATCAACCCCAATAACCATCTCTGCCCTCACAGATGCCCAATTACTCCTGGGTGGAGAGAAGCAATGAGTGGCAAAGTGCCTCGCCCAAGGGCACACGCACCATGACCCCAGGCTGGATTCGAACCCGCAACCTGTGGTTTTACCCGCTGACTATGAATCCCATGCTCTTAACCACAAGGCCACGGCACTCCACAATGTAACAATATCAAGTTCCAGGTGTGAAATACAAGAACACAGTGTTGCTTCTTCAACAGAATGGGTACAAAGAGGATGAATCCATTCCAGTATGGGGGAAAATGGACCTCCACTAAAGTCGGAAACTGCTTCAGCTGAAGTTCTTAATCTTCAGTATGTTTTGATATGACTTGTGTATATACTTGTGGGGGGCGGGGTTGAATGCTCTGTATCATATAGCAGACACAGACATGAATGGCTGGTGGGTTTGTTGTGGTGGTCATTTTGTTCCATCTGACCTTATTGTAATGTTATCTTAATTTTAATTTTCCTTGTTTTAATGTGTTTTATGACTTTGTAAATCATTTGTTTCAACTTTCAAACCCTAACCCCCAAGGGTTGCTGGCCCTAACTTTCCCCATTCACACAAAGTTAAACACCCATATGGGACTTTGTGCACAGAGGCTGTTGCCAAACCCAATGCAAAAGCCAGCTGTTATGGGCCTACCAGACCTATCCCTGTAACAGAATTCAACACTTTACTACTGTTTAATTCAGTGTGGTTGGGGAAGGTTAGGGTTAACCTGTTTTTGATGTACTGTTTTGAGTTATTTAATATGTATTTATATAAACAAGTTTTAGTAAGAATGTTAAATTGCACTGCACCTTCAAACAGCATGTTGCTGAAGCTGGCACATTAAAAATTCATTATTATTACCATTATTAATCTCTAAAACCTGAGCAGCACCTGTGTCTACAGAGCTGAATGATAACCGATGGCAATTGATGAAAAACCTGATAACTCCTGATGCCACTGTGCCTATACCTGTAACAATGTACCTGTAACGGGGGAAAGACATGATTCAGCCCCTTTTAACCTCAAACTTACTTCTGCAGAAGTCTTTCAGACTGGCTGTGGCAGTACTGGCGAAAAGTCTCGTAGCTGGAGTAGAAGTCATAGTCATCGCCGTGCGGAGGGAGGGCATGTGCAGCCTTCGTTGCTAACATCAGTCGACCTAGGGTTTGCTGTGAGACAAAAAGACAAAAGGCGCCCATCTCTCAATTCATATATATCTTTTTTCTGACCAGTCTCATCATGCTCATGGTTTGTGCACAAGTTGTCCAGTGGTGTCTGTATATGGAACTGTTGCCCTTTCACACTATACCGAAGAATTTTCAGTTATTTTTAACATGTTGCAGCAAAACTGAGAAAAAGCGTGCAAATCTCTGACGGTTGCCCTTTGCCCAGCATGCCCAGACACGAATTGAGAATTTGAGTGCAATAAAAATGGAACCACGACAACCTCCATGACCTCCGCCCGAGTAATGTTCTCCCAGCGTAACAGAATGGACCTTGGACATTACTACTGGCACCACAAATGACCTAAGCTTTAGATGTACCTGGGAGAAAGTGGCTACATCTTTAACACCTGGAAACAATTCGTCACTTTCCGGGACAAATTCGACAGCTTCTTGATCATCCGTGTTACTGGTGGTCGCCATTTTGGTTTTTCGACCCGACTGGTACCTGTAATCTTTTATTAACTTCATAATTTGGGGTTGGAAAGATGCCTGGCTAAACCTACACGTAGTAGAGCGCCCCCACAAGATCGAAACCCTCCAGGTGAATGAGTTGGAACATGAGTTAGTTGCTGTATGTTATGCGTGAACACGTCTTGCCCTTTTGATGCATTTTTACAATTTTTGTGACAATTATTGGTGCTTGACTTTCGCCGTCATTTTGATATAAAGATACACTGAACAAATAGAAGTGCAATGGAGTTCCAGTTAATAAGAATGTACTTAGGAAGAGTTTATCGTAGTTGATATTTCGGCAGAATTTTTCCCTGTGCCCGTGGAGTCAAGCTGTGTACTTTTCTTTAGCAATGGCTAACTTGAATGCAGATTTAAGGTCGTACCTATCAAGCTCTAAGAACGGATCATCTGGGTCAGGAGAAAGCGGCGGCTTTGCGGCGTCTGGGAAACGGACGCTGAACACGATGACCAACTGGTGGAGGGGGAGTGGTGATGGAGGAGAAGGGGGTGAAGGGGAGAAGATGTTGGCAGGGGATGTTGCCAGCAAACCGGCGGAGGATGATGGAAATGGTTGGTTCAACCAGGCGCAGAAGGATCCCTTCTGCCCAACGCTGGTAGGTTTTTATCTTGGGCTGGTTCTGACAATTGGTAAGATCACACGATCGCTCTGCACGACAGGTCGATTCTGCCTGAAATCTCCAACTTACTTCCCTTTTTGTAGTTGATGGTGTATACCATTTATGTGTAGACGGTTTTTGCATCCCACTTCCTTGAGAATGAAATGCCAAGAAAGTTGAGTTGATGGACAGGACAAGTGAAAAGTATTTCAAAATTGGTAACTTTTTCTTGTCCGTCTGGCATTTATTTCAGAGTAAGCGACAGAGAATCCTGGGCTTCATGACTTTCATCGTAGCAGGGGCTTTCTGCTTTGGTCTTGCTGCTGTTTATGCCCCATTCATTGTCCTGCGAGCTCGGAAATTTGCGTTGTTGTACACCATGGGAAGCCTGTTCACCATAAGCAGGTAGATACCTCGTGAAAAGTGGAATGCTGGCAAGGTTGTTAACTCCCCCCACCCAGGTGCCTTTTTGCATTTTAACCTTGCAGAAACCTGCTAAATCAATGAAAAACGGGAAAACTGTAAGTAAGTCTCGGCTTTATTTTCCTTCCCGCAGGATCTTTCAAAATCCACTGGTTTTTAAAGGGTTTGGGAGGGTAAGAAGTCCAGGCTAAGGGGTTTGCGTGTAATCAGTGGGAACAGTTTTCACAAGGAGCCACGTTGGACATCAACATTTTACGCCAATGTGGCATGGTTGATTTCATGAACAGAGATTTAATACCAGAGAGGCATAGAATTTTGTTCTCTGGTATGGACACTGGTAGAACCTTACGCTACTGGCATACCAAAAAGCTGCTAGATATTATGAACAGCACTCTCAATTGACTTGATACATGTACTTGACAGTCCTGATGTACGCCCTGACTACCTTGTGTGTCTGAAAGTTACTACTGTGGCTAGAAACAACCCAGATGCCACTGAAGGCCACTGGCTAGCGGCTGTGGCCACTTCCATGGAAAAGTGTGTTACTACTAATAGCCACAGCCAGTTGAGTCAAACATGCAATAATTATGTTCGTAGGGACTTTTCCATATGAAATCCAACATTCAACACTCTGAGGGAGCCAAATGGGGCTTACTTTTCTCTCGAAAGTCCCCTTGGCATCAAGCCTTATGTAAAGTGAAAGTGGCGCAGGCTGTCCCTTCCTGGATCCTGCAAAATCCAACTATACCACCTGGTGGATTTCCAAGGATCAGGAAGGGATGGGGTGGTGTTATTTGGGGGAAATCTGACCTTGGCAATGAAATAAAATCTTCTCGGTTTCCAGTTTCTCCCTTCTGTGGGGTCCTTGGTACCACCTGAAGCACCTCTTCTCGTCAGACAGGCTACCCTTCACTGTCATCTACTTCACGTCAATGTTCCTAACACTGTATTTTTCCTTGATGGTGAGTTCACTGTTACAACTATTTTCAATGAAGCAAACTTCTTTTTCACAAATATTCTCTCAAGTGTAGGAGAAACATGTCTGATTGCACCAGGGCGGCCTTTGCATTTTTGTGAAAATACTAAAACAATTTTTTGGGGGGCTGGATAGGGAAGCCTCAGGTTATGCAAATACTGGAAATGCGTGTGTTTTTTATGCTTGAACTGTTTGTCCGTTGTGAGGCTTGACATTGTTTCCTTTTTTTTTCTGTTTTTCTCTCACAGAGACAGTCAACCTTACCCACAGTTATCTGCGCCGTTTTCCAAATTATTGCTTTAGTCTGGTAAGTCTGTCTTGTTATTGTTTACTTATTGAAGTTGAGGTGGAAAACACCACAGAGCCCCTTCTTGAAAGTATAGCATCGGTTCTGCATTTTCTATCAATTAGTTTGAGAAATGAAGTTTTTTTGGGATACCTCTGTACTGCAGGTACATTGTGAGTTACATTCCGGGCGGCCAGACAGGACTGAAGTTTTTCTCTAAGCTCTGCAAAGCGGCAGCCAGCAAGACACTTTCTAACGCGTTGCCCGTGTAGGCTGTCTTCTCATTATCCCACGCCAACTCATCTCATGGAGCCGGCCCTTGAGTACTCGGAGTTTCTCTGGCGTCAGGCCATAATTGAAATGGCGGCACGGCTTGCATCAATTCCAGGAGGAACCATTGATCTTTGGAATGGCTCACACAGAGCTTTTGAGTAGGAGTTCTAAAGCCCAGCATAGGGGCCCTGAACAAAAGAAGTAGCCGTTGGTCATCTAACAATATCATCCCCTGAGGCTGACTTAACGCAGACGATTTTGGCATAGCTGTATGGTTGCTTGTGGGCATTGGGCTCGATGCCAATACAGTTTTAATAGTCAGTGCCTCTTCGTCGTTGGTCAGGGAGTACTTGTGCTCTGAATCTGCAGAGAGTGGGACCTCACGGTGATATGCACTTGGCCAGAATTATATAGCAACTTGTACGTTGACATACCTGTATTGAACTTGCTGTTCAAAAGATGCAGCCCTGCCTACTGTTACTGGAATTTTCAGACTTCAGCAGTTTGGAGAAGCTGTCCACAGACACGTACCTGACAAGAGAAGATAAATAAAATCAATTTTTTTTCCATCATGTATGGAATTCCCAACCTTGGCAGTTAAACCTACTTAGGTTTCACATAGGGAGGGAATTTTTGTGAAGTTGTAAATTGTCTTGCTCAAGACACAACAAAGGACTCGATGCCTGGTTTTGAGACCCCTGGTACCACTTGCAGATGTGACCCACTTTTTTGAACTCAAAATGTGTAAATGTAGATGTAAACATTTTTTCCTCACGTTCTCGTGGATAATTGTAAATTATTATTTGTCAACATCTGAAAGCTATTTGCTGTAAAAAAAAAAAGAAACTACTCAACAACTTGAAGTTGTTGACAGACTGAAAATGTTTGAATTAATCACAGAGTTGTTTTTTTAAAATCTCCTTGCATCGTTGTGCAATCTGCAAGCTTGCTTTTACAGTCTAAAAATATTAACCACAGAGTGTGAGTTCGCATCTATTTGTTCACTAGCTTTGCGTCTTTTTTGAGATGATCAGCCCCTGCAAGGCATGCCTTTTATTTAACAGATACTTTGGTGTGTTTTGTATGGAAAAAAAAGTGGCATAAAGGAAATCTTGGAAGAAACTTGCTCCTTAAATGTCTGGTTGATTTCTTTGCGCATCTGTTGTGTGTAGCTTGAGAACTCACCTGTCAGACCCACTTACATGTTCAGAGGGAATTGTAGAAAATACTATTTTTTGGCATGCAGAGAACTTTATAGACTAATATATCCAGTTCTGCCCGTACCTTAGCCTGGTCTGCCAGCGCTTAATAAAGCATCTGCTAGCATGGTGCACATGAAATATGCATTAGATGTCGAACCTCCAACATAGAAACCCCAAAAATGAATGCTTCCCGGGGAGCTTTGAGGTCTGTGAAAATCCTCTTCCATAAGGCAAGTCTCGTCAGAATATTTTCCACGTCGACTGAATGTTCTAGAAACTCGGTTTGTAGGTCAGTCTCGATATTCTGCTCTGTGTAACGCTCGATTTGTCAAAATGAATGTGATAATGTGACCCACAGACGGCCAGGAAAAAATGTTCAAAATCAGTTTGTAACTTATTCACAGCCTCGTGGTCGAAATGTAAACATAGCCCTCGCATTTAATTCAATTAGCTCGGAGTTGATAGAGAGGTTGATATCTCTTGTCACCGACTCGAGTTGTCGACTTGGTGATTTTATGTTGTTCTTGCCATTTGAATATTTTGCTTTCTAGTACTAATCAGCTTTTGGAGAAACTAATTTCAGAGTTACAAATTCGACAGTTGCACTGCGTGTTGCGATTACTATGAATTTTAAAGCTCTTGAAGTGGTGACAACATACAATGAATATGTCCATCGTGAATACAGTTGATCGTGAATAACGATTAATGTCAGGAACACATTGTGCTTGCTTTCCTTAAATATCTCGTGCCTCTCAATTTGAATGGAATTTACCGTGAAAAGACATGGAACGAGTCGTATGGTGCCACCACTGATGGCCGAATTCATCAATTATGGAAATGTGCCTTACGGCATGCAAGTCCAATCCGGAAATGCAGACATTGTCTCTTCTGGCTAGAAGCCGTTAGCAGAAAATTTCTTTCGAAGCTAACGTCATTCTGTTTTGCATTTGGGTCATTGCTTTTTATATTTTGATCCCTCTGGCCGGTACACGTTAATAATAAGCCCACACATTGTTCCATCCAGCTCTTCTTGCAAGAAGCTCCAATCTTGTTTGCCGGAAATGCGTATGATAACGCCTTCACGTGTTTGTCAGGCGAGGGCGCTAATCCTCCCCTATCCGGTCGTTTTATCCATGTGTCAATATAACTACGAAGTTCGGGGACCACGTCTTGCGTCGTGCACGCAGTACACAGCCTGTTGATTAGGAAGACATCTAAATCTGTACGGCCCCGCGCCCTTTCGATCGTGGGCGTATTTTCTGTTTGTCGTCACACATCCAACGACTGCCACTTCTGTGACGCTCAGACGCTGGCGTGCAGTTGTCGAAACTTGGGCCCACATTGGGAGTCCAAGTTGACAGTTTGCAGACACCAATACGGAAGATTATTACAAAGGCGCCCACGCTCAGGCCTCTACTCTCTAATTTACGGAATGGACTTTTCTTCTAAGACCCATGGCGCTGAATTCCATGGCTAGCCGGGGGGAGGGGGCGCAAGGGGCGGCTCCCCCCCCCATCTTAGAAGAGCCTGGTTACACCACTGGCTTTATATATAGTGCAGTGTTTTTTGTGGGGGTGGGGCCATGGGTCAACTCGCCTGTGCAAGCTGAACTCAATGACTATGCATGAATGATACTCCCTGAAGGTGCCTGCGCGATTTGTCAGTGGACCTCTCTAGCTCGAAACATAAAAAATGAACACTGAACTCAAACATGGGGGACGGGAGGCAGAGGGGTCACTGACTGGGTGCGTTTCTTTGATGGAGATCCAGTGTGAACTCGGGGGGGGGGTGATTTGCTAAAACACGCTATTTCAAAAGTGGGCTCTCCAACATATCACACATTTCCACCGTCTCCGCTTGCGCTGCCACTGGTTGTAAACATCTGAAATGTTTATAGAAATCAGGTGTAGATGGTAGCTCTACAGTGCCATATTGAAAGCATACTTAGCAAAATGCGTATTATTGTCGTTTTATGAGTCAGCCTGAATACTCACCATGCGATCGTACGGTCACTGGCTCACCTACCCTGAGACGTACCGAGGGCTCATCCCTCACATCAGCCGACTGTTAATTATGCAGGAGTAACAACCCCCCCCCCAAAAAAAAACAAGTGTTTTCTTTTGATTCCCTGTTATTCCCCTTCAGTCATAGGCATGACCATTTGCTTCCCTTATTATCCATCAATTCTGTACAAAGTCTCGGCGTCGTCGGGACTTTCCTGATGCTTTATTTTTGGACTTAATATCTGCATGTCCCATTATTGTTCGTGACAAAATATCCTTCGACGTGGAACTCGATTTTAATCATGGATCAGAAAGATCCAATAAAGTACCTTCTTAATTTAAGACAGTCTCCAAGACTAGCGGACACACACCTTTCAATTATTGATGCTCGGGATCGTTGATATACGTAAATGTGATTTCCCCCTACACAATGCAAACCAATCCTATTACGTATTATCCAAAAGGTTGATTTTTTTTCCCCTGGTGAATTTCAGACTGTCCGCCCACACAACTTGCCAAGTTAACCACGTTAGACATTTCAAGAAGATTTGACAGACAGGAAGGAACGACGATTTAAAAGTTGAAGTGTCCGTAACACTGCGACATCTTAAGAAAGCGACTTGATGAACTGAGGTCTAGTGGACAGAGCGCGACTCGCGCAGATATGATCAGGTAAGCAAAGATAGACGTATCAACCGTTAAGTTCAATATCGTCAACTTTGTAACGATTATGAGTGAGTGGTTTTCCTTCTTTTTCTGTTACAGACCTCTGATTTAAAAACTGTGTTCGGTTTGGAATACTGGTATATCACCATCTCTCTTGATGTCCTGTGTTCAAATCCAAGCACCGGATGATAGCTTGAGCCGATACGAAATTTTTGGCTGCTGCCAACACTTTGAGATATCGGTAAAGGCATCTGCTGCCCTTTGAAAGCATTGTGCGCAATATCCTTCAGATCCGCTACCCCATACACACTTTAACAGGGAAGCAAATCTCCCGGTTCAAGGAAAGCGCATTAAAAAGAATTATTCGGGTGATTCCCAATAGTGCGCCTCTAAGAGTTTGAAACGCGTTGGCCAATTACAACGCGCGAAATTCGTCGACCCTTTCCAAACGTGCATTGGGTGGACAAATTTCGCGCATTGTGCAAACAGTGTTAAGATGGCATGAGTGTTTTTCTTGTTTTATTTTAGTTGACTGGATGATGTTGGTGCCCCGTTTTTTCCCCCGTAAATGTCTACCCAAACCGCCAGAGTGATAATTAAAAATGTCGCTCTACTTCCAAACTACAATTTGGAACGATGCAGTAGGCCTGAGTCTGTAAACCAGCACTGAACGCGTTTGGTGTCAAGTGCACAGCTGGGTTTTTTGTGTGTGGGTGTTTGTCCAGAAAACCAGCGGCGTTGTGGTTACAACTTATCTCGATTTCGGTGTAATCTATCACGTAACATGAGGTGATTTCGGGCTTGTTTAGTTTGAAGAGGAGTAGGCCCTATTTCCGCTGAAACGTGCGAAAACTTCTGACGTTACTTTCCAATATTCCAATCAGTGCTTATGGCCGCAAACAGACGGTACCTCGCTTCAGGTTCATTCACCCGGCCCGGTTTGCTAGCGGCTCGACCTGTCGAAAAGAAGACGAAACGCAAAAAATGTTATTCACCCGGCTGCGGAAATTGGCCTGAAAGTGCACTATGCTCGATGGTAACTTGGGTACACAAGGCAAGAACTACCACTGGGAAATACCGGTTCTATACCTTAAGGCAGAGCACGCCTCCGAGATAGCGAGGGATTGACACTACTCCGCAACACTCTGACCAGCTAGCGACTGCCCACTATTTGCACGCCGAAATCCCGGACCAATAGCTCGTGGCTATTCGAGCTGGCCGGAGCTTAACCAGACAGTGCCCATGTGGATAGTTGTGGACAGTAGGCTCGTGGGACATTGGAAACCGCTGCATAAAAAGGGCGGGCTGCTTCGTACACGGAGCAAAAATGCTAAGCAACAGCTTGAGAACCGCACGTTTTTAGGAGACTGCACCTCCTGTACTCGTAAGCATCTTCATTATCGTTTTCGTTATCAATGAGCAATTCCAAGTATTTTACAATCATCATTCCCCACCGCCTTTTTTTCGCAGCCTTTGGATTTGCCGTCTGCTTCGACGGTGTCTTTAATGCCTTTCAAGCATCTTTCGAGATGCATTATTTTTCCAATCACACATCGGCAAATGCTGCATTAGTCGTGATTCGTGGTTTTGTCTTTAAAAAATCATGATTCACAAATGTGCGAAATGTGTTTGTTGTTATACCTGTTCATACTATAAGTAATTTAAAGCCAGAAAAAAATATGCTTTACGATTTTTATCCAATCATCGACTGATATACTCAATCAGTCAGTTAACTCGTTTGGTGCACTATGGAGAAACGATTTTATTGCCTGTGTCGTTGGTAGAATGTTTACTGTTAAATATCCAAATTGTCAACTGTAATCCCTTGATTGATTATTTGTTTTCAAAATTTACAGGTAGTTCCAAATTCTTGCAAAATGTCGCGAATTCAGTTGCCATCGTTTCCGACCCTGCCACTCCGGTACCTGCTCCTATTCGCCACCTGCCTGTTCCTGCTGGCCTCACTAGCCCCAGGACGGGCTGCCTTTTACCCAGCCGCTCATGCTAGGCCCTACCGGGACATCTTGGTCCAGTCAGTTCCACAGTACTACTACTATCATCCCAGCCCCGACCCAGGTTCAGGCCAGGGTATCGAGCCACCCGCGTACAACTCCGGCCGGCAGAGGAGTGCGTGGCTCTACGGCGACCGCCCAGTACTAGAACTGGAAGGAAGACCAGGAAGACGGTCTGCTTCTCAAAATGTGGAAGTTAGGGGCGACTCTAGTCCCGTGATGGTCAGCAGATGGGTGAGTTGATTGTCTTCTTGAAACATTATAGATGTACATTACAAATCCTTGACATAGTTCAACAAATCCCCGCACTCTACTCACGGGCGATGCCATCAGTATATAGCCTTGAGCAGAAGCACCCCCTCATCGATTGAGAAGTGCCAAGTTGGTGGGGAGTGTTCATTTTGTTGGTAGATGGTGGAGAGTGTTCATTTTGTTTGGTAGCAATGCTACCGAACGCGTGTATTTCATCATCGTTGGTGAACCAGCAAAGTGCCGTTCCCGCCAAAGGCACCCCCGTTGCTAAGAAATTTGCGTCCTATCTTGATACAGCTACGGACTCATAGTCGGTCGAAATGGCTTCTTATTCTTGTTGACGGATAAAAAGGTTTTTTTTTTTTGCAATCTATCCCAGGCTACTCGAAACTCGGTGAGCAAAACAAACGCCCAAGCCGTGCTAGCGTCCCCTGACTACTTTGACATGGGTCTCGAAAGCAGTAGAAAGCGAGGTCCCAACAGCGGGCGAACATTCCAGGGCATGCCGCCATTCCAACCACCTCCCTCCAGCTCCGTCTTGCCTGATCTGCTTCCCCCGAACCTGTTCAACTGGACGGGGGTCATCGGTGTGCGCGCCGCGCGGGCTAAGGACGCCCCTGGTCACCCTGACAGCCGAAAGGGCCTACCGTACAACCGAAGACATCGGCACAAGGATCTGCAGCTATTTGGAGCCAACTATGACAAGAAAAGACACATCCAAGATGCCTTTAGTCAGGTAGGGGCTTTTAGACATCAGAGGAGGGATGGTGATGTCCCGCGTTCTCCATCACGCCATGGATATACAGAGTAAAATCAAACGAGGCAAGGGTACCCGCCTTTACATCATGACTGGGACTTCACTCATCAATATTTAAAGGAGAATACGGTGCAGAATACTGTTTCTCGTACTTTCTTATAATTATTCACTCCTGACTTGCTTATATTTTCACCTTTTCCCAGTGTCCGTAAGATCCGTCAAGAGACTGTGCGTGTGCAAAAATGTCACACGAAAGTAAGCCCAGTTTGTATCAAAAGAGAGTTTAATATACATGTATGTGTATGCATTGATTTGAGAGTTTTGTGATCAAAATTTATTAAATTTGCAGAACAAGGAGAAGCGAGTCTTTGAGACGGCTGATTTATCGCTTGGAGGCTACGACAAGAAACATGCAAAGGTAGCGCACTCGCACACGAACGAGAATGGCGAACCAGAACCTTCCGTTGCTAGAGTGGATCGAGAAAAACATGATTTCCAGCATGCTCATTACGGTCAAGTGAGAGCCGTTTGTTTTGAAATCACGTGTTGGGAAAAATTCTGTGCGCTATATAATGAGATGTGTATGCAAACGTAACTTGTTATAGATCATTCCATTCATCAATGGGGTGCTCTGACGATTCTGGGTTAATGTGTGCAGCTAAAATTGGATGCAATATGTTTGTGCCTTGTATCATTTATACCCCATTTACCGTAATACAGATTTTAACAAGTGACTTACCGACAGGAATAATGCCAAAATAAAACAATGTTCAGTCCACCCGTAATCTAGAGTATCGAAATATGTATGTCAGTATCTTCTTTGGGGAACGTTCTTCCACTAGGCTGGTCGTGATTCCAACAGTGAAACTGACAACCGGGCGTATCTGGCTTCTTCTTACGCTGCTGCTGTTCGAAACAACAGGAAGCCAGTGGTAGAGACGGCTGACTTATCCTTCGGAGGCTACGACCGGAGCCGCCTGATGAGGGACGGGCGGGGAAAGCGAAGTCACAAGCAAAGCCCGGGGCAAGTCTTCAATGTCATGCCCCCGTTCCAGCCCCCGCCCTCCAGTTCCCTCCTACCGGACCTGTTCTCCCCGCACGCTGTCAACGACTCTCTGGGCATCATTGGGCAACGCCCGACGCGGCCCTCGGCCACCAATCCACGGGGGGCCCCCAGCGACCCCAGCCACCTGTCCGGAGATCACCCAATTCATCCCAGCGGCGGCCAAGGACCCCAAGCCGACCCCCAAGGGCCGAGACATGAGGGCCAAGAAGATCACCGCCAAGCCGACGGTCAGGGACTCCGTGACCAGTATGACCGTCCGGTTAAACACGCGGCCGAGATACCCGAGGCTGTAGCGGACGGGGTTTGGCACGCTCAACGATCGGAGACGCACCTCTATAGCAACCCATTCGCTTCGCTGCCCCCGGGTAGCTACCAGAAACTTCCAGCTCCCGAGTACACGGAAGAATCCGGATCTCCCCAAGAACCCATCCATGCAGTAAGTATCACAGAACGAGAAATACCACGTCAGACTCTGCGACATGACAACCATTCTGCCATCTAGCTCGTGTATGCGAACCACTTTACATTTCTTTCTGATTCCTATATAGGCCACACACGCTGTTGAACTTTTCCTTGATTCTGTCCTGAGACATTGTCTTCGCACGTTCTTAACATGTGCATAATATACGGCTGTACTGCAGTAAAATAACACCATCCCATTGATACTTAAAACGGCCGTTTCACCATAGCGCGCCCCCAAGAATTTGCAACGCGTTGGCCAATCACAGTGCGCGAAATTTGTCGACCCAATGCACGTTAGGAAAGGGTCGACAAATTTCGCGCGTTATGATTGGCCAACGTGTTGCAAACTCTTGGTGGCGCGCTATTGTGAATCGCCCGTATTTAATGGCATTACGTTCAGCGGAACAAAACCCTTTTACAAATGCACATCAATAACTTCACAGGACTGCATACAGAAAAGTGAGGACGAGCTAAAATGTCTTTCAAGTAATACATTGAGTGGCACATTCAATATTTAATTACTTGTAATTCATGAGAAATCACATTGTACTTGTCCTCTGCATTGGCATGCACAAGATACCCATTGGTACCGTCCACTAGAGGCGGATGGGATGTTTGTCAAGACATGCCGTGAATGGTTGGGCAAACCATCCGGGCCAACAGCATGACGTACCTAGCAAGCACTTTATATATCAAGGTCTATGTAAAATGACCCTTGACACAGTAAAACGTATACTAAAACTTCTCATTTTTGAGACCCAAAGTCACTTAAGCGAAACAGATCTAAAGCACAAAAATAATACAAGGACACTGACTACCAACTAAAGAACCGACCAACCAACCAAGTGAGTACGTACATGTATCACGAGCGATCGCTCGGCCCACTGATTGACATATCGATTAACAAATTTTCACCGGCCAGACAAACATCAGACACACAAACCAGCTCGGCTGCTGTCTGCAAAGTCATCCTGTCACTTCAGGCTGGCGTACAAAAAACCCACTATCTTTGACTTTTTCAATAAGTAATATCCACTAGAAAAGAAGATTTGAAGGAAATCTGTAATGAGAATTAGAGTTCTTTTGAAGATTCCGTATCGCCTGCTCACTAGACAGTTTCCAGGCAGCCTCCAAATCTCGCTGTCTGAGTAATCTCTTGCTTGGAATGTCATGTAATTATAAGTATTATACCAACAGCGACCGGGCTCTTTGGGGGTGGGTGGAAGGAGGATATTTTTTTCTTCAAAGCCAATTCTACTTTTCTTTGTGGAGGCGTAATCCTTAAAATCCTTTTAATCATGTATATCAAATGATAGACACCCTCAAAAGGCCGACTATATATAACTGTGGAGCCGACGAAATCCAATGTATTATTGTCCTTGGAAAGAAATCCAGCTCGGCGTAATAACACTAGAGGCGAGGATATATTTGCTTTGAAGAATAAGATGTTTTTTCCTGACCGATTCCGTCAGGTTGTTTGTCGCATTCCCTGTGGAGGGTTCATCAACAAAACAGATCTGGCCTGCTGAACAGCTCGCGGGGTGGTCTTATTTCGCCTGGATTATTACAAAATTGACTGTTGAAAAGAACGCTCTCGTAGTATTTGTCAGGCTGGGTAAATTAAAATAAGAAATTCGCCATGAAATACACACAAAAAAAAATCATCAGCAGGAAAGTATGCAATAGCACCCAAAGAGTGGTGGTTTAATGAGAAATTCCGAAATAAATCACGGGAATAACATCGTGCATGTAGGCATAGCCTAAATAGGGAAAAGGGAAAACGAGAATTCCGAAAGTTGAGGGCCATTCTGCGTTTTTCACTTTTCTTTGTTAGATACAAGGGTGTTTTTGCCATCCACAAAATGAAAAGATTTTCTGCTTCGCAATCTTGAGCGTCGTGAGTCCAATTTTCAGGGGGGATGTGAAGCACTACATCAGTTGCAAATCAGTACGCCATTAAAAGTACACAAAAAGGTAAATTGTAAGGTTTTTCTGTTAAGCAAACTGGTGATTACGTCCCTTTCATCTATTTTCTTCCTCTCTTTAGCCTCGGTAAAATTATTCATTTTTTTCCGGGGGGAAGCAAGTGCCTCTTAACTGCAATGCACGTGTCAGCAGTTACTTCTTGTGAAACGGATCTCTTGTCAGATTTTCTAATCCTCCTCTACATTGCAGCGAGACGTACTGGTCAAGATCGACAGCCGGCGCCTTCAGCTGACCTACCGCCTCAACGCACCGCCTTACTTCACCTTCGAGGGCCTACTAGCGCAGCTGGCCACCTACCTGATGCCGGGATTCTGCGTAGACCTCGCCGTGACGCGCCGGGATCAGAACTGTGAGATCATCAGTCACATGGCAGCCCTTCAGACGGACCGGACACAAATCTGGCTGATCGAGATCGTGGACACGGGTGGAAACGTACGTATAGAATATAGACCTTTATCGGGCTGCCGCCATGTTTGTCTTGTTCCCTGTAGACTCATCAGCAATAGTAAAATAACTTTGCATGCTCATAAATAAGGAAACAGACTAACTGTCCTTTTAGCCTCAGTTTGGTTACACTTCGGGTTCAGTCAGACTGAAATCAACAGTCATTCGTAGAAAGTATTCAAATATAATTTGTAATCACGTATCAACTCAAAGGCGCCATTTTGCCAAATGTATGTCTTGGTCTGACCCATAATGCAAAAGTGAAAATAATAAACACAACATTAAAGACACTAGTATACCGTTACAAGTGGCTCCAATTGGCGTGATTTTCCTCGCCGTAGTGGCTTAGTTGGGCTGCGATTTCTTTTCGCCCAACACGCTAGGGGAAACCTAACTTGAATAAAGGCTATAATCGTGGCTCTGGAATAATTTTTCTCAAAGGGAAGTATAGTTGGATATTTAAACAGGGGAGGCGTCCCCCGATAATAAAACGATTTTCCCATAGGAGAGTACGTGGTGTATCCCCACGCAGTTGTGCAATTAAAAAAACGCGGTACTTTATTTCTCGCTTTTCTTATATCACGCCGAATGTCTGCTGCCACCAAGTGGTTGAAAAGAGCGCTTCCGGGAATTAGCCGAGTGTCTGACATACATGTCATCAATGTGTTCGCGTACATAGGCTATACAGTTGTTTCACTTGTCATGAACTTCAGCTGCCAGTAATAAAAAAGGGGGGAGACAGTGTAATCTCGATCAGTACGACCCCATCAAAACTAGAGCTCATGCGTCAACTGCATTTGATTATGAAATCGTTCTCATTCTTAGATTATCTGGATGGATCAGTGTATACCCGACACTAGGCTCTTCATAGTGCTGGGGTCGAGGGTTTCCTTCAAGTTCAGGACGCACAGCCTCGTCCCCTCTGCGATCCTGCCGGTTTCTACCGAGGAAGCTTCCCCGGAAGGTACCGGTGACACCACCCCCGAGGAGCCGCGGGAGAGAACCCACGCCTCGGTGGGCCTACCCGCCTCGGATCACGCTCAGGTACCGCAAGGTCCGCCCCTTACGCCGCAGCGACAGACGTCGGAAAACTCCTGATCTTTTCCCAAAGCACATCGCTAATTTTAAACCAAAGCTCCCTAAATTCAATGAGTCATTTTTAAGTATATAACTACATATATTTCAGCGTCACGTGATCCTGCCTGTAGGTTGGGCTAGCACGGTGAAAACCTTGACTTGAACACTTCAACTCCAAACATGCAGGCCTAAGGTTTACTAAGTCCATATACTATGGAATCACTCTATAATCCAATAATTGAGTGTTTGTTGGTTTAAGTTCATAAGATAGCTAAAAAATGTGCTGTGTAGACATGTATTGAGATGATGTTTCAACCGACGAAATGCACAAATTAAACGTTGGACTTTAAAATGACATAAACTGTAGTCAGAATAATACCGCACAAAAATATCGCTTTTAAGAAATGATGGCCAATTGCCGATTGTGCTGGTTACGATTGAGAATATTTAGTAATTAGATCTATATTGTCAGCATTCATTAGTATTCTTAGAAAATTATTTATAATGTTCAGAGAAAGTGCGCAATTGACTCGTTTGATGATACACAGTGGGGCATCCAGCCGGGGGCGGGGCAGGGGGCAACCCCCCATCTTTTTTTCAAGTAGTTTTATTTATCAAATATTAGCAACAAAACCTTAGAGAAAACAACACCCCGAAATAAAAGCAAGGATCCCAGGACTAAGAGCTAGACTTTTGATATTTTTTCTTCCCCCAAATCATGTTGAATTAGCCCGAAACCGCATTCGCTTTTGAATTTCCCCATCTACAACAAAAGCTGTATACTCATCGGATGATACATCGCATAGTTAAGGTTTTAATATTGCAGATTTGAAAAAAAGGTTTATCTTTGACACTCAGACTGACTGCGTCGCAATTTATGACGAACCGATGTGACCAACCAATGGCGTTACAGCCTTCCCATGACGAAGTTATTTACATATAAACCGTGTTTACTTTGCAACTGGAATGTTTAAAGTGACATCATTTCCTCGTACTGTGAAACAAATTCGTCGTGAATAATATCAAGTTGAAATAAAATAAACAATAAACCTATAACTGACCATGCACTTGGAATAATATGATTTTGTCTCAATTATTTGAAATGTTTGCACTTGTAGATTCTGGTAAGAGGTGGACGAACATGAATGGAACATAAATACCAAAATAATAGAAAATGATAATTTTTCCAAATGTTTATTCAGTTAACAGTCATGTCACAGTATATTTTTTTAACACGAGCTGGCAATGACAACAAATGTGCTTTACTTAAATATTTATAATCCTCAGCGAATAATAAAATAAGAGTTATCGTGGCAAAGTCTTTCTGAAATTGTATAATTATGTGGCAAAGATTAAATAAATATGCAAGGGATCACAAACATATAGGCACACATTATGTACACACCCAGCGCCACCTTTTCTAAAGCACACACTTTTTGCGAATAGCAATATGCATGGGAAATTCCCAAAGGGACCAACATTGTATTGCCACCTTACTAGAGATGTGAGAAATTTTTTTTACTTCTTTCAATCCAGCATTCGTTTCATTGTACATCTTTTCGTCCCTAATTTCCAAAGACAGTAGAGTAAAATTTCAACATTTGGAAATAGGAGGGTATTATTATTAATTATTTGACCATCACAAGAACAAACAAAGCAAAATTGAACAAAAAGTATATTAAAAAAAACACACACACGAGAAAATAAAAGCAGAAGCAGTGACCAGGGACAAAAATCCGAATACATAACAAGGCGGTATTAAATACTATTCTTTTTCTGACTAGCAACGCACAACTCTTCATTAGTCAATCTCCACCGATTGCTAATCATAAATATTAAATCGTGTCTAGAATGTTATTTCATAACATGAGAAAAAGTGAGTTACATGATCACATAGACGAAACAATGAAGCAAACAAGTAACCAATGAGTAATTTTAGTAACCATCTAGAGATCAAAACGTCTTCACCTTTTTGCAAACAGAAAGTTCCTTTTAAGGGAGTAGATCGACTTTCAAGACTCTGGCTGTTGTTCCTTTGTTCGCACGAAGTAAGGGTCAGATATGAAGTGATCTCCACGAGGTTTGAAATGTCGCGCAAAAGGTTACAGCAGCGCGTTTGGTTTGTCCGAAGTTAAGCCCGTGGTTGAAATGCCCCTTTTAATTTAAGACTGCTTGTGCCGGTTAAGCAAGATCCTTGAGCATGCGTGTAGCATCTTGGGGTCGCTTATAACAATGACAAGTCCACAGTTTCGTCTTTGTGTCCTCGAAGCGTCCAGGACTTGCCACTTGTGTTGATGATCCTCATAATTTTTTTAAAATAAAAACAAGCTGCTTCATTGGCGCTGTTGCGCATACTGTACAGCACAGCTCTTTGGAAATTGACTTAATTGAGTACAATCACACAAAGTGAACTTGATGTTACAATCTGAAATAACATAAATACATATTTGTAGATAGCACCACAAAACTCAGCTGATATTACATTATAAAATATAACAGCCTACCTTTACGCTTGCATATCAATATCCGTGCATAAAGACAACACATGTAATGCCGCATTCATGTTACTTTGTACACGCAAAGCAAATAACAAAGGATACCTCTGGCTTAGGTACAAAACAATGCCCATGTTGGTTAAGACTTACCATGTCAACACAAACTCTGAGAAGTCCAGCTGTCCAGCGACTTTTTTTTACGATAATAACTTACAATTTACAGCAATCATCTGTAGATAAACTGTACAGTACCACATCTCACGCACTTTTTTTGTGCATTTAACAGAGGAAGAACATTCTTTCAATTAAGGTTTTTTGCCCTTACCCGGCGTATATTCACAAACACCGTATACTCAGTGCTTGAAGAACATTCTTTCAATTAAGGTTTTTTTGCCCTTACCCGGCGTATATTCACAAACACCGTATACTCAGTGCTCGAAGAACATTCTTCGCACCATTTACTGTTCTACTTCGATTTACAACGCATGAACATTAATTGCTTATTGACATTAAGACGGGAATATGTTCATTTTGAACTTTCCTTGAACTTCCAATCCCTATGCTGAGGGTAAACTCGCCGTAGCCGAGCCAATAAGGAAGAGTTGTGGAAGCTGTATTTTGGGTCTGCATGAGCAAACGGGAAACTTCCAGCACACTGATTTACATCGTCTATACAAGTATTTACAGCGAAGCCACGAGGCAAAGCAGGACGTGTGGAGGAGGATACGCATGCACCATTCGCGAATGGTACAAGGTGCGAGTGACGAGAATCCATTAGATACAGTGATTCGTTGGCTCCAATCAGGTAGTCGCGTCACAACACGAGGCAGTTCCCCTTTAAGCTAATGACAGTTCGGAGAAGATGGTCCTCTTCTTCTCTCCTTTGACCGATCCACGTTTCTTCCCCAATGACTGGGAGATAATCTGAGAGGAAAAGATGAGGGCATGACAAGAAATGACAAGTTCGTAATACGACGCTGGCATGGAGTAAGCACTGTATGGTCAATGTCATTTCCTTTACCATTTTTCACTGCAGTCATGGTCGTTATACCTTCATTGCAATGATCATCAACGCCAAACGTCCCTTGCGTCTGTATGAGTCATCGATGCCATGGTAACCAACCCCCATATATGTTAAACCACTGTTATCACCTCCTAACCGTCACTCCCCAGTCAACAGGACAGCTCGACTTACCGATTTTATCTGAGCTTTGCTGAAGTCCCCGCGAACTTTCAGTACACGCCGAGCATGCTTCTCCTTTAAATCCGGGTACTTGTTGACGAGCACCTGTCGCGTAAAAAATAGAACGTTGAAGCATCATGCAGTGTGGACACCACTTGGATTAAGCAAGATTTTTGGATGGCAATATCGCGGGTAAGGCGTTGGCCGCAAAAACCACAAATATGACTCAGGCATCGTCTAACCGGAAAAAGCCTACGATTTCTGTGGGCGCAGTCGGCACTTGTTACTGATTTGATTTGGAAATGGGTTGATTAATGGAGGCATTTTACTTTGCAAAAACAACATGTTTCTGAAATTACATGACAAGTCAGAATTTCAAAGACATAATATTCTGGTATGACACTGACTGTGAATACGATTGATGAGATCAGTTGGTTTCTCGTGACAATTACATTTGTGCATCTCATTTTGTGCGGGTAGGGATAAAGTTGTCTGGTAAACAACCATCATCCGCCAGGGGTGCGTAATGTACGAACATTCAACACAAACAGTGCCAGCGAATTGAATGTAAGGTCACGGGACGGCTATCTTTCCAGAACTCCAACTATACTCACAATGAGGTCTGTGATGGCCGTCTGCTGGTCGTCAACTTGTACCAAACCAGCCAAGTCGCGCACCACAGCCCAGCGAGATTCCTGAAAAATAAATACAATCCAAAACTGTTACATAGGTGCAGAATCCGGACCAAAAATCGGCAGAAAATGTCTTTCAAAATGTGCTCCTGAATAAAATGACAATTCTTCAATTAGAATGCGGACATGTTGCCTTACATTTCCGTTCACGGCACCGAAATCTTGCAAGAACTTCTCCAGCCGACTGCATTCTCGGCAAATCTTATCGAACAGGGCCAGCCTGTCACTTTTGCGCCCCTCAAAACGAATCCTCCTGTTACACAGATAAAAAAAAATGAATTATAAGGAAATTCAAAGCAACAATATCTCTTACCCTTACACTTCCTTTTACATTTTTGACTGAAAGCCCTTTGTGCAAGTCTTTGACCGAAACGAAAATAATGCATAAATTCATTGCTAAACTCACTTTTTAATGAGCCCTTCCAAATAACCCACGACCAGTTTTTCCTCTATCACTGACATCAACAACGCACGCACTGGTTCTCGGAGATGACGTAAGTATGATGTCATGACATCGCACATCGTGTCTACTGCTTCCCTACCGTTACCAGCCAACCTGTCGCACCATAAAGAATTCAAAAGAGGGTTGTGTAAATTAGTGCAATGTGATTTCATGGGGAGATAGGTCCAATTTTCTTCCCACGGAATTTGCATAATTATGCGGTGATCCCCTCCTAGATACTCACCAATTCTGGGTCAACAGTGTGTTGAGTTCTGTATTGATGTCGCCCAAAAGTTTCGGCAGCAACAACTCAGAACTGATATGGAGAAAAAAAACCCAGAGCATTTACTATTTTCTTCCAACAGAATCAGTTGCAGAATAATACAAAATCTCAACTGCCTAGGCCTATTCGGCACTTATTTGAAACTTGGTACATAAAACTGTAATGACAAATTATACTTTTTATCAAAACGGGCGAAGGACAACACATTTAAAAATGTTCTCCTCGTATTATTTTATTATTGTAACTGTGTTCTCCTTGATGCCAATGTACGCCAAATGAAAAAAAACAACTTTAATTTACAAATTCCCCTGTACCACTTCAGTCATCGTCAGAGTGGGTTCTAAATTTAAGTTTGGTTTCTCGGTCATGTCATTGCTCATAGAAGAAATTCATGATCCCTGAACTGATGTGTTTTTGAAAGTCTTCCTCATCAATTTTGCTCACCACTTTTTTGTCTGAGCGTTGATCTTCCGTATGAGAGTCTGCGTGGGATCTTCGTCCATCTGCATGTTGTTGTTGTTTCTGCAGTTTTCCGTTGCCTGTTTCTGGGCCTTACTAATCTCCTGAAAAAAAACCCCCAAAATTTATGTCGAGATTTCTCGGAGTCTTCACTTTGAAATTTCGTTGCCATGCTATTTTTGACGTTTTAAGTGTGCTGAAGAGAAATGGGAGCCAAGTTGTAACAAAATGAGTCAAGATCGCCAATGGTGATTGTTAGATTGCAGGACATTACACATGATCGTTTATAATGAAGATTAAATTTGAAATGTCAGTGTGGTGTTGTTGTAAAAAGACAGCGGGTCTAGAACAATCATGACGAATAAATTGCACGTGGGCCTGCAAGGTTTCATGACTGCCCAGAGAATATGTTTTAAAAGTGGGAAACAACACACTCTTTTGATACAAAAAATGTAAAACGTGATATTTTCAATTCTCTAAGCGATACACTTTGTTCCTTTCCTAAAGTATTGGATAAAGAGCACAGAAACTCTTTATGCGATGTTTTAAATCAGGTTTTGAGTATTTACCATCATCTCCTTGAGACGTAAAGCAATTTTGTCGAAGTTGTTCAGCAGGGCAACCTGAGGGAAAAAATAATATTACATCAACATGAATGCCTACAAAATCACGGCTAGAAATTAGAGTGTCACGTGGTTGTGTTTTCACTTTACTGTGGAGTGCCTGCGGTTTGGGCTCCATTGCCCGAAATGGGGAGATAAAGTTCTCACCGCGTATTTCTCGAAATGGGTAGGTCTCGGTTCGTCGGAGTTCTTCCGTGCGCCCCGCTGTAGTTGCAGCTTGGGAGAGTGGCGGTGAGCGGTTTTACCGGTGAGGGCGGGCTCCTGTCCAATGTATGCTTTGGCACTGGCTGCGAAGAGACGAAGAATAGAGAAGTAATCGATCTGTTGGTCAATTAATCGACCGAGGATAACATCATCGATTGGTCAGCCGAAAATTCAATTAGTCATTAAATCGATCTAGACGAAATGAGTAACGATTCACTAATAGCTTGTATTGAATCAATTAAAACTCGATGTATCAATATATTTTGTAAATGGCCAAACAAATTGAACCATTAATTCCAGTTGTCAGATTAAGTCCTAATCCCCCAAAAAACTACAAAAAAGGCTCAAACTTGAATGTGACCCTCTGACGTGCCCAACCCTTCCATACAAAATGTACAAAGGGCTCGTCCGCTTCAACGTATTTCCCATAGGGCCTACAGCACAGCTGAAATCTCACCCGCGTAGGATTCCATGATGGCGTCCAATTCCTGTAGAGACAGCATGGAGATTTGTTCATGTAGCTCCCAGCTTATGTCTCTGGCCTGTCTTAGCTAAACAGGACAAAGTAGAAGTGGAATTTTCGATTTTACCAAGAGTTAGAAAATGATGATTTTTTTTTGTTTTCATTTGGGAAAGGTTCTACAGACCATTAAGAAATGAGGTCTCAATTCATTAACAGAAATTGACACTTGCCTGGGCCAGCCTTTTTTTCAAGGACTAATTTTGAATCATTTGACAATCATTTTGGTTTATCTATGTCGCGGTTCCTGAGATCTAATCGATCCGAAGCAGTGAGGAGTGAATCACGAGATGGCGCACTTCTTCGTGCAGACCCTCTGGTCTCTCCATCTGAGAAAATGTTGTCGTGCAGTTTCTCCCATACTCAAAGTTACTCTGATCAACTCACGTTTTCCTCCAGCATTTTTAGGATGTCTAGAGGGAACTGAGTGTAGAATGCTCCCGAGTGCTCGGCGATTGGCTCGTCTTCGCTTCGCCAGTCCTGCAAGAACAATTCCAAAGGATGGAAAAGAATGACAGCATTTACCCGTTTTATTTCCTCCCAGGACTGAAAAACAAATAAAAATTGACTGTCTGTAAGAATAAATACGAGCCGTCGGTACTTACATTGATATCTCTCTCAAGGGCGTTTTCCATCCACTCGTGTATGTGACCCTTTTTTTCCCTGAGGAATCTGCAGAGAACGAAGAAAGATGACAGGGACTACAACAACCGATCCCAGTAAGACGCACAATGTGACTCGCTTTTCCAAAATCAGGCTGAAGTAAAAGGGGATGTTGATGTTTCACGACTCATCTCCTCGATGGTAATTTTCATACTAGTCCTCCGTACAAAACGAATTTCTGCAGGAAACTTGGATGGAAACCTTTGTTCAGCTCTTAGGATAATCTTGAAAACTGTGCAAATATCCAGAGTGATCAAAACCTTCCTCAAAAAGGAATGTTTCGTGTTTAGCATCTCCCCACGATCCACGATTAATGCAACTTGATGGGGTAGGAGTTTGTTCTCAACTTACTTGTCCTGAAGTTCAACGATCATACGGCAAGGTTTACAGTTGGCATCTTGGCAGTTGAAAATTCTATCGCTGTAGCAACAAAAGAGGAAAAACGGGAACAATCAATGATGCGAGCAACGGCGAGAGAATCTGCGCCTTTTTATTGAAAGCTCGGGCCTTGACATGAACAAAAATTTAAAGGAAAATGACATTTTTTTCCGTGAAGGGGATGCTGCAACCAGCTCGGATACAAACATTTCAAAATGATTGACAAAACCAAAATTATAATTTAGTCACTAATGAATATTCATTGGATAATCTTACCGACACCATATCATCCAGGAGAGGACTTGTACAGTTTCTGCATCATTCAGATGGAATGAAAACCGGTCATACATCTAAATTAATAAAAATAGCAGAAAACTTTACTCAACCATAGATAGTTTTCAACAATTCAGAGTTGACACATGCACACCATAAGATATCAATTCTATTCAAACAGACGTTCATACGTACCAGTGTCATCAGGTTCTCGTAGTAAGTCATCATATATGTGTTCAACATGTCCCACTCTTCCGTAAAGACTTTGCTAAGACTCTTCAGAAAATAAAGAGAAATAAAGAATGATTGGGGAAGTCAATTTAAAATCCATGTTAAGGGAGAAATGAAATGTAAAAGTAAGGTAATAGTTCTATTGTCAACATACTGTAGATGTCAAAACTCCAGTATTCCAAAGGGAAGTGAACTGACTTTCATGGGGTGGCTACAGAAAATGTACAGCAAGGATGGGTACTTTGGCTGGTAACTCAAAAGTCTCGTTTTTTTCGCGACAATGTCATTGGTTGATAAACACCGTGACGATTCTTCCTTTTCAAAATCTGATTGGCTAGACACTTGATACGCACTGGACGTGCAAACACACCACGTAACTTCAAACGCGCTTCAAATAACACGCCTACGTACCCTGGCATGCTCCAAATCCTTCTGAATGTCATCCCGTGCCTTTGTTAGGCGAAGCAGGAGGCGGCTGCCATCTTTGTCCTCAAGGATTTCAGGTGAAGGCGCTGTTTCAGAGGCTCTGATAGTAATGATGATAGAACGATACAAAAAAGTCGCATTATAAAACGTATATGTACACGTGGACACCCTGCTATAACTGGTAGCATTATATATTCTTATATATATTCTATATATTCTATTCATATTATATATTATATATTCTGCAATGTTATCGCTTTGACAACCATTACAGGCTACCGATCGGGTTTGAAATTCCCACATTTCAATGATTATAAATTTTTGGTAATTAGTGGCATTGTGAGCTTCCATTGGAAATCATCATAACGCTCGTATGTGAAATCAGTGGCTGTAGGGGAAAGGAACGGAAAGCACGAACTGATCGTTCAAAGTTAAGACGTTCAACAAAATCACCATTGATGTAATTTTGCAATAACGTACAACTCTGTCCTGTTGTAATACCAGAAAACAAGTTGATTGTAAACAAAGGAAGGTGGTCCATGTGGGAAAGCAATACGTGGGCTTCCTATCCGGACTGGAAGTTAAACGGACTGTCTGTGTACACACAGTGATTGAGAAATAATTTTCTCGTGATGTGACGGGGTTTCCCCATCAGTTTCCCTCGGAGCTTGTACCAGAGAAAGCCCAGGTCAGCAGTTGTCGGCAGCTGGCGCATTGTTGGCAGGGCGGAACGCGAGCTTGTGTGTGCATGGGGCATGACTCATGCTGTGCACGAAGACGGCGTTAGCAAAAATAATAATTCATTATTACCACGCAAAGCCTCTTCGTATGCCTCAGTATAACAATCTTACACCATCGGGTTACATTGGGTAAGATGGTGTCTGTTAGATGGAGAGAAGGGGCCAATATTGGAGCTGCTAAGAATTTGCAGAGAAGTTTCTCCTGCCTATTGAAAATGTGTCATGCTCCAAGGGTAAAACACTTGCTCCCTTCGTAGACAGATATTATGCGAAGGGCGACCTGATAGAATGTGCTGACGCTCGGGAGGAATGCACGGCAGGATGGCACGGTATAACAAGGATGAGGCGGACGCTGCTCCGCGTTCAGCGGTTGGAATTCCCAAGCTAGCCCCTGCTGAGGAATGTTGCTGATACTGCAACATTAGGGGCTCTCGTTTGGAAATTACCTCAGCCTTTCCTTGAAATGCAATCCCGAACGGATCGCTCTATCTGGCTCTTGGCCAGTCATTTCTTGGGAACACCAAGGTCCAAGTGACGGGTTCTTTTCCGGCAAAGAAACCATGTATTGAATTTTTTTTTACAAAGCTACGAGTGATCTTATGACACGAAAAAAACTGCTAGACGGGATTTACGTTGAAAAATCACAAAATTTCCTCTCTTCAAAAGAATAAAACCCCGGTACCTCATAAACTGGCATTTCATCTTATGTTTATGAGGCGTACTGTGAGAGATCCCCTATGCGCCCAAAGCGTCGATTTCATTCTCAGGCCAACAGTATACATGATGTACATGCTACATCATTGAACAACTCACTCAATGATATATATGAACACAAAGCGTCACTGCGGTCGAGGATTCCCTTTCATTTAAAGCTTTATTTAAAGGTAGCTTTCACTAAAGGCACACTGCTTGTGAGGAGGGAATTTTCACATATAGGAACATTAGAAGGCTAAAAACGCGAGAACAGGCATTATATTTTTTTAACAACATCGGTGCACGGGCTCTCTTGTTGACTAGCATGGCCCCACCCCAGCTTTCAACATACAGCTGACCTAATGAACCTCACGCCTTGACCTAATGAACCTCACGTCTTGTCGTGCACGTGTGTGTGCCAGAAACATTGTCATGGTGATAGAAAAGTAAGGTTTGGATAGATATGAATGGGTTTTTTTTTCGGGGGAGGGAGTGAAGTTAGGCCTACTTCCTGTAATTCAACCATTTGACCGTGAACAAAGACCGGAATTCGTAGAAAAACTACAACATCACCTCACTGTCTCGATTTTGAGCTCTATTTGGCCACTTTCTGTGTTCAAAATATCCAGGATATGGGGCAGAATTTATGTTTAACCTTTCATTTTTCTCCGGAAATTTGAAATCGGAGAAGTCTTTGTATATCTGTCCATGTACGGTTACCTGACCAGATTCTTTACCAGAAATCATTAAACAGCCCGGCACTGTATGCACGGATATACCCAGCTGTGGAAAGCTTTTTGATAGCAGATAACAGGCCTACAGCGCAATGCAAAATATACCGGGAATTCCAAAGGAAACTTCCAGCTCCAATAACAAGGAACATTAAGCAATATCGACATTACACACACTACAGCTCACCGGTACACCAATGAGACTTTGGCACTGATACGCTACAGAGGGATTTCGGGAAACCAAGTTTTGTCCTTTTTTTTTAATCAGGCAACTGCAAGCCTTTCCTCATTTCCTCTCAAAATATAACAAACCAAAACATCTTGCAATTAATTTTCACACTGTATCTCTACCCAAAATCATATACTCTGCGGTTCAAAACTTACCTCTTTGAAACTCCGGTCTTCATGACCTCCAGGCATTTCTCCCTCCATCTCTTGGGCCGTTCTGAATTCAGGAACGACCCGTCGTTCTCTGTGGAATTCTCGGTGAATTTGTAGTCTTTTCTGCGCAAATAATGGCCAAATTTTCCAGTCAGCAGACCGAGCTTTGGAATAATCCTACCCCCAAAGTTGGACTTGCTTTTGCATATTCATGTACTCGTATATGATAAGACAGTTCAAAAAGAGGAAGGAACAGCACGTCACAGCTTAAATCTTGGACAAAAATGTTATCATTTCATAGTTAAATTTGGCTATGAGCCCCAAGCTGGACCAAGAGAGGACGCAATTTACCTAGCAAAGCAGGCTTCTTTGGTAGGAACTGTACTTCGCTGGTTCACAAACGACGACGAAATACATGCGTTACGGTCGCTTCGCTACCAAGAAAATGAGCACTCCCGACCAACATGACTTTTTTCAACCGATGAGGGGGTGCTTCTGCTCAAAGCGGATAATAAAAGTGTGGCTGGTCTCTCTGAATTCAGACTTTATGCATTTTAAAGTCTCGCCGTCTCAAAACGTATTAGTCGATTTTCAGATTTTATCGTACGAAAGCTTCACTATATACATACATGTAGAGTTTCAGCCACTAGAAGGAATCGGTCTGATTGACAGGTTTACGTTTGCTGGTTAGCGATAATCTGCGGGTCAAAATGCCGATTTGTGCATGATTTATTGCTGAATTTACACGATGAGCACCCCTACCTCTCTTCGCTGTCGACGATTTTCACGCACGTATGTAGTAGGTGCTGGTCGTATGTTGCCAAACTTTGCAAACGAAGAAAGACTTGATGAATCTGCTCGAACATGAAGTTCTATATAGGAACGATCCAACAGGAAAAGATAACCAGAAAGTTAGAATTGAAATGCAAATTCTACACAATGGATGATCAGTTCACTGTTATGTAAATCAGTTCTTTTTATTTCTTGAAGGGACTACCTACCTAAATCATATGGAACATGTTGACAGATTTGTACTATGAAAATTTGATCAAAAATGTATATTTTTGAACATATTTCTGCAATAGAATTTACTTTGAAAAGTTAATCTCTCTGTTGAGCTGATGCGGAAGATATAAAAGCTGAACCTCACTAAACTGCCCCCGATGCAAAACCCCCAAATGACAAAGGGGTCGGTTTTATTAATAACTTCCTCTTAAGCAGTCTCAACCCTAAAAGAGTTGGGTTAATTTGGCCCATCTCACAGCCGGGGGATGGATTCCGCCCCTAAACTCGGCTGTGCCAAGCCTAATTTTTATGCAACTCGGCATGCAGGTGTCATTCCACATCAGTCGGGCGTATGGTTTTGTTATTAGGGTCATGTGAAGTTCGTGGTTACGTACGTGCCAGTACGCGTGCATTGAGCACCACAATGGAAAAAAGTACTCATTTTGTGGCCCATTTGTCTCGGGAGAATGCGCGCTGCACGAGAACAAAATGCAAAATGATGTCAAGATGACCGCAAAGAGTTATTCTAAAAAAAATCCTAAAGGCTGAACTCCCCCCCAAAAAATGCAAAAAAAAAATGTCGACTATGGGTGGAGGATTCAGCCCCCGGCTCTTTTAGGGTTAACCATCAGACGAAATTCTTTGCAGACTACCGGATATGATACAAGATAATCACTGTAATCACAACTTTATGACGCACTAGTGATTTGTTTTGACAGCTTCATTGTCATTTGAAGTGCACCGTAGCTATTAACACAAGGTCGATGTCAACAACTTTGACAGGTTACATAATTTGCACATCCTACCTGGATGATTGGAAAGTACATGTATCACGATGACTCAGTATATAATAACGATAATGAAGCACAATTTTACAAAAACATTTGTATCGAATTAAAGTGCACGATACAAAGTCATCAACAAGGAAATGGCTTCCACAAATGGATTTGCGTTGCTGAGGGAAGTCGATCCGATTTCCCTCCTTAAAAAAGGGGGTAACGAAGCACGCAGCAATATAAACAAGGCAATCTTGTTACACTTTTAATGTGCATGTACATGCATGTACATCGTTATGTACTGAGGTTGCGCCATCTGGAGCGTGCTGAATTTGTCTCTGTGCCACATATACAAACAGAATAGACGACGAGTCGCCTGAGGATGTAGCGAGTATTCAGAAGAATAGGGGGTCTACGATGCTTCACTAATAGAGGTTCCTCAATAGGTTGAAGTCGAGTGTCACAGTGTAGCTTTAATCTATACCAGTTGAGCGAAACGCGCATTCACATCACTATCAACTTAATTCCTCTTTCTCCTGCCTGTCTCGTTTGAGATGCCACAAATAACTTGCCATCGCACACGACATGCCAATAAACAGCACTATCAACGACAACATGTAAAATAAACCCCAAAACAGATTTCACACAAACAAAACCTCCCCATTCCGCAGTAGACAAACAGCTTTCTCAGCGCTGAATGTCAAGGGTCAAGCGGCTTTATGTATTTCTCATCCGGAGATGACTTCACACTTGTGTGTTTGGAAGATAATTAAGTGTAAACCTGCAGTCCAATCAAGTTCCTTTAACTGTGTCCTGTCTCAATAACTGTCGATATAAATGTGTTTGAGGCAACATTTTTAAAGATTAACAAAAGGATATGTACGAGCGAGAGCGAGAGTTAACCAAACACGGGAGCCTTAGCAGGTCCTTTTTCTGTTTTAAACGTCATGAAAGATTTTGATTAAAACAAAATTCCAACAACTTCCGGGAATCGTCATCTACTGGTTGAGGTTCGTGCACCCCGAAAAAATATGCCCGTGAGGTCACGCCTCGAGACGCGGCTAAGTCTTCTTATCGAGGCTGTCAGGATTCTTTGAGGACAGAAAAAATAAATCAAAATAGGATTTACGACGGTCCCGGAATCTTTTTTTCGAGTATTTATTTATATAGCCTTCAGATTTCCTGAATGATGAAGTCTATTGTTTTCCTGGAATTGTTACATTGAAAACACCCGAGGGAGTGTACGTTCCCACAGTAAAATGTCTGGCAAGTTGAAACCCCAGCACCGTCCAAGGTTATCATAAGCTTTTCCAATCCATGCCACTGCAGACGACCATTTTTACAACTTGTGTGGCTGCTGTGGTTCAACACACATACATGTGCGACCTACCACTGCTGCCTGTTCTCTACTCTGTTTTCTGACTTTTCTTCGAATATCCATGTGCATTACAAGACTAGATTCTCATATTTCTGACAAGTCATCAGGTATCATTCTATCACCATGACTACTTGGAAACTAAAGCCAAAGACCTCTCTAACCTACCGTCGATTGAATGAGTTTTAAGAGGGATATCTCGAACAGGAACTCTTTGTACATGACTGTCTGAATGAATTTCACTGTCTCGTCTATTTTTTAATTCTACTGATTCAGTTGGGTATAAATAAGCAGTTATTCCAGCAACAAAATAGACCGGATCGTGCTCAAAACAAACATTTTCTGATCATTTTTGCGCGCATAGTTCCCACGAATAATTCTTTCTTTAAATAATCATAATTTTGTTTACATATCAGCATTTGAAACGCTAATCCCACAATTTACAATGTCTCTTCCCATTTCCTAAAAACCCGACATCATAAATCAAGCTTGTGGGCCTATTTCTGTAACTAGTGCGTTGTTGTAAGGGTATAGGAATTATAAATGAACTTTCTTTCGTTGCAGACAAAATCAGGGGTCAGTGACGTGAGCCAGGCTCGTCAACTATTCACACCTCATAACCTTCATTGAATGTTGACTTCTGTGAACTATAAGGGACAGGCATGTTAGAACTCATTGTGTTTAGCAGGCAAAAGTGCCACCAGAACGTGAAGGAATACAATTCTCCTCATTGCATGATTTGATGTAAAGTGACGTCATCGGCCCATCAATGTTAATCGGTAGAATTGTGTAATTTTCCTAATATTTGTCATTGAATCAATGCATGTGTACATCCCGCCTGTGGCCGAAGAGAAAAAAAGTGGTTTGGGATGCTTTGGCAAGTTCTTGGGTGCACACAGCACCTGATTATACACACATACATGTATTTCATCTTTTACAACAATAAATATATACGCCTTATCTCAAATGTTAATGTAAACAAATCGTGTTTAACTCACCGATTCATTTTTGACACCTTGAAATGACTCACTCCGTATCTGTTAAAGAACCAAAAAGGAAAAGAACTTATCAAGTGTTTGTTCCGGAACCAGCCACCATTTACGTGAGTTTTCTTATCTTACTTTGGTTCCCGATCTGTGTAGATTCCTGTTTATAAAAGTGACAGCTTCGTGATACTTTCTTTCATGATCCTGTGTAGGATTTGTTGACACCGCCCCCTCCATCAACCCCACCCCCATGTGGTACCGCCATACCGAACAATCTACTTCAATTCTAAGAATCACAGTGCTTCAACTGAAAACATGTCATCTGTTTATACATTGTCATAATCCAGCGAAAGTTGATCATGTGGGGCCCTCTTAGGTCGAGTTCTTGACCGTGTTTCTTGTTCTCGCGCTCGAACAGTGGGAACATGACTCAAGAACACTGTTCTCGGAACAGGATCACACCCCACCTCCTCGTCAGGGTTTTACAGGAACACACAGAAAAACTCGTGATGTTTAGATTTTTGAACAGCTGCAAAAAGTAGAGAGATGGCTTAAAAAGCTAGAGACAAAGGAGTTTTGCAAAATTAATATCGCTAATTTTCCGTGACACAAAAAAGAATGGTCCTGTTTAAATAGAAAGAATTCAGCCTAGTTATCCAAACATTAACTATCGAATAACGTACATGGACGCCGCCATATTGAATGTTGCTTGTCACTAACTATCGGCGACAACCGGTTGTATGTTCCCGGCGTTCGAGCAGCCGACCCAAGAACAACGAATCAAGCTGTTCGTGAACATACGAGAACAAGTCGCTCGAACTCAGCCACAGTGAAAAAGGCAATAAAGAAATGTTCAGTTTTAGAGAACTCCGGATCAATTTATCCAGGGAAAACCATAGGAGTGGGAATCCAATCGATATATGCAGACCTAGGTGAGATTCGAACCCGGGCTGCAGAGGTAGAAGACAAGGGTAGAGACACCTGACTCCCCATTTATGCTACAGTTTAACACAAAATGCACAGTAACGAACTGGAGCTCTCACCTTCGTTTCCGTGTCTGTTTCATCGATCTTGGTCAGCTCCCTGTGGACCCCATCCAAAATCTCGCCTCGGCAAGTCTCGAGGTATTCTAATCTGTAGGAGACAATTTACGAAGATACTGTCAATATCAGAAATGTGGACATTGTAAAGTCCAATTTCTTTTCCCCCCCAAAAAAAACTTTAGTGGACGACGGAACAGCACTGAAATTACCTTGAAGCTAGTAAACTATTACATGTTTACCATTTTTGCTGTGAAAAACTACAGATATTGACCCGTTATTAATAATAGATGTCAGAAAAACCCCATGAAGACCAAGAACAGCTTTCACTAATAAGATCATCATCTCCTCGGCATCAAGATGGTCGGCTCTATAAATGACCCCTCTTTATAGCCTTACCCAACCCGTACTCAGCTTATGCATGGTATCAGCTGCAGAGGAGCATGATTAAAGCTGTTGGATCTTCAATAGCCACAGATTGAGAACCTGGGAGATGAAACTCTCCAAAATTTCCATGAAGTGATAAACTTGGTCCACGGTATCTCACCACTCGGCATTTCAGTTTTTAACTGAGATCTTCCGTTTTGCACAAGTCCATTTCTTGTTCGTCTCATTTTTGCTATCGGACCATGAATACGGGACTCTAATTTTGACTAATCGACCCAGTAATGGCACAATATACAAATAGTTAATAGGTCTACTTACTTCTTGTAATTTCTCCAAAGATTGTCACTTTGGTTCGCAGATGGTCGACGTTCCATCGTGATCGTGAGACTAGGTTTCTTCTGCTGAAACACAGAAGAAATTGGAAACCCTCTTTACTCAGGCTCGATAAAGCTTTCTTTAGACGTTAGTCAATATGTATCAGTCGCGTAAAAAAGTTACAGCGCTAGACGGCCTGCCCTCAAGCTTGAATGAGCTTGCTTTGAAGTTGAAGGGAAATTTCGAAATCAACTTGGGATTGGTATCCCAACCAAACTGGATAAATCTATTGTGGAAGCCCAGATTATTAAAATGGGCGACGTTGGGTAAAAGTTCTAGCCTGATCCTCTTCCACAGGACAAGAGCGTTCTAGCATGAGAAACCCCTCCACATAAAGCACCTGTATTCGGCCACTTAAACAGGTCGTCAGGTTGTCCTGTCTTTAATAGACAGGCCCATCCTGTTGGTGCTATCGATGGATGCTCAATATGTCCAGGAAGTATTCTAGTACAGTACATGACAGCCAGAAATACGGGATTTTATGTAACTACCACACAAGCCGGGGTGATGATGCAAAACAAAAGCTGCCGAGAGTGAAATGGTTAGACGATAATAATTGCACCTTATGGCACCTCCCAAGCTGGTTGAGTTGTAAACAGTCACCTTCATGGATCAACAGTATAATACTGTATATAATGACGGTCGGTGTTCTTTGTGCACATAACATGCACTCCTCGTTTACGTACATCGTAATACGAGGATACATTCTATGCATACAAACTTGTGAGCTCAGGGTACAAAAGTCACCCAATGTAATGCGACCAAGGACACGATTACCATTAGCTGCCGAACGACACTTTCAAAAGGTAGGTTTATCTTGGCCATTATTAGAATCCTCCCGTGACGTAAATTTCGTTTCAGTGTTTCGTTCCTATTTTAGTCTCAAAAGTGGAGGTGAACAAAACATAGATGACGTCACGTTGCGTCCAAAAAGGTGCACTTAACCGTGACAGTAACTTCCTGGAAAACGGTGCGAAGCGCAACTGGTGGTAAATTATTCTGCCTAAACTAGAAAAGAATTTAGAGTTACACGCGTGTGCATGCTGCTCAGAAAGTCACGTGTCTTGATGCTGTGACAGTTCCAATTTTAATGTTCCAAAAAATGCAGCTTTACTGTAGTAGGCCCGCAGGTGGTCCAGACGCGACTTTTAGACCGTGCATTTTGATTGAAAAGCCTGCGCAGTCTTTGACAAAACATCATGATAATGCCAGGCTGAGCACTGCAAGCCCAAATTTGCATCGAATTACAGATCTTCATGCAGCAAACGTCAGAGACCCGGCCTTCACTTTCCCGCATGGTGTTCTCTATCATCATTGCAATTGCGTCATGCCCCGTTTTGCATAATAATGCAAGCTGATTTATAATGCCCACTATAATATAATGCCCATTTTTCAAATGGCGTACCCTAAATTGGTCAAGAGCTTTGGCCAACCACGACTGAATTCATGATGACACGCCGGCCGCCCATACGAAATGGCTGTCAATGTTCATTGTTTATATACAAGAGAGAGGTCGGTACACGCGATTATTATTAGACATGTAATGTATGCTGCATACTCTCACTGCATGCAAAAGCCTACACGGTAATGCATACATCTGCCAAGCCTGTCATGGAGAACAGCGGCTAGGGGAGCTTGACTGAGATGTCCGTTCGAGCCAAAAAAACAAGGCAAGCTATAATTCAATGAGTTCTCTCTTCCTAATACGGTATAAATACCTAGACTGTTGTCTGCCGATGTAGATTCATCCATGAAAAAGATGTCCGTTTATCGAACGTTACGAGGGCAGCGGCTAACACATCAGTCAAGAAGTGAATACATGTACATCACTGATAGAGCGACTAGACTGTTAAGCCGAGATATGTTCCCATGCTCATTTTCATAGGCGGAACCACGTCATGGGGAAACCCCGTTCCTTTTTGCATGGGCACATCGGGTTACACAATAACAGGGATCTAAACTTTTTGTTGTCTTCAATAAAAGAGTGTACGCGTTAGACAAATAATTAAAATCGCATTATAAAACTTTCTGCTGTCCTTTAGAAATTGTATGCCTCAAGGAAAACCATGTCTGTGGCTTTGAATTGTGAATTAAATCCCTGTCTTAAAACGAATTAGTCAAGCAATGTAAAATTGGCGTGTCTGCGTGGGTTATCCCTAAAACCTACGAACTCTCGCCTATAAATAAAAGGAAACCAAACCACTAACACACGCATTGGTTAGTTTTCAGGTAAATCTTATACGAAATATATAGGGATGGAAGGACACAGGTTATTCCTCTCCTTAATGGGGGCGGTTTTACGTCGAATAACCCACTCTTCTTAAATTTTCTAGCCTGTTCGTGCTCATTGCGAAGTACAGTTATCAGGTTTGATGCAAATAAATTAGTTTTCGGTGGGCAAAGCCGAGAACCAGACTGAGCATGAAATGTGGACAACAAAGTTCAAAATCTTCACCACGAGTCCTCTTTCTAAGTATGACAGGTAGGCCTAACATTGAAATGTTACACGGTACAGTGGAAAACAAATATTACACTAATTTTATGTAGACACTCATATGCATTACGTAAATTATAATAATACGATTTTTGTCTCGATTACTCTTTTTTTTTGGTCTTGTCTAGCAGAAGCGGACAAGATATCAAACAAAGAAACAAGACATGAAAGAAAAAAAAAGAAACGATAAATAGACACCAAATCTAAATTTCAGCTTCCGGTCCTCGCCAAAGTTTACTTCACATCAGCCTGAAATCACAGAGACAGAAAACTGAGGGCACGTCGAGAACAGAATTAATGATGATGCGTAGAAAACACAGCTGGATTCTGTGTACGTGTACCGTCACCGTCACGAGCTTACCTTGGAAAAAAACATCCGAAAGTCTTTCCCCGCCTTCTGCACTCGTCCTTTTTTCTTCATAATTTCACTCGTTCACAAAGTCGACGCAGTATGAAATCAAAAACAAAACTTCGTTTCTCTGACGAAAACAATCACTGGTGCTCCCTTTTATGCTCTTAAAGGTTAGAGGGTAGAGCGCGACCAAATCATAAATAACTTTCATTGGAGGGGCGGCTCTGTCGCTTCCTGGTACTGGCGAATCAAAGACGTCGATTGACAAGACTAGAAGTCACGGTCGTCACGTTCATTAGGTCATCATGCTATTGGTATTAACTCTCATTTGTACACAAGGAAGAAATAATGCAAGCGTTTTATTCGCCTGTAGTTTGCACTGAGGAAATAGAAACTATTACAACAGATCGTCACTTTTTTGTGGTTATGAGGTCATGAGTGGAAAATCCACTCAAATTTGCGCGTGGTTAAAAGAATCGACCAACTTGTCAAATTTGGGGGTTACCCAAGAATCTTGGTGAAAGGGGGAAAGTGGGTAGGCCTACTCTTCCTTTATTTGTATGTGGACGAAAAAGGTCCAGGGCTGGTCGAGGAGTACCAACTGACACTTAGGCCTCTACCAGGCACCGTGGGACAGAGGGGTACCCCCAAGAAGTCCAATCCCTCTACACACACCCCAGCCTATTGTTACTTAACACACACCCCTAGATGTCTGAAAAGAATTTCTAAGATACCATTATAACGCTGGCACGGGGGGGGGGTTCTCTCTGTCCCATAGTTTGCAGCATATGCTGACACTAATTATGCCCAACCAAGGTTGGAAAACTGGATTGTTTGGGGATTAAGCGAGGTGAAGGATTAAGCTTAAATTTAGTGTGAGAGGCGTAACCACCAGCTTTTGGTGTGTGTCGGGGGGGGGCTCATTCAACATAATGTTGGGGTGAGAAGAATATCAAAAGCCTTACGGTCCCGACATCTTTGCTTTTATTTGCTAGTGTTGTGTTTTAGTAGTTTAAGTGATAATATTTGATAAACAATATACCGATTACTTCCTTTCCTACTCACCTATATGAAGTATTCTTTGTACAAAAAAACCAAACAAAAACCGCCGGGGGAGAAAGCAACACACCCCGCTGAATACGAGACCCAGCTTTGCCGTATACATGTACATGTACAACGGTGCCACGCAGTGACGCAGGCCTATAACTAGTGGCCGTATTTTTGGACAAAGGCCTGTTGTCAGCCCAGGTACCGTAGCTCACAAAAAGCAAATGTCGGGCGTAATACATGTGCACATAAAAAAGATAATCAACGGAGCCCGACTATGGGATAACAAGACTGATCATAGATTGCGGCCCGGCCCAAGGACCTGGGGGAGGGACATTAACCGCAGGTCTTACATGCAGACAGGGCATTTTCCCTTGCCAGGTTTATTTTCCTTGAGGTGACCCACCGCTTCCGGTATACAACCCCTCATCCCAGCGCCAACACTATACATCTCAGCGGTATGCCTATTTTTCCATGGAACAGGTTCAAATTTTACGTCAGGTTTGCAGTTTTCTAAGAATCAGACAAACACAAACTGCCCCCCCCCAAAACCCCTGCCACTTCACCCATCCTGAGGGAATTGCAGGACGTTCACGGTTGTTGCATCATTATGATGTCAAAATGCAAGCGATGATGATCGAAGTCCCGTTACGTGATTTTTATTTGAGAAAATAGAACTCTTGTGTACTGTTGTGATGTAATTTTAATTTCCATAGTGTGAAATATTCTATATAAAATGGGAAGGAGGTTTGTATATAGACACATCAGGTAAATTCACTGCATCTCATTTTTTACGACGTTTTTGCAAGGAGGAATGTCTTTCCATGTATTTTGGGGTCATACCTACCCATAATATTTGAGCTCGATAGCAGCTCGATTATGACCATGGCGGGAATGATGAAACCCAGACTCAGCATGGAGGCCTCAGCTACCTGTGACGCCGTGATACGGCGGCAGATTGGTCATATTAATTATTTTGCCCTTGTCAGCAACAGATGTACACAGTCATCTTCAACACCGCTAGGAACCGGTCCCGGATGTTGTAATCACCGATACTGCGAGCTAAATATAGTACATGACCTGCTGGACAATCCGTGTCCGACAGAACTAGTTCAAGCCAGCCACACTAAAGCATGGAGAGCCTTTTCCTACCTCCAATATGCACACTTCATACACTACTAGGCACTACTATGTCGAAACCATTTGTCCAAAATGAAAGTTGCCTTTCTTTCCTTTTGGGTGATGTAAAGACTAACAAAGAATGAGTGCATTTCTTGTGGCTTTGCTCGGTTTGTGGTCAACATGCTTGCTAAGGTGCTTTGTAGGCCTAGAAGTTTTGGTTGGAGCATGAAGTACACGGTGGAATGAGCTTTCCCAAATCAGTTCGAATGTCATCCATGTGTTGGGATTAATACTTCCTGGATTGTTTAATTCCATATTCATGTTAGCCTCCAATCAGACTTTTTGACACCCCATGCTCTGAGAAAAAACAGCATGGCTGAAAAAAAACTGGAAATGGGAATGCCAGGTGCGGATATGTCGAAGCCTCGTGATTAAAAGTTTCATCTTTTCAAAGAAAAGGAGGAATCCCCCTAATTACTACAGAAGGCACATTAAGTAGACAAGCATGTATCAAAAATTTTATATACGCCCTAATTCATTTTAGTTAGCCTACACAAGCTACATCTAAAGTTCATCTGGGCAACTAATCAGAGAAGAAGAAGCTTAGAAGGGTGCTTGAGCTAGACATTTTCAGTAAGCGACCCTGCTTTCCCTCAAACCTAAACCGATTTGCCAAAGGAACTTATGTTCAGCGAGAAGTAATTTCCACCCTTCTTAATAAACTTGCCCCCGCCCCCTTTCGTACATCCCTAGCCCTTCCGTTGTCAAGGACTAAGGGCCCGACCTGTATGTCAAAGTGATTTGTATTCGCTTATTTTTGCCACTCCGACCACTCAGAACCGGCGTTACAAAACGCGTCGGTGCTGCTTGTGTAGTAAAATGGCGTCGAAAACTGTGTCGAAAGGGCAGCGATACATCGGCGAAACCAAACAGCAGCTTAGGGATGGTGCGTATGATTGTCAGTGTTACAGAATGCATTTGTATTAATGATGATAGGAATAGTTCCATATACAGACGCCAGTAAGTGACTTATTAGCCGTCAGAAAGCCAAAAACTTGTCCAGAAAAGTTCAATGTAGGAGGGAAATAAAGTCGTTTAGTCTAGGCAAGGCCCTAGTCAGAAAACACAGTGTCAAGTGGTGTCCATACGTACGTAGGCCTCTGTCCATAGTTTTATTTCTCCATGGTTATATCATGACTTTTTAAATTATTTTTGAAACGTGAAAAGATCTGTATTAAATTTTGACCGTGGACCGGTTGAAACATCAACAATGACACTGATTGATTGTCAACAACGTCATCGATGATGAACTTCATGGCCATTCTCTTGCGCGTACGTAGTCGTAGGTCTAGCCTGGTCAATATGGGCATGTAGGGCCCATCACTGATAGGTCCCGTGGTCAACTTTGGCATGACTCTCCTTTTGTCTAAGAAAACTTTGTTTCATTGAATTTTGTGGACTACAGGGGAAAAGTTCCATCAAGTCCATTATTTTCATAGACCCTAGGTTAGAGAAGCTCATAAATTTTCAGCCATGATATTTTTGCTTTCATTTGGAAGTGATCTTGGTTTGGGAAGATGTCATAAGAAATATTTTGACATAAGGTTGGATTCCATCGGACTCTGGAAAGCAAAGAAAGTTTGGGGATGTATTTTGCGCATGTGTAATGCAGAGAAAACTGTGATTGGGTTTGTAGGCCAAAATGAGTGTATTTTGACTGAAAAGCTTAAAATTCATATTTTCATAAAATCTTTGTTCTCATTGATGCCATATTTTGATGAATTAAATGCTGGCTTCACTTGAAATTTCAAAAATTTTGAAATTGGAAATGAAATAGAGGAGCTAGAGCGTGCAGAAAAAGACAACTTAATCACAATTTCCTGTTTAATAAAATGAGTTTCCAAATGAACAGCGCCCTCACTCATTTATGCATGTCCCTACCTTCAGACAACAGAAATTTTCCCTTGAAATGTGTTAACAGCCATCGGAAAGTGTCCCCCAAAGTGAAATTTAGCTGAGAAAATTCAGAAGCATTTAGGCTAGGCCTACTTAACTTAGAAAAATACGAGTCTTTTTCGGACAAGTCTAGGTTTGTTCACAGGGGCATCAAGTGTTGTCCGTAGCACTCTTTCCGACTACGGTATAAAGACCCAATTTCCTTGCTCCATCCTGCTTCACCTACATCATGGCCGTGACTACAGTAGGTCAAACTCACCAACTAACTTTAGGAGTACAAAACTGAGACTGAGTGGGAATAATTTCAAATTTAACCAGCATGAAAATAAAGGGCTTTTGCTGAACAAACAACAGCAAAACACCATCCTTATATAATCAAAAGAACAAGGTTCATGACACTTCAGGCTATTAAAATGTTATAGGGCCTAGATATTGTACTTTTAACTTAAGTCAGCTGTACGCTCTAAAATAATAAGAAATTAGTACATCTTTTCTCACTTTTTAACAAATATCAGAAAACACACTTACGCCTATCATGTTTATGTTCTACAAATTAACTCTTAATTCCCTAGAAAATACCACTAAATTCTGGAGGAAGATTTAACTAGAATTATAGCAATGTTCTTAAAATGTTATTGAAACCTCTTATGCAACAGATTTCAGCACAAAGAAGCTGGCGAGAGTGCTAGTAAACAAGGGTTAAGTTTTCATGATTACAAGTTGATTTGAAATGCTTTGCATTGATTTACACAGGCTATGGGATCTATAAATACTCCAACAGCTTCTTCCGCTATGAAGGTGACTGGAAAGAAGGAAAGAAACATGGTAGGTTCCCCCTCAAAAAGCCTACTTTCTGGATTCAGTTTATTCACTTTCTGGCTCTTTTGCTGTCATCCGAGTGAGCAAAGAACTGTTGCAAAACTTAAAGTAAATTTGACCTTAGTGAGGATATATTTAGAGGCAACTCCCTGTGCTCCAAGTCAAAGTGGTGTGGACTAGATATTGTATGAAATATCGCCCCGTTGCCCATGCATATGGGCACTCTTAATGAGGTCAAGCTCTTGAAAACAGTCTTTGAATGGACTTGGATTTGAAGTGATTGTTATTACACAGAAAAGCATTACAAAAGTAGGCTGATCAGTGAAGCTCTGCTTATAAGGCACATTGGCAACATCAGGTCCCTGTAGAAAGACCAAAACTGGCCCACTAGCTGTTTGGAATTGATTGTTTCAGGTCACTTAAAGCAGTTTGTAGTTTAAATGCTTTCATGTCAGACCTTTGCCAAATTGGTAGAAATGTCGTTGTTTCACTGGCCTCTTGATCTCATTGTTCAGGGCACGGGAAACTCATCATGGGCGATGGTAGCTATTACGAGGGAGAGTTCATCCACGGAGAGATAGAGGGTCATGGCTTCAGGAAGTGGGCATCGGGGGTCACCTACTCTGGCCAGTTCGCGGATGGAGAGATGAACGGCCACGGGGTGATGACATATGCCGACAACAGCGTCTATGAGGGTGAATTCTTGAACAATAAGCGAGAAGGTAAAAGTGCCCGAATAAGGTCCGTTCCATGCGACTGCATATAAAAACACAAAAATATGCCCAGTGTAAAAAAAATTTGCTTAGCAAGAACAGGTTACTGGCTGGAATGCCATGTGGTACATTTTGCTCATAAGTGGTTCCCAGCTGATGCTTTGTATATAAAATCTGCTTGATCAATTCTGCTGGATTCCCAGGTCGTGGCATTCTAAAACAGTCCGACGGTGCTGTGTACGAAGGCTCTTTCCACAATGACAAGAAACACGGCGAAGGCTCACAGCGTTATAAGTAAGTCAAACAAAATGCCGTCAGTAAACTTTATGAATGTGCCTCCCACTTTAGTCGTTAGCCCCACCCTCCCCTCCGTCTCAGTGCAGATCTCTATGCACGGCAGTACTGAAAGTAAGGCCAATTCGGCAGTGGTATATAAGGGCCATTTGACAAAAACTCTTTCTTTCGAAATCAAGTGAAGCTCTTGAGACAAATCCTGTGAAGCGTATGCTCAGCTCAGACATGGAAAAATTTCACAAAAAATTAGTCATTCCTCTTCCGATTTCGTTCTGTTTTTAAGGGCCAGTAAAAGTGAATTTGGTGATGGGGATTTTTCTTTTGTATTTCTACAGTAACGGCGATGTGTACATCGGTGATTGGATCAAAGGGATGAGGCAAGGCAGTGGGGAACTCCGGTGCTTAGACGCCACAATTTATGATGTAAGATGCTTGCAAAGGTCTCCAACAGATGGGCCATGCTGGAAACAGGCTCTTTTAGAGCTGTGGATATTTGCAGATGCAAAGACCAAGACCTACATGTAACTTTGATGCCAGTTACATATCTGGCTGTATTTTTATCATTGATCTCAGGGCAGAAGTCAATTCTGGAGCCCCCAAACTCACCAGGGAGCTTAGCTGACAAAAAAGCTTTTGATGGGTCTTCCTTATAGCTGTTCCAGTTTCGGGTACCACTCAGTCACTAACCAACAGTCTCTTCACCAGTACACCAGTATTTGTGTCAAACGAAGGAATTGCTGATCGCAAATTGTAGAATAGTCTTTATGAATCCACGCTTATGTGATTCTGTTCTTAATTCTCCAATCATACGGTGAAGGATAGACCCTCTCTGTACATCCCTGCTTACAAAATACTTAACCCTAACACTCCTCAGTCCTCCAACAGGTGAAGAATTGAGGAGTGTTTGGGTTAATGGAAGTGATACTGGAGTCATTAATGCCCTGTTCACACTCCTTTCCCCCGTCTGGTATCAACAGGGTCAGTGGCGTAATGACCTTTACAATGGAGAAGGCACCATGCTCCACAGCTCAGGGATGACATACGAAGGCATGTGGATCAACGGCAGACCGGCAGGTAAATGCTGCCTTGTGTCGTACGAGCAAATCATCAGGAAATAAAATTGTAGTCTCTTAAATAAGTTCGTCATTGAAACACCAACCAAAATAGCCTGATTTATAACCTTACTGACTTAACTGCGCAAAACTTTAAGCTGTGTAATGGCTAGTGGACAAAATGATTTCGGGCAGCGATGTGACTTAACAGCTCACGATCTGTCTCCACCTTGTCAAGTCCTCAAAGATAACAGTACAGTTTCGCCCTGCCTTCCCAAAGGTGAGGCAGCGAAGATCGTCATCATGACCGACCCTGAGCTGGATATGTACCAGGGCACCTCTTTCGGCATCGAGGTGGAGGTGCAGTCAGAGAGCGGGGAGACGGTCAGGCAGGAAAATGGACGCCTGCTGCAGATCACCGCTGGGTTCCGCCACTACACGCCCAGCCAGACCTCACCCCTCTTCGACCTCATCGAAGACATGGAAGAAAAGCCAGTACCAACACCGTAGTAAGCACAAACGGTTTACCGCTAACCTTATTCTCCTCAGTAAACGACTAAAAAACGCTTTCACTACTATCTGTCCAGCTCTGCAGAGACCTACATTTTCCATTCAAAATCACACCTACAGACTCTGACTGACAGATTTTTATGGCCAAGTCTGAATTGATTGGCTACGGCTTGAAATTACACACAACTCTATAAGAAGTGGCTGCAGTCACTACCATAGTTTTGTGTGTAATTTCACGCCTCGGCCAAGTAGTTTGGATGGGGCCTAAGTACCCCAGGCCGGATTTCAAAGAGCTGCTTGGCAGAAAAACATTGCTTACCAAATTAACGCACCCAGCAATGATAAACTGGGGAACCAGTCTCAGAGGTTTACAAAGCTTGCCATTTTTGCGAAGCAAATATATCCTACGCTCAGCAAAGATTTATTGCTTAACAACTTCATGTGCACTGCACTGACCACTGGAACAGAGTTCATTGTTATTTTTCCCTTTATATGCAGTGGGTACGATGTCGTTGCCTACCCTCTGACTGAGTACAGCTACATCGAGGAGAAGTATTGTCTAGACGGCTACGTGCCTAAGCCGTCTACGGCGCTGACTGAAGGTACAACTGTCGAAGCGTCCATTCCTGAAGAACCAGAGCATGTTCCCCAGATTGAAGGTAAACGTAGCAGCTTGGGCTTCATGTGCTACAGAAAGCAGCTGTTTGTAGCCCAAATCTTGGCTGACTCTCAGTGCCAGGCTTCCGATTCTAAGCGTTGCAAAACCAAAAATATCACTTTGAAGTAGATGGTTAGATCAGCAGTGGTGTATTTGGTAGATGTATACACCCGCTATATAAATATAAACTTTAAGTTGGGAGAAGTTATCTCAGCTCACAATTGTGCCTCTATCCACATTTTTTCAAATGAAATGAATTGACTTTCAATGAATGAGGTAACATGGTTGAAATATCAAAAGCGAAATTACAAAATGGTCTCTGTCCAGTAATACCATTGCAGAGTTTTTTTAATGTCATCAATTTACCACGTTCAATCCTATCCAATTGACCATTCCGTTTAAAGTTTTTTTAAAAATACTGCAAGACTTACATCTTGTTATTCACAATCAAATTTCTTTTAAAATCCACTCCGTAGTCATCCACCCGGCCAGCGAAGCCGCCGACGAGACGGCCAAACCAGATTCCAGCAAAACAGACGAGGGTGCAGTGACGGATGTCACGGGCACTGAGCCCACACCCCAGTCTGGCAGCGAGGCAGCAGAATCAGTGCCTGGTAAAGGAGTCTAGCATTTACAAACAAATAACGTTCAGCTCTGACCTTCTAACTCGACATTACTTACATGTAGGGCAGACCATGAAATTTGTGCTTTTTGAAATTCAGTATGGTGCTCCTAAAACATGCAATACCTGTTGAGATGTGGTGTATGGTGCTTAATTATCCCGAGAGAGCAGCATGGGAGATGCCTAAGTTTGAATGCTTCACTGGTTTTCTTTTTCTTCTGGGTGCGTTACCATAGCAACTGCAGCCGATGGCTCCTTAGGGACCGAGCAACAGTTAACGGGCACAGCAGATCTGGCAGAGGAGACGTCACCGGTACCTCCCCCCATCAGCGACCAGAAAACAGAGAACGGACGGACCAGCTTCAAGGTAGCTCAGTCTGTGTGTCTGTCAGGCTGTCTGTCTGCATGTTGATTTTATTTTGCTCACCTTGAGAGCATCCCCAGCTCCCCCCTCCCCTTTGAATAATTGTTACACCGCCACTGACAGTGTTCCATCAGATCTGCATGGACATACTATGATAATGGACAGTGTATGAGTGAATTGTGGCTAACTCTTATCCATATATTAATACTGAAAGGCCATCCTACGAAAGCTAACACTAATTCAACTAGTTTGATATTTTTTCCTCCTGTCCCATGCACTTTACACACAGAGTGTCACTTCAGAACTAGATACAGTGAATCCTCGTTAATAAAAGGTCATTCAGACTTGGCAAATTACCTTGTCATAACAGGAACCTTGTATTATCAGGAAAGAAACCATTGAAAAACAAAAGATTGGGACCTAAAAAAAGCGGAATCTGGTATTTACAGTGTTCTTGTTAACGAGGTTTGGCTGTACCTAAATGAATCAAAGTTCAGTAAAACACTAAAGTAAACCTCCCGCTTTCCTCAGTGTGTACCATCAACGAGTACTTCTTCAACTTTACAGCCTTTATTCCTTCCATACATCAGTTAGGGCCAACAAGTCCTAACCTACAGAATATCACAAGTGAGCTGGACTAGGTATTCTGTCACCAACATGTTTTGCTTTAATAGTCAGCCCAAAAGAATCCACTTGTATGTTCAGACTACTTCCTTGTAAACCACCAGCTATCTTAACCCAGAGAACGTCGTTACATAAACCCTCATTAACAAGTACTTTTGGTGACTCTGACACATTCCATTGTACTTCATTAACAAGTGATATGCCGGCATGCCGGCATGTCACCATTGAAACTGTGGTAAAGTTGTGTACTGAACCTTGCCAGATTATGTACAAACCTCTGTCATAAGTTCCAAGTACTCAACTATATGTATGTGTATTGACTAGCACTTCTTCTTCAACTAGTAGAATTAATTTATCCTAATGTTCCACCGTCAGAACTGTCAAACTCTCTTGATCATTGTAGACATGTTTTACTAATTCCCTGTAGCCAACGGGTCAGCAAGTCGCTGGGTCCAATTTCAGAGAGCTACTGAGAAGAGAAAATGACTCAACCAATTTTGTTACAATTTTTAGCCGATTACCAGTCTCCAGTAACACAGTCTCCATAGCACTTTGGGCGGTAACCTGTCTCCTTTACTTAGCAGCTCTCCGAAATTGGTGCCAGTACTAACTAGCACTTTTTCAACCTGTAGGATCTCATCCTTCCCGGCGTCTCCTCATCTTCCTTTCCCTACGCTATTTCCCCGGTGAAGGAGGACTCCGACCTAAGCTTGTCGGGTGACCAGCGGTCACGGAGCGGCACCAAAACCAAACTCAAAACCAGTGGCAAGGGAAATAAACGAGCGGAAGGTTTGATTGCGGCCAACCCTGGTTATGGTTTATGCCCTAAACCAAGTTAAATGCAGTAACCTGGTTTGATACAGCCAAGGATTAAAGGACTAAAGGTTATGGTGCACCTGCAAAAATTCATAGTATGCAAAACCAAGTTGAATGAAATTGGCCATTCTGAACATTTGCTTCAACAAGTTATATTACGTTGACTAGTCATATTGCTGGTTGTGATTTACCCCAAATGGATAATGACAGACAGAAAACTGCACCGTAAGATTTGGTCCTGGTTTTCAAACAAGTGTGGCAGTTGCATTTGAAAATCAAGTTTTTGCCTTGTGCTGTAGCTACAGTTGCCTAGTGTTCTGCCAGAGCTATGTTAACAATTGGCAGGTCTCAGAGAGAGAGAAAAAAAATTGTTCACCGCGCTTGCAATAAGCACAGTTTAGCCGCTCACAGCACTCGTGAAATTTTCAGTTTTTTTTGTGGCTCAATTAAGCTGCCTCTTTAACCTGTTCTTTCCTTTGTAGTTTGCCTCTCCTTCATCCTAGTTGGATTCACCTCAGGAACATTTTAGATGATCACTTCAGTGCTCTGTTCCGCTCGTTTGGCATCCTAGTTTGTTTTTGGCAGTGTTTCTTCATATCTGTTCATAGTATTCAGGCTGATTCTCCAGCAAGTAACTTTTTAACCACAAATACAAAGTACATGTATGACCATTTTGTTTAAGGTTTACTACTCTTGACTTGGGTAGTGTTTGCCAACATTTGCAAAGGATGTTTGAAAGTTTGGCGTTACTGTTTATTTTTATATTTGTTTTCCACTGAAAACGTTTACCTGTTTGTGCATTTTAAATGTTTACAGGTTTTGGCTGTCACGTGAAAGTGGTGTCATAGAAGGGGGTGGGGATGTGATGGACGGGGGGCGGGGCAGTGAGCATCTCAAATTCTGATCTGCTAAACACAGAAAAATATTTGCTTAGCAGGATCATGCTACCAGCCAATAATCCATACAATATGTATTGTTTCTGATTGCTTACCAGTGAATATTTCACTTTTTGTTAATTTGTTGAGTAGTGGGCCATGTCTGAATTACCTGGCTATGGCTTGAAATCATGCATGAGCCTATGGTGGTGGCAGCAGCCAGTAACCATGGAGTTGTGTGTACTTTCAAGCCGCAGCCAACTGGTTCAGATACGGCCGTAATATCTGCTGAGCAGCTGAGTCCTGCCATTGGGCCCAATGGGAATTCCAATTGGAAAGCTCCAAAAGGAAAAGAAAGTTTTGGGCCCCTCCCACATTCCACCTGCCACCTAATTCACTTTCAACTGTTGAATGGTAAGCATGTTGAACCTTACGAAGCCTTGCATGTGACGAGACTAACAACACATCAGCCCGAGGACTTACGTACTGAATTGACCAAGAAAACTAGCCAGAGCTTTAGTCTTGTAGGTTGACAATTTTGATAATGTTAGCAGTGCTAAACTATACCAGATGCTGCCCTGCCCGAGACTCCACCCATCCCCACCTGGCAATGAACCCGCTGACTTTTGAGCCTAGTATTGGTGCTCCGTTAATTATTGCAAATCACCGTCTGAGCTGACGACTCCTCTCTCCCCTAATCCACCGTTGTTCCACTTTTTTTTATCCCACGTTTTGTGTTGTGCCCATCCAATCTTGTCGACCCAACCCGGGCCGCACCCATTTCCCTATCCCCTACCCTCCTTTGTATCCTCCGATAGGGTTTGGTGCTACCAGGGGCACCGGTTGGCTATCGTCCGTTCAATGTGCTCGATATCATGCTGGAAGAGGAAGCCCGCACCAAGGCTCGTAATTCCAAAACGGCGGGGTTGGCTCAGCAGTTACGACTGGGAGCTAAACTGGGGAAGACCGTAGGTAATGTACAAACGGAGAAGAAAAAAACCCAAAATGAAAACACCCAGAGCCATTCACTTCTAATTCAGACTCTAAAACATCCCCAAATCTCAGCAGAAGTTGTGATTGAGACACTGCCTTAAACCTCATTTCAAAGAAAATGCTCATGTTACAAGATTTCCCAATGTGGTTATTGATGTGAAAATCAGACCTCTGGATTAGAAGTCATGAACTTTGGAATCCATGGGGACCAAGGTTCCGTGTCTTGTCTGAGCTTAGACAAACTTGAAGAAGGAGATCAAGAACAATTTTTTTTACGGGAAAAGAAAACATTTCAAAAGGCCTACTTCCCAAGGGGACAGTTATTTATTTCCCTGTTAACTTCGAAACTTTTTTTGGGTTAAATTGTTACTGGTAGGCTTGCAGTGCTATAAAATTTAAAATGACCTTACAAAACGTAGTGTCTTGTACCCATGACTAATAAGCCTTTTGCGAGTGACCTTTGAATAAAATCTGGTACTCTGAGTTCTTTAAATTCACCTGAACATAACAATTTGAATTCTCCATACTGAAACCACTGCTGCTATACCTCGCGATTCAGGGCAAGCTTTTGCTTAGTTACATGAGAGATGCCTTGCAACAATCCACTGTGCTCAATGGATAAGAAAGGCACAAAGGAACCAGTCCATTCAGAGAGGGTGGTCGCTATGCAAAAGCTTGCCCTGAATCACGAGGTATAGCAACAGCATCTTTAGTCTGGGCAATTAAAATAGGTATTTTTGTGTGCAATCAAATAAGTCAGTGTACCAGATTTTATTCAAATTTAACTCACAAAAGGCTAGTTTTAACCTGTTTGAAACTCACAGATGTTGGTGATTCTACTTGTTTTCACAAAACTCATATGGAATTTCAAACTCTTTGATGACTTAAGAGCTTTCCAGGGAAGTTCAATTCCTCACAGGAACGTAATCTATTTTCCCCTCATTTTGAATTCGAATCCGTAGCCAGTGCCCAACCTGTTTCTACGGCGACCTTACTGCCAGAATTGATACCAACTGGTACAAATTCTTGAAATGCACAATTTGCTTGCTCACCCGCTACAAGAAAAAAAATTCTTTTGCATCCAAATTTTAAGCTTAAAAGTTAAAAGCATTTTTTCATTCAGTGTAAAGCCTTAATTCCTGCATGAAAAAAAAATAAAAATGCCATAAAGGAACTAGAAGCTCACAGTGAATTTGTCAAATATTTTTACTTTTTTATTCAATACGGCCATTTCACAATAGTGCATCACCAAGAGTTTGCAAGGGGTTGGCCTGTCAAAATGCCTGAAATTTGTCAACCCAATGTGCATTTGGAAAGGGTCGACAAATTTCACGCATTATGATGGGTCAACGCATTGCAAACTCTTGGTGGAGCACTATTGTGAATCGCCCGTATTATAACCATTCTTTTACCTTTTATTTCTCGCATTTTATGCTTGTTTCCATGCTTTGAAGGAATCTGTGTTTGCAGTTCAACTTTGAGTGTAACTTCTCACTGATTTTATAGTCTGCGTTTCAAATCCATTGCTGAAAAATTTCATTCCTTAGATAAAGGACTCCTTATTTAACTAACTGTCTTTTCAGGTCCAGGGATCAGATTGGGCAAAAATCTCTACATCCCAAAAGAGCAAAAACCTTAAAATAGAGACAGCAAAATATTTCAAGTGAAGCACACGCCAAAAATTGCCCCCATTACTAATCTAAGTTTAGAAAACTTTGCCAGAATGGCTCTCCTCATGGTTCAACCACACATGAGGTTTAGAATACAACATGTTGGTTTGATGCGTCACGTTAACTGGGCCTGCTGGTCTTGCCTTGACGACTTTGAAGTCTTCGAAATTGCTTCTTCATTGATATTCCACTTCCACCTTGACTTGACACCAGCTTCCAGGTTTCTGATCATTCCTTGACTGAATCAGAGAGCGAATAATATTTACAGATACAAAAGACAAGTAGAAAATGTAATGAAAACACCGTGAGAGGTCACATTTTACTTAAGTGCACGTTCAGAACCACATCCTTCTTCATTCATTGCACGTCTAAAGTCTAAAGCTCGCTTGCTGTGCATGTTGTGACATTAGTTTCTTGTGGTGTTACTTCGTAGTTTGTCGATGGATGTGATGTGTTTGCGCAACGTTTGCAGCTTGCGTGTTTCGCCTGTTTGGATTTCAACAATTTTTTTCTGAATGAGTTGTAGTTGCTCATTGAATCTCATTTGTTTTATTTTATCCTATTTGATTTTCTTGTTTTGCATGCTTCCTTTAAACTGCTTGATTTCGTTGCTATTGGTTACTGGTAAGAATTATTATAAAGTCAGCATGTGAAAATTTATGCACTTTGGTCTAACTATGTGTAGCGTATACACTTTTTAAGAGTTGACAATCATTAAAAATTGACAAATAAGACCAGAAAACCAGAGGAGTATCAAAAAAAGAAAACCGAAGTTCAGTGAAGTAAAGAGAGACTAAAAGACACAAGAAGATTTAGAGCAACTGTCATTGGTGAGGTGTTATGAACGACAATATCTTTGAGCTACAAATTCCACCATAGCTGGGGCTATAGGGAGTGTACTGTCAACCATTGTGCATTGGGCTGTTCGGTTGCCTGATTTCCATTCACGGCCCCCATTTTAAATGGGCGTAATTTTGTACTTCAGGCAGTGGTGAATGTCTTTCTTTAATGCCTGAAAATTGGGGGGGGGGCAAGATTAAGGGGTAGGGGATGAATAGGGCATTGCTTGTAAATTTATCAGGGGTGTGAGAATTCAGCTTTTTAGCTGATTTCAGCTTTTTTGTTTAGGTGCTGACCCAGGATTTCAGCTTTCTTGTACACCTGGTCTATAGGAACCTTTTACATTTCAGCTGTTTGCTTACTGTTCTCAGCTTTAATTTCAAGTGGCCACTCACACCGCTGATTTATTCCTATTTCAAAGAGTGTTAGGAGAGATGCAATCTTATCTTCTATTTCCCATCTGAAAAAAACTTCAGGGAAACTGATCTTATTTGCAAGTTGATGAAATGATGGATAAAGGATCTTAATCTTAAGCAGGATTAATCTCTGACAGTCCTCGGTCCTCCTACAGGTGAAGGATTGAAGGCTGTTAGGGATAAGGACATTTTTTTTAAATACACTTTTTCTATCGCAAATCTCAATCCACAGACGACATGCCGATAGATGCCACTATGTTGGAGAAACGAGATCCCAAAGCTTACAAGATCAAGAGAGAGAAGATGTACGGTGATGAACGATTTGCAAGACCAGGTAAGAAATGTGGGGCTCTAATAGTGGTTTGGATGGGGATTTCAGGGCAGACATTTCCGAACTTCATTAAACGTTTCGAATGTTGCCTAAGAGTTGTTTTGAAGTCGAAGATTTACATGCTGTTGACATTTTGTATACAACTTTTTCAAATGCCCTCTTCTTTTCTAACAGCCGAGTATGTGATCATGGTGAATGATGTCACCGAGCCTCCATTCATGGGCAAGCGTCTACCCACCACGTACTGCCTTGTCAGAATACAACACCCGAAGAAATCTAAAAAGGTCAAGACCCCTTCCAAGGGATCAAAGCCGAGCTCAAGGGGATCAACGCATGATTGATGCTGACCAATCACGCTCCCAGAGCTGGTATCACATGACTTGTGCTACGTCCAATCAGGATCTGAATTTTGGTCCCAGGGTACATATCATGTAATTGGCATCACCCAATCAGCATTCAGTGCTGTGGGTTGGGTTCTTGTCATGGTTTCTCTCTGGCTTCTGATCGCTTATACTGGAATAGTCACAGGACTGCTACTGTCCAATCAGACATCCTCACATGGCTAATTTTTCAATCAGAGCCAAGCAATTGTTTTGTGAATCCTTTCTGATCAAATGCCAAGAGTACAAGAGTTCCCTCTAATCCGTCCAATCCAAGCAAAGCAAGCACATCTGAGACATAATTTCTGACCATATAATGATCATGTGATTGACATTCTCCAATCAAAATTGGAGTATCAAAAGATGTGAGGAGGAGGGAATATCTAATGCTTCATTCCGTCCAGTCAGAGCGTAGCTTCAAGTTCAAATGTTTACTACTTTGAACTTAGTGGTGTTCAGTCTCAATTTTATTCCATCCAATCAGATGAAGAGGTGATGGTCAAAATTTTCATCGTCTCATTATTTCTACTTCAATGCGCGCGTCAACTTCTTTTGCAACTGCTTTGAAATAAAAAGCTCATTTTCCAGAATGATGTGCTGTAATAGTTGGCATCTTTGACACTTGTCTGTGGTTTCACGGTTCTAAACTTGTACAAGTCTTATTGTATTTTAGTGCAATTTATAGACGGTTAGGTGTGGTATAACGGAAAGTGTATTGATAATTTGAATACACATTACAAGAAAGAACTACATTCATAAAGGTGAGCAATATATGCATTTTACTTATCTGGAAAATGATGCATTTATTGTATAGAGCTGTTCATTTGACTTTTTTTGAGGAAATGTTGGATGCCTTGCGTGCTGAAAGTATGTGAGCAAGGAATTTGAGGAGATACATGTGATGTATGGAAAATTTTTTGTCAGCAAAACCTAGAGGCCACGTTAGTCCCGAATTAAGTTGTTATTGAGTCGAAGTGATTGAAGTTCAAGTTAAGAAGAAAGATTTTAAGCTAGAATGTAAATATGTAAAAGTCAGAGTGGATGAGGATATATTTTATTTCAAGAAGGGAAATTCCACGTGCCTGTTAGGGGGAGTGATTTACACCTGTTTGCTTGTTTGTTTATTGGGTTGCGGGCTGTTCCTTCCTGGAACTATTTGGATATGCATTTACAGCATACAGTATTATGCAATCGGCTAGATATTGAGTTACATCATATTGTAAATGTAATTGTATATGTATGTTGAATGCACTCATTAAATTTCCAGTAAAAATGTGCAGTCATGTATACGGTATAACTTATTCTCTTATTTGTAGCTGTATGTCACCCTTTGTTCAAAATCTCACCATGTGCATGGCCGGCCACCCGATGCCAATCAAAGGGGCTTTGGGGTGGATTACTTCACTAAGATTTTATAATTTTTTATTTTGTGGTAATCGGGGGAAATTGAAAACGGAAATCAAAAGTCCTCCCCATGTTTTCATCTTTATCAACATTATGGGGTACTTCAGTTTATGAACTGAAATCGGCCACCTCTGTTGAATTTTACTGGTCACTTAATTATCAAGTCGACCGTTTCTTATTTTCTGACCGGTGAGCTTAAAGGGCGCCCTCTTTAGTTTGCCGGACACGTTGGAATTCAGCTTACACATTTCCTCTCTGGTAGTGGTGGTGCTGCGGAAATATACCGCATCTTGTTTGCATTGATCTCGTCAATCCCCACCAATTACCGAGCCTGGAGTTAGGTAAGTACAAGTTCGTGTACTTGAATAAAATTATTTTAGTGGCTAATCACTTGTTTTGTGAACTGCGATGTATTCACATGTGACTACCAGCCAACACTGCTGTACCTATTTTGTACGCATCTGGATAACATGAGGCCATAGAGGCCAGTTGTCATGATTGTATGTTAATAATATATATAATGTGTAAATATTAAGACCCAGAGCAAAGACTCTAGCGGACTGTTAGCTGAAACTAGCTGATTAAAAGTAGTGATTAGACCTTAGCATCCAGCATGTCTGATATCTTACTGGCATGACTGAAATTAAAGTCTAACTGATTAATTAATTAATGCATGGAGGAATGCTAGGGGATGCACACTGTGGTAAGTCATGGGTAAGTGGAGTCAGCCTTGTTGTTTTCTTGCAGGCTGTTCTGCATTTGAAATTGTCCGAAGAAACAGTATCCAGTATTGACTTTGGACTAACTTCAGTGCCAGGAATTATCCTTAGGAAGAAGAGAAGCTATGAAGGTCTCGATATGCAAGCAGTGCCTTCGATTTTTTCTCCTCATTGCCCTGCTGTCGGTCAACACCTACGACGCCAACGTCATCCGCAGACTGGGCAAGGACAAACAGGAGGTGGGCCCCAACAACAGGAGTGGGGACCCCGCCCTCAATAACCTGGTCCCGCACGACCGCAGAGACCGGGTGCGGCTGATGAAGGAAGGCCAGCCGAGCCCAAACAAGGTGAACGGGATGGACCTAGCCCCGCCCAACCACAACGATGGGGTGCGGCTTATGCGGGGCGGGGAACTGAATAAGGAATACAAACAGGAAGTGTTCCTGGGCCCCGATCATGCCGATTTTGAGAACATCCCTGAAAGGGAAGGAAAACGGAGACTGATGGAGATATTTTCCAAGTGAGTGTGGTTTGTTAATTGTGCAATTTTTATAATGGACAAAGAAAGTTCACCAGACCAGACCAGGATGTGAACCTGTGACCCCCCCCCCCGAGTGCTGCAGAGAAGTACCTGCATTGTTACTAAATTTGTGGGTTCAAGTTGGCATCTCTCAGCTTATCAATATCACAATTTTTTGTTCTCTCCTAAACAGTTTTCACTGTACAAGCTTTCGCCGTACTAGGCAGCTCTAAATCATTGCTCACAGCTGAACGTGTGTTGTTTTCAGCCATTTGGAATCTTGGAATGAAACCTTCGTCATAAAGTTTCTGCGGCCCTTCATACATTTTCAGAAGGCTTTTGAAGTGTGAAATGATGTTTCAAAGAATTAAGTCGACAGAAGGAAAAACCTCATATATAGAAACACTTGCAAGTTTTTATTGTTTGGGGTAATTTTTTTTATCGGGTTGCAGAGCGGACAGCAACAAAGATGAATATTTGGATCTGCAAGAGCTGACGGAATGGATCTCTCTCCAGACAGAAAAGCATTTTGAAGAGGCTCTGGAGGCGAGCAAGAAAATCTTCCCCTTCGTTGACACAGACTCCGATGGTAACTCATTGTGATTAGAAAAAAATTTTTTCAGATGTAAACAACAAAGAAGTGTTTGATGTTATCCACTGAAACAAGAGTCACCATTTTTGCTCACAGTGAAATGATGTGTTACATATTCACAGGGAAGATCCATTGGGACGAATATCGTAAACAGTTTCTGAAGCAGAGAGGTTACGGGGAGGCAACCTTTGAGGAACTCAAGAAAGAGACAGGTGCTTTGAAGGGTCAAGATGAAGGTACTTGGAAAACCAATCCGTACTTTTAATCAAACCAAAAAAACAATACCCATTTAAACCAGTAAGAAACCTGCGAGGTTCCCTTAAATCTGTACTTGAGCAAATGACCTATGACCTCTAACCTATGAGCTCTACAGCACCATACTGTCATCAGGGTGTTGTCCAGGAAGTGCCACATTATAAGCTCAATTGTATAAGACGTGTTGTTAGGGATGGTCCAAAACCAGGCTCAAGTGCAGTAGGTAACGTCATATCCCTGAAGTAGTTCAGCTTCTACTGTTCATGTTCAGGGAAGTTCCGCAGCTGTTATTGCCCATGACTTACCAAAGCTTTCTGTAGACTTTGAAGGGGGGGTGGTACTGTCAAACATCAGAATTACCTACTGCTTCCTTGAGTGGCTTTCGGATGGTGGTTCATATTTCCGATGTACCCATCGTTTTCTTGGAATCGACAGAGGATTACTTGGTGTACCGGGATCGATGGAGCCGGGCAGATGAAGACGATGACGACATCTTAAACCAGGAGGAATTCCTAGCCTTCTTGCATCCTGAACACTGCAAGTCCATGCTCAACTTACTGGTGGACGAACTCCTGCACGACTTTGGTGAGTTGTGTTTTTTTCCTTTAAGAATCCTCAAATCCTAAAAAGTCGTCTGACAACTGATTATGTGATGTTTAGGAGCGGCTTGTTGAACTGATTTTCACCAAGTACAAAAATTGTACAAAAATGTCCTTTGAGTTAGGCCTTTAAAATGTCTTAATTGTCTGCAAACCGTTCAAAAGATTAAAAAATTGTAGAAATAAATTCCAAATGCCTGGAACATGGGGAACGGCTGAATTATGAAACAGCTGAAAAATTCCCCCCAACCTTAAATTCTTCTTCTTGGAGAAACAGTTGTTGTATAGACTGAACTCTAAATTGGTTGCAAACCGTCTTCCTTTGTAGTCAAAATATTAATAACAGTGCAAAAAAAGCTGAGGTGTCATTTGTATTTTCAAGTTGGACTGACACCAACTACATCTATTAGTTACAGTTGGAGTTGCAGTCCGTGAGCAGTAATTTCACGCCTGACATACTGGCTTTGTTCTGGCTTTTCTCGTTGGCAGACTCGGACGGCGATGCCAAGCTGACGCTAGCTGAGTTTGTCTCCCTGCCTCAACTGAGCAGCCAGGAGCTGGAGAAGGCTGCCCAGGAAGATGAGTGGGTGCGAGAACGCATCAAGGAGTTCAGGGAGAACATGGACCTTAACCGCGACGGTGTCTGTGATGCCAAGGAGTTAGAGGTGCAGGAATATGGAAAATGAAATTGAAAGAAACTGTAAATGTTCGACCGTTCCTCTAAGGGATGTATGGTTAGATTCAGTGTGGGCCCAGTAGTAATGTCCCGTTTGGAATGGCAGTGCTCCCAGGCTATTCCTAAATGGGTTGTGTGTCCCCAATTAGGCAATAATCCAAGTAGAGCATCATAGTGTAGATATTCCACAAGAGGCATCACTGAGTTTCTATCTCAGACTTGTTCACTTTGTGGAGCATTTCATGAGTTTCTCAGAAAGACTTCCTAGAACTTGTGAGTCTTAGCTTTTCTTACATAATCGGGTACCTTGAAAGAAAGCTTATAAGAACTGGATCATCAAAATGCAGTACAGAATCTTGGAAACCGCGTTTTCACTGCTCATTAAATCAGACCGTATTCTCTGACTCTCTCCATTCTATTTCCAGGTCTACGTAAATCCCAGGAATCGACAGCATGCCGAGGGAGAAGCCAGCCATCTCATTGGGGTCGCTGACGAGAACGGAGATGACAAACTTTCCCCCAGGGAAGTTCTGAGTAACTACTACGTCTTCGTGGGCAGCAAGCTCTATAATTACGGCAGGAACGTCCACGATGAATTCTGAGGAGATTATTTGAGTAATCAGTTTCGATTTTGTTTTGTCAGTTTTGTCAAAACCGGGACATTTTTTTTTTTTTTCAGCGAGCAAGAAGCTGGCCACTTCTTGATCACATAGGGTTTCTGCACTGATGGACGAGGGCGCTTTGATGCCCACACACTCAAGCAAAGTGACGGCGCTTGCCTGTCTTTCACTTGAGTACTCTGAAATGAAAATTTGTTGAATTTACTGAGGCGCATACATTGTGTTTCTATTATCAAGGGCAGGCACCCCCCATGAGGGTGCCATGACAAAGATGTGTACAGTGTGTGCCAGAATGGTTTGACCCAATTTTTACCAGTAGTGGGCGAAAATCTGCACAGAGCCCACTAAGGTCAGCAGACTGGTCCAAAAAAGCAACCAGTTAAAGGAATTTGATCTTTCCACTGGCAACACTTGGGTGTGTCTTTGTCACTCACGCTCACAAAATTGCACGAAGTATGGTACGGAGAGCGATGCCATTTGTACCACCGTTAATTTTCAAAGGCCATTTTTTTTCCCAGCAGATTCAAGAGACATCTGCTCCAGTCTGCCAACTACAAATGCACTCCTTACAGCTGAAACTCTGAAGCAGAATTCTGTATTTGATTACATTTTCCTCACGCTTTCAGTTTGGGTCACATTGCAGCTGTCTTGTTTTTGGGGAGGTTTCATTCATTTTGGTATTTTTTTGGCACGGTAGCACACTCCTTATGTCTTGTCACTTGTGCTGTGTCGTGTGTACACTGTAGTTAATAGGCCTATGTACTGATGACGTCACACTTTATGTGTGCCGACCTTTCCTCCGGAGCCAGTGGGGGCTCACGGTCCTCTGAGCACCAGGGGAAAGGACACACGTAAACAACGTGTGGCATCATCGGTACAGTAGTCAGTTGAAGAATGTGGGAACTTCGTCTGTTGATGGGGGGGTGGAGATATGTGCCCAGTGCACCTGCAAAAATTGGGGAAGGAAAAAGCTTGAGCTAAGCATTTATATTCCTTCCTGCAGGAACCCCCCCCTCCCAAAAAAATCAGGCTCAATCTGACTGTGGTTGTACACTTCATTTCATTCTGATAACTCACCAGCACTTCTAGTTTCCAGTTTGACAGGTTAGGGTCCTAGTTTGACTTGTCAGTCACCTAAGGATTATGATTACATTTGAACCCACCTTGTCTTTGTAGAAAGTCATCTAGTAACGTTTATTTTCTTTTTTTCAAGTGGGGAAAGTGATTGAATTTGATGAGATTATTGGTAAACACATGGTCCAAGCATGGCTACTGGTTTTGGACCCAAACCACGCCATGCTTTTGTTCGGAACTAATCCTTGCTAGTAGAGCCCTGGCATGCATAGACATGTAGTCCCAAACTCAGGTGTGCACCGTCATCATCATGTTTATCTTTCTTGGTTTGTCATCTTGGAGAACAGCTTGAAAAAATACTAGCGTAGCAGTATTTGCAAATAATATTGGAATTTGTATGAGGGTCACCTAGCTAGCCTAAAAAGTGCTTGGAATCGTATTTATTTTCAATAAATTTGGGGTCCAATTTGTCCCTGTCCCTGTTGCAGCTGGCTTATGATTTTTTTTTTTTAATGTTTAGAACTCATTCTTCAATGTCCAAGATTGAATAAGTACTGCAAATTATCCGCCAAATAAATAACAACAGTTTCAGTGATATATCCCTTGCCAGGCATAACAGGGATGGAAAATTGTCCCACGTCGGACCCCAGATTTGTAGAATACAAATTTAAGGAACAAAGAGTCCATATTGTTTAGTTTGAAAGAGTACTTCTTGTTCTGGCTTTGTGCAGTATGTTTATTTTTTTATGAAGCAGTTTCAGCAGCCTTTGATCAAGTTACACTTCAATTGAAATTATTTTTCACAAAGGAAAAAGCAGGCTGTATCCTGTGTGAGTGATCACCAGCTGTCTCAGCTCAGAGACTTTACGACTTGGCCACAATCTCACATGACCACACTGTCTGTATGGGTTGCCTGGCTCCCGAGGAGCATCTCCAAGACAAAGACGGTTTTCCAGATCTTAACTTTGTCTGTATTCTGTGCATTGCCAGATTCCATCCTCCTCAAACCCTTCACCATTATTTTCAGCAAGATAAAAAAACCCTCATATTTTGCCAGAGGTGCGTTGAAATTATTTGCAATTGACCCATGGACGGGAGTACACGTTTCCTTTGCAAGTTGGAACATTATTAGCCTCGAGTGGTTTGTGTCAGAGGCAAAGGCAGAGACAATACCAAGAAAAATCCTCAAAGACATTAGTGAATTTTTGAGATCGTCAATACCTGACAGAATGAATTGGTTGTTTGACGGGGCACCTTACAGTAATGCAGAGGCAAAGGTTCGAATGCTACATGTGTCAATATTTTCTCTTTGTTTTTGTTCTCTGTGTGTTTCTTTTCATATCATTCCTTTTTTTGTCTTGTGTGGTGATGAAAATGTATGCAAGATTTCTTTTGTAAAAGACGCATACTTTTTTTATCATGTATACAATCTGACCACTTTAATGCGATCAGAAATCCAGGATTTACTGTCTAATAATGTCAGATTCATTTGTAAACATGAATATTGATTGTGCTAACCTTTGCACGTATGGTGCAATTTGTAAATGAGTAATTTAGTTTCATACAAATTTATGCCATCCTAGACTTGCATGATTTGTTGAATTTTCAGATAACGGTTGTAAATTTTAAGATCAGGACAATCTCCAATAAAGTGTTCTTATTTTACGTTTTCGATTTTAAAAAAGTTCAGAGTCTTTCAGCGTCATTTGCTTGAACATCTGACACTGAGAAATACCGAACAGAAATGCGTCAAATTTGGAGACACCTTGAAGCACTCTTTTCTGATTTTTCTCAGCACAACCAAAATTTCTAATCAACATCAGAACTTTTTAGATGTTTCCTAGAAGTGTGAAACACTGATACCAAACGAATGCCCCTTCTCAAATAATGAATTTGTAACAAACTGACTTTCTTCCCATCCAAATACTTTTGACAAACTGTAATACATTCAATATGCATGACGATGTCAGGTTGCTGTAGAGAATGTTGCACGATCACAAAAAAAACATCAGCCCTTTACTTGCAGATACTTTGTGCTTCTGAGTTCATTTTCAAAACTTGGCAGTGGTAGCTTGCTGAGTTGGCAAGAAAAAGCAACGGGAAAGTTAAGGTGTTAAAGAACCATTTCTATTTAAAATATTTGTACTGCATATAAAGGTACTTTTTCTTCAGAGTTGGCATTTTTAAACAACAGCTTTGAAAAACTTTAAAAAAACCCAAAAAACTACGAACTACAAAATGTTAAAGACTTTTACTGACCAAAATTAAGCAAAGTTGAATGAGTCCAAAATGGCAAGAACGTGTAGCTTTCTGTATACAACAGACTTTTACAATACTGTCCAACGTATCCTTTGATGCAACTCGTCAAATGAAGTCTCGTTTGGAAGTTAAACGGAACACTTTGACTTAGCGATATCATGAACCAAAATGAAGTGTCTGGTTTGTTTGACCATCAGTTTACATAGCATATAAATTTACTTTAATTACAAAAAACGTGCATAATTCTTTTAATGCTGAACTATCCAATGGCCAAGCCTGAAAATCAATGAAGAAAAACAACAAAAAGGAATTCATTTCTAAATTATTTGACATACATACATGTACACATTTTATGTCCTTGCTACCAAATGATGGCAAACGTAACAAGTTACCAAAAAAAAAAACTATTTCCACATGATGTAAATGTGCATTCACCACATGACTCTGTTCATGGCAAGAATCTGGCAGCATATTTCACCACTAACTGTGTCGTGTTTTGGTACGGCAGGGACCCTGTTGTGTAATGGTCAGAAAACAGCGGCAAGAGACATGACAACCATCGCATTAACGACGACATGTACATCTTCCCCCGACCTAAATATTGCCTTCCCCCTCATGGCAGTGTTCCGTTCAACCCTTTACAAAAATGGAATGCTGGAAGACTACAAAAAACAGACAGAAAAACCCTATTCCAAGACTTGGTTTGTCAAAATCAATCCACAAACTCATTTGTAAGTTTGGTTACAAGTTACAAAGGATGGACGATGATTATGGAATGTCTTGGCTACAGTTCATTTGAATAGCTTTTGACGAGAGACCTGACAAGTTCTGACAACTTGTGACTTGCTTTACTTTTGCCAATGAGCAGTTCAGTAAAGAATAAGAAAAGGGCGAAGTTTTGGCAGACCCTTCAAGAGCTGGAAGGGGGGGGTCCTGCTTATCTTTCTTAAGGTACCCCTTCCACCCGTTCACAACAATCGGTGGGTACCTTGTCCCAGTTATAGACATACGATAGCCTGAACTGCTGCTCTTTGGCACAGAGTTTCCCAGTGGTCTGTAGCTGCTGGTACTTGGATCTCATGTCTTGTATCGTCTGTTTGTGCGTGACGATGTAGACATTGCGGCAGCCGCGGGATTTAAATTCAGTGTCGAATCGCGGGTCGTGCTCGCGCTTGACGTCCACAGCTGCCAGCCAGGAGCCGACCGAGACATCTTCGGCGTGGTACCTCTTTAGGTATGGGGCATTATTCGCAATGAAGCTAACCAGATCAGACGACAACACATACCCACCACCCATGGCGTACGGCAAGTACCGATCACACAGGACCCAGTCTGTTTCAGCGTACCGCCCGGTGCGGTGGGCGTGAGCTCGCCCATCAAAGAACCCCCAGTACAGCTTCTCCTTATTCTTACTCTTCAGTTCTTTCACCATCGCATCTAGTCGGACGTATGTGTCGTCGTCTGCCTTCAGCATGTACTGGAAGTCAACATTCTGGTCCAGCCACGTCAGCATTTGGATCAGCTTGTTCGTGAGCGAGCCGAAGGAATCCTTCAGTGAGGGTAGGAACAGCAGGTCCTTGTGTCGAGCCTGCTCGGCGTCCAGCATCTTCTTGTCAGATTCTTTCAGCTCCGCTGTGCCCACTACAAACTTGGCCATGACCTCCTTACCACTCTTCTGCAGCCAGGTCTCCCGGATGGTGTAGCGCCGCTCCACCAGCTGTGGGCCTGTCATGATTAGGACCACCAGGTATGCCGACAGCTTCTTCTTGGGCCGCGGGGGAGCAACGGCACTTTTTGGCCCATCCTTACGGTTGGGCTGGCGCGGCTCACACGTCACTGGCTTGGCATGCTGGCTACCCGAACCATCATTGCATGTTGAGATGATATAAATGATGAAGAGAATGAAGACAACGGGCATAATAAACACGATCTTTGCCATGCCGGATTTTGTCTGCCTACCCATGTTCTACTCAGACCTGTTATTGGAAGAAAACAACATTAAGAATTATTCATTGAGGGGAATTTTATTTTCAACTGGGAAATTGTCTCATGGAGTGAAGTACATATTTGTAAAAGGTAAACCTGTAGAATACGTGGTGTGTTTTCTTACATCACCTGTTTTCACTAACTCCATAAAGTTTGGGGTCTGCATATTCCGGAGTTTAGTTTCAAACCTAACACACAAGAAGTGCAACAACTACCAATATCTTTTAACATTCATGATATCTTTGGGGAAACTCTGTAGAGTGTACCTTGGCTTGTTTGCTGGACTCGTAGTAGATGACTCCTTATTTGAACAGCCTTAGGTCAACACTGAAAACCTGTGTCACCATACAGAGCTCTGTTCAAATTCCATTTCTGAAACAAAACATCAAAATTAAGAGCTGGCAATGTTGATACACTTAGAGATGGTACGAATTTCCAATGAAACTTGATTAGTCACTTTTTGAAAACTTAACATGGAGAATTTTGTTTCAAAACTCATCCTGGAAAGAGTTCCAAAACATGGGCATCACTCAAAAACACTGTGATTTATCAGACATCAGAAAGTGATAAAATGTAAAAAAAAAAAAAAGTTAAAGTACATGCATGTGTTACGTCCCAAGTACGGTGCTGCAGTTGGGCTGGCCCAACTATAGTTGGGACAGTCCCAACTATGGTGCTGCTGTTGGGCTAGCCCAACTGTTATTGCTGGCCAATTTCTGTTGAAACTTTTTCAACTTTCTCCAAATTTATGCACTTCACTCCTGACATAATTCATCTGCATACCAATAGTTAATCTGTACAAACCTTGTTTCTAACTGCACAAGTTGATAATGTAACCAAATTACTTTGGCACAAACAATGGGAACATGTACAAATTGAACTTCTGACATTCTGTGTTGCAGTTGCGCTGGCCCAACTATAGCACTATAGTTGGGCCGGTCCCAACTATAGTGGGGACTGGGACTGATGCTATAGTTGGGACGTACCACATGTACTAACAAATGTCTTGACGAGGCAATGAATGGTTACTTCATTTAGCCTAACCTATATATACTAATGACAATGCTTAAAGGAAGGGAAACATGAAAAAATCATAGATTCTCAGGGAAATAAATGAACATGGTCAGATGAGTTAGTCTAGGAGTGTTAACAGATGGCCAAAGGAAAACTTTGACATATTAGTAACATTAAATCTTAAGACTAATGGAATGAACACTTCCTTCCTTACCGCATAAACTGGTCCTTTTACTACTGAGCACTTCTACTAATTTAGTAGGCCTATATATTTTCTGTTCACTAGACCCGATCTTTTTTTTTACTGCTGTCTAACTACATGTATGTGCAACATTAGCTTGTAAGTTGGAGGCCTACGAAGCGTCGAAGAGGAAGCAACGTGAAGACGTTCGCCTGCTCTCACATCGCATAATAACAGTGTGGTGTGGACTTAACAGACTTTGCCAACGTAGCACTTTCTCCAGGCAAGCCAAAATCTGCGAGGTCAATCATCACGTTACTCCTAATGCCACGTACTTGTGAGGCTCAGTTTCCCTTGCCCCCGGGTCAAGGTGGTTTCTCAGCACGCGCTATATCAGATTACAACAAACAGTTTAACGAATCAATCGCTGACCATGGACGCCGCCATCTTGACTGGTTTCCTGCACACAGTTCACGCCGCACACAACTTCATTAAACAAGAAATAGCTGAAAACCAGTTTTGTGATGCATGATGGGATCAAATAAAAATGGCAGCGCTCATGAGCATTTTATTACCAAATTGTTTGGGGCGAAATGCAAAGTTTGGAAATCTCACCTACACATAGGCCTAAACTTTTTCTTTGCGATAAAACTAGTTAACAAACTGCAATGGAGTTTACTGGATCCTGTATTCGCGTAAGTGTCTTAGGAAGTGCTTCACTCGTGTCATGTATATATATGTACATATACACTGTAATCCGTGAGATTAAGATTTGGGGTCAGCTGAGTGATCTCGTATACCCCTGCGTACGCGTACCTGAGTTAACTCTGAGTCCTACCCCACGTGCCCAAGTTGGGGATGCCCCGGTCAACTCGTACCCCAGTCAACTCGTACCCTCGATGAAAACACACACGTTTGTGACTCAAACAGATGACGATTGTTTTCCTCCTTTTTTACACCAAACGTGCCAAACAGATTACGATAGGCCTAATTTGTCTTCTCATATTTTATACCCCAAATGGATTAGGCCTACGATAATTTTTCATCCCCTATTTCCTGCTTTTCTCACATTTTGGATGATGTTAAATGCTAGGGACGTTTACCCAAATACTAAATAGGCCTATCATTAAAATGGTGAAACTCATATGTATTTTGGTCCCACGAATGAAAGCTACTGTAGGCGATGATTTGTATTTTGTTAATGATTACAATTCTACTTGTTTACGTGTGCAGGGACCAAATTATGGAAATTTCCCATCCCAGGCCATCATGATTGGTCAGAAAAGAAAAAGAATGACAAGGAAAAATCTGTGTTTTTTTTAAAAATAATCATGAACAAATAGCAGGCAGCCTGAGATCTAGGTGTATCTCTGTCTTGAAGATGGGTTGGCTCTGATAAGAGCTGGTTAGTTTGTTATTGCCCCCAGCCGTTTATAGTGCTGGGCCAGTAAGGTGCTTGCAGGTTAGCCAGTAAGTTGGATCTCGTCAGGTTGCTGCTCTCATAGCACTCCCAGAGCTTGAATACCTGCCCTGGGAATGTCTTCATCTTCTGCTGCTGGTATCGTCGTATCTTGTATGCCTTGTGCAGACGCATCTGGATCTTGACCGTGGTTGCCATTTATGTCCTGCTTCCAATGGGGATTTTTCAACGAAATCTTACTTGTAAAGGGAACTTGATACATACGTTTGTGTTCAATAAATGCGAGCATTAAAAGCATATTCTCTGCAGACTGGGGAGTATGAGTTGACTCGGGTACCAGCCAACCTGGGTACGAGTTAACTCAGGTGCTAGTTAACCTGGGTACGAGTTAACTTTGGTGCATAGTTTGGGGTATGAGTTGGCCAGGGTACGAGTTAACCCGGAAGCAAGTTGACCCATTTAAAATGTGATTGCCTCTTTTCCAGTGGCCACATTGACACTGTTATTAAAGTATTGTTAATGATAATATCTAACGTTAGATCTCACTTTACTATTCTTTAAACCATCAAGTGCTGTTGGTGTTACACATGTCAATCAAACTACACACCTGCATTTTTTCAAAGAACTTTTCAGATTTAGGCCTACATGTAGGGCCAACATACATGTATGACTCATAGTAATTGTCAATCTAGTTTTAAGTTTGTTTTTTATTTGTGATTTGCTTTATCTGTAATATATTTTTTTGTTGGACCAGCACATAGCATACTTGCAGGGAAAGCCAATTTTATTTAATCAAGTTTTATTATTAATGTAAATGTAGGCCTACGATGGATTCATTGTTAATTACTTATACTTAATCCTGACTTCTGTTTCGTTTTTGTTTTGTTTGGCTGTAGGATGTAAACAAATGTTGTAGAGGTCGCAGATCTGGAAACAAAATGTTAATTTTGATGTGCGCCTCCAGCTCAGCCCTTCTGGTTGTTTTCATTACCATTTGCATCAATGACACAACCAGTCACAATACAAAGGTCCTACCCTGTGACCCAAACCTATCCCCACCCCAGGGCCAAGCCAGTAAGAAGCATCTATCAGCATTCCTGGTGATACTGGTAATGAGCGGGCCGCAGATGGTTGAACGAAGGTACACAATCCGTGACACGTGGTTGCAGAACCACGGGGAAGACGTCTTGCCGCGATTTGTCATAGGAACGTCTGGGCTGTCTTCTTCCGACATGGAGACATTGAATTTGGAGCAAAAACAGTACTACGATATGCTTTTCCTTTCAGATCTGAAGGACTCCTTTGACTTGTTATCATCCAAACTTCTTAAGATGCTAGTTTGGTTAGACCGTACAGTAGACTTCCAGTACTTGCTGAAAGTAGATGATGATACCTTTGTGCGGTTAGATGCCCTGGTTGAGGAACTCAAGACTAAGTCTAGGGTCCGCCTGTATTGGGGTTTCTTTGACGGCCGTGCCCATGTCCACAAGAGTGGCAAGTACAAGGAAACGGACTGGGTTTTGTGTGACCGTTACCTACCCTTTGCAGTTGGTGGCGGTTACGTCTTGTCCTCTGATCTGGTAGGTTTTGTGGCCCAAAGTGCCCCACTCTTGAAGAAGTACCACGCCGAGGATGTTTCTCTGGGATCCTGGCTGGCACCGATTGATGTGCGACGGGAGCACGACCCACGATTTGACACCGAGTACAAGTCTCGAGGCTGCCGCAACAGCTACCTGGTCACACATAAGCAGAGCGTGCAGAACATGCGGGGAAAATACCTGCAGCTACAAACGATCGGCCAGATGTGCTCCAAGGAGCAGCAGTTTAGGTTGTCATACACCTACAACTGGGACAAGCCACCTACAGAATGTTGTGAACGTGTTGAAGGTGTGCCATGACAAATCCATGTAAATGCCTCATTTTTTTTGTGTGGAATAAATTTCATTTTCTTGAGAGAAGAATAAACTGGAAGAGTTAAATGATTGCGGTTGCATCAAAATCTTTCTTCAGTATGTGTGGTTCTGAGAAGAACCGGGGAATAACTCGACGTTTCGAACAGTGAAGACGGACAGAGTACACTCATCGAAACGTCGAGTTATTCCTCGGTTCTTCTCATAACCACACATACTCAAGAAAGAGATTGATACACGGTGTCACCGCAATCGTTTTACTCATCTAGTTTCTTTCACTTTGAAAACCTTCAAGTCTTACAAGAATGAATTGACTTGCAGTTGTTTCGTAACAGTACAATGTACTTTCATTGAGTGAGTTCAGTAGGCTGAAAAAGTCACCTTGATTAGAACACAAATCTGAATAAATTATTACCTATTTATATCTGAAGATCTCTGGAGCACATCAGCATACACAACTCAGAATTACACATATTTCAACTTCAGAAGAATCTAAAACGTATCCTTTTGGGGAATGCTTTATTTTTACAGGTCATAAAACCCAGACTCATTTAAATGAGGAAAACACTAAGTTTTTTACTTGATCCACTCAAATTCAGGTTTAAGACACCTTATTCAGGTTACTTCATTCTGGGTATTTACCCGTTTTTACAGATTCATAAGAAGTTGATGAGACTATGAAAAACACACACGAAGGGCTGAAAGCTTTGAACAGTTTTTAAATAATTTTAATCATATCAGCATTGTGATTTATCATTTTAAAATAACTGGACACAAAAGACATTGCTTGGATCAGGTAGGGTAGATTTCCCGTATGTGAATCGGGGCTGCTTGTCTTGTGCATGTACGTGAATTGCGTCGAGTGTGAGGTTAAATTAATTAGGCTTTCAGATTTACGATGATGTCATCAAAAGTCGGCACAGGTCAACCACAAGCTAACCAAACGTCATCCACGCTCATTTTGCCGTGCAAGCTAATTTTTCCCCCCGGAAATTTTCACGGTACTTTTAACTGGCAGCACGGGCGCCAGTTGTATACTGTGAATGATTTACAGTTTTTTTTCGGTAAATGGCTGTCATTTATTGGACAGTAATTAACCGTAAAAACAACATTAACTTAGCTCAATTAATTACATTTATTTGAAGTAGACATTAGACACAGCAAGTTACCGCTTTCATTGCTGATTACGAGTTCATTCTGAATGTGTATTTAGGCGTAAGTTCTGTTGATAAAGGATTCTCAAATTCGCGTTAATATTAACACTTGAAGTACAATTACGTGTAGAATACACATACCTCGTATTCAGAAACTTTGATCGCGGCAGAACTTAATACATTCATGATGTGCACTGACAGGGTATGTACATATATTTGCATTGTTTGGCTCCTAAGCGCGATCATGGTTGGAACCTGTAAAAGGGAGATGTTTCATTGTTCACGTTCGATTTATCTTTTTAGGCAATGGTTTGCATTTTACGTGTAATACTACATCCAAACAGCACAAACAATTGTCAAACTAATTTCAAATACTTGAGTAAAGAATGGAAAACCACAAAAGTAGCAACGACACATTTGTGTCAATATGTAAATTGAGATCAAAGCGTATACCGTAAAACATAACTCTTAAATAGACAGTATGATACTGCATTCACAAAAGCACAGTAAAAACGTGTCACAAACACGTTTGTCTACTGTAAACGAATGTATATTTAAAGTAATGTTTAATGTTGCAAAAATACAGTACAACATGGCTCAGTGTATATTCAGAGAATAATGTCAGACTACGACGCTTATTTATTATTCATCATGCATTAATGACAAGACTTGACTAATTGTTTGCAATTCTGTGCCCTTCACCTTTCAAGTAATGGATTGGACAAGTACATACGTGTAAATGTAGGATTTCTACAATTTATTTTTTAGTGATCAACATTTTTGCATGTGTATGTATATTGTGTCTTATCAAATTGTTGAAAAATATTTTTTATGTCATATATTTTTATATGGATGTTAAAATGAAGTTGCTTTGTTAAAAAAGTGAAATTCTTTGGTCTTTTTATTTGTTTTTGTTTTCATGTTACTGGCATGCGAAATGCCATATGCGCCCTGACTCTCGAGGCTAGACGGACGAAAATAATATCTCAAATGATGAACGACATTCAGTATTCCAAAAGCGCATGCCCCAAATGAAGCACGTCTGAGGTCTTTCTTGAATCCGGCTCTCAAGTGACTTTGTCGTACAAGCGCACGTACCACGAATTAAGTTGCGCGTTTATTTCCGGTTCCATGGTTCCGCGTAACTGTATGTGCAGTGGGCGTGGTTTGAATTGAAGTGACCGTGACGTCACACGAACCGGACAGCGCATAATGTTCGCGCGCACTAGTTTTGCCCTATCACAGCTATATGCCGACTAGCACACGTGCTTTATTCTCAAATGACCTTGTGTTTTGAAGTACCAAACGGGCTCATTAGCTTGAAGTTCACCTCGACAAATTAAAGTTGGCCTACATGTAGGGTCGATGTTATTTCTTAAAATGTCACAGGTCGATCACCCTTCATCAATATCCGAAAAAAAACGCAGCGTAATACCACAAGAGGGCGCTGTAGAACGCAAATTTAGATTTGCGTAAGTCCTTAATAGATTCGTAGTACTAATGTCATTCATTGTTCTTTGCATGCACTATATTTTCTGATTTATAGACCATATGTGCGATTGAGATACCATTTCATAGAGTTATTACTTAGGTTTACCCCATTTTCCTCAAAAGTATCCGTTACCCTTCGTGCGATAAAAACAAAATCACACACCCTCCGCCCCCCAAAAAAACAATAGGCCTGCAAAGTAATTATTTGCCTAGAAATGAAGGGTGCACACTGCCAGCCGGAATTTAAAAGAAGCAATACTTGAGTATCTCATGAACAGAGCATACCACCAATAGACCTTTTTCCTGACATGTGATGCCACAACCATGCTGGACCGCCATGTGTTTTGATGGTAAGGAGTGCAGTGTTGTGATGGTAATCTACCTGTTCAAGATAAACATGCAGCGTTTGCGCGTGCGCTTACACGTGGTTGAAGCTGCCCGTAGGAATATATGCGATCACCGTGGCTAAGGCGATCCACACGTGGTTGTATTGTTTACATTTAATCACGTGGGTGGAAAAAGTCTAAACCAACTCACACGATTTTACGATTTTTTAAAAACCCAAATTTTCGACGGTTTCGATGATTTCAGGGAATGCAAAATGGTGTACTTATAAATGTCTTACGTGACAAATCAAATTTAATGATATTTATATTGTATTGTCAAATCATGGATAGCTAGTTAAATACCATGCGAAATGAAATCTGTGTGTAAAAATAAAGATCACACTCGCTAAACTTGTGTAAGTTTAATTTTGATCACGAAATGCATACTGCCCTCGTGCGACGTGTTGCCCGTCGAGTTGTGTTCGGATCCTTTTACGTAGATCCGTTCGACCTCTGGCGAACATCGAATGGTGGGTAAGGCCTGGGGTATTTACTCTCTTGGCCGGGTTAATTATTCTGCTTCGATAGCCGATAGGATCTTAGATTATGAGCTAACCATGTCGAACGAGCCCGTGACTACTTGAATTAAGTGCCAGTGATCGCAATCACTTACTGCGGACCATTGTTACAGATAATGTACGTGTATTTTTAGTGGTTTTAGTTGTCGGTTTATTAGTATCGAATAAACGAATGCCTGTAACCATTGGCGTAACGGGGTGGGGGGGGGGGGGTTCGCGCCCCCACTACTTCAAATTTGGAAAGGCACACAGCCTCTGTACAGCTCACACTTAATTTCCTTTCGGTGTCCTCTTCAAATTATGTGTGCACCCGGGTGCACCCCCCCAGATTTCACCCTTATGCCACCCTGGAATGGACCCCAGCCCGTCAAAATATTTATGCTACCAATCTACAAATTCCCTTCTATTACACCAATGGAAATGAGCTGTAATTCAGGCATGGACTTTGATCCGTTTATGAGATTCACAGCTTCAATCATGATGTTACCTGCATGTTACAGTTCGTGCCCCCACCGTGCAGTCGAGTTGAGTCCTTATTTGCAATGGCGTTTACGTATCTGCGACGTTGTTGTTGCTGTGACGTGTCCTGGGGAACGATGACAGTAGCCGTGTGGACCATGGTGAGCTTATAATTTTTGTGAAGTTAAAAAATTACCTGTCATTAATGTTGAAATTTAGCCCGGTTATGCTTTCATTGTTGCCTCTATCTGCTGTATCGTATTTACTAACAAAGCCACCAATCCGTTGCTTTTTAGCAGCGGATGTCTCGTCCTCGTTCTTCTAAAATTTCACAACTAATCCAACCCCTTTAATTTACATCGATATTGGAATAAATGTAAGAATTTAAGCATTTTTTCCATATTTCCATCGCAGGTTTGCTGTGTGATGTCCCTAATGCAATGTGGGTACACACTGGCGTATACGGACCCACGAACCACCCGTAAGTTTTCATGTAGAAGAGCCCATCGAGGCCCTGTCTGTGACTGCAATTGGATAAAAAAATTGGTTCAAAATATAGGCCATGTCATTGGCTGTTACCTGCAATGAGGTATCATGCTCTTTGAAGGGGTTCCGATGTCATTACTTCAAGTTAAGCAAACGCCACAGCTTTTTGGAGAGCTTCTCAGGGCGGGGGTTAGGGGAAGAGGATAGTAATGTCCCATGATAGGCAGAATTGAGAGGGTATCCATGTATGTTCGTCGCACTTGAAACAGAAAGAAATTCGCACCCGCTCATTTTCCAGTCGTAAATAGGTTATGAAGACAGTAGTTCAAAGTATAGCATATATTTTTTTTTCGCAAGCTCTCGGACAAGCACTGAGCATACAGTGTTTATTAATATACGTTGGGTAAGGGCAAACCCGTTATATATAATATATACAAAGTATAGCAGTCGCCTCGGACTTACCTTTTAAAACTAATGATCTCTTTTCCACGTCCCCAGATTTTGTGCTAATCCCCAGCCCCCTTCCATTTTGCCTCTGTATCCCACAGTAAGCTTTACGACGCCTGAACCCTTACTGAACAGAGTGCGCGACCGAAACGAAACGATTTCCTTTTCGTGTTAGGGTTTCTTTTCCCAATCGTAGTTTAACCCTACAAGAACAGGCGCAGAAGCTCCCACCTCCGACATTTTTCCCGTATCGCCACGGTGTATTTATGTTCCATTTTCTCAGGAATTTTAAGAGGATCGGTGTGGTCATTTGACCGACACAACTTTGTGAAAATCGAACGTGCAGTTCTTGGGCATGCAGCACCCATTTTTCCGAGAGATAGGTCAGCCCAAAATGTATACTTTTCCAACTGCGGTGCCACACGTCATGCAGCCTTGAACTTCATATAACCGTAAAAAAAGCGTACGTCTGATGAGTACAAACTTCACATTTGTAACGATAAGGAGGTAAGGTTAAAAAAATATCGAGCGCGGCACAGCCGAGTTGGGGGGGGGGCAAAACGTAACCCGGCTAAACTGTAACGTGCAGCGTCCCCCATTACGCAATACGTACCGTAATCATTGTGAGTACACGTCGGATTTGTGAGATAAGTGGACAATTGTAATCTCTCCGGTTTTCGTCCCTTTTCCTCGCAGAGTCTGTTGTGGTGTACAGCTTTCTAATAGTACTCAACGTGGGCTCGATCCTGTCAGCTGCGCTTTTGGTTATTGGCACAGTTCGAGTAAGCAGATTTGTCATTATTTTGTTATTTTTATATTTCAATACGGCAATACTTTGCATTTCCCCTTTCTCTGCGTGTTGTCAAAGCGCTTATGTAATATGCCATTGTTGCTACATGAGCATAATCTGTACTAACTGATAAATTGTGTTTGCGCGCGCTATTATCGAATCGCGGTATCATCATATCCCAAGAGTAGAATAGATTCACGCTTGTTGACAATGTCCAACCAGCTATCAATATTTCTACACTGACAGATTTAATGGGCTCTTCCATTGTAACGCCAATTCCTCTTTTTCGAGAGTCACAGAATCCACAAGGGGCGGGGCGGGCAAGATGGGCGTAGGGCATGAAAGTCTCCTTCCTGTAGGAACCTTGTAAGTCTGGATTTGTATTTCATCTCGAATTCTGCAGATGAATGAGGTCATGCTGCGACCTTACATGGTGTTTGAGACCATGTCATTCGTCTCCTACTTTGCGCTTGAGGTTGCACTGGTCGTCGTCCTGATAGTAAGTGAAACGAGACACCGATTATTTCAAGAATTGTTTTACTAAAAACGAGTGGAATTCCATTTCCGAAAAACTTCCGAACACATATATTCATAGGCCTATTCGTAAAAGTGTCGATAATAATCCGCAAATATTGGGCGTGTATAAATTACTTCGCTTGACAACCCATATTCATCGCAATTCAAAAACACTTCTGTAGGTTTTCTTGGCATTGTTTGACATATTTTATTCCAGCATTTGCATAAATTTAATTACACCAACTTTGATAAAAAACATCGGACGTGCACTTGCGTGGTGCAGCTAAAAATGAAACGGACATCCTTGGTTTCCTGTCTTACACATGTGCTTACATTATTAATACGGCAGACTACCACTCGACTCTAAGAATAAAATCATTCTTCTGATCCATAAACCATTTTTCTCTTTTGGGCCGGCACATCTCGCCACACGATGGAGCCCATTGCATGGAGAGATCTCATGATTGATCCCGGTGCGTAGATTTTCAATCTGATAACGAGGAAAGTGCTCAGGCAAAACGTCGCCATGCACACTTCATTTTCTGAAACTACGTCTTATTGATTTCTGGACCACTAGAATGGAGACTGGAAGAACTTTCCACTGTTTAGTACTGAGACAGGTTCCATCACTTCTGACGACTTCAAATTCATCTACGTGACAGTGGCTGCACTTATTCCACTTTTTCTCTTTATCAAGGTGAGAAAATGTTGGCTTAAAATTGAAACATCCTCCGGTGGAATTTTGAGAATGCCCTTTCCTGTATAAAATTTCTTCTGCAACCGTATGCGAGAAGGCCACTAACGTTGGTACAATAATCACTTAAATTAATTTGGGTATTGTCAAATATTTTCCGACATGTCTTTGCTGAAAAATTTGATTAGAAAAGGGCTTCGATACTGGCGGATCTCCCAGCCCCCCTGGAATGTTTATTGAGCAAACAGTGCTGATAACAAGTGACCATTTAACCTGCTTGACACATCATGTGTTTTCGTCTATGATGGCAAATAATGTCTTGCTCACATCACTTTCTCGACAAACCACAGACAGTTCACAATCTTTCCCCTTGTAAACTCCGGTCTTTGCCTCGTCTTGAGAACAAATCCTAAAGTGAACTTCATAACCTAAAATACTTTTAGCCCCATCCCCAAAGTGTCAAAATTTGCTCATACTCATTTTGTGCTCAAATTGCATGCTTACGCAGATTCCTTGTCTTCTCTGCGTCCTGTCATTTTATCGAGACATACTGCTCAGCGGAAAAATGGTAAGTAAAATGTGGCTGGTTTTGCATAGTGATCCGTAAAAATTAGAAGCATTGATTGGAAAGGTGTAATTTATAAATCTATCTTTTTTTTCCAGTCACAGCTTCCCGTCAGCTACCGACAAGAAGCATCGCCTCTACTGGACGACGTCGAGTGAATCTAAAATCAACGTGCCATCATTCATTTTAAATGTAGTTTTGTGTACCCTGAGTGGCTGATAACAAGAAGGTTTCCCACACATCCTCGAACTTTTTTCATTCAAATAAAAGAGGTTAACTTCAAATTCGTCTCGAGAGGACCGGAACGCACAAAATTTATTCTACAGTGACTGTGCCTTTAGTCATTGGTCGTGTTAAAGGCTTAAGGTCAAAGTTCTCCACCTGGTAATTTTAATCTAGCTTTAGGACCGAAACTTTACTTCTTGATGTAATACTGGGCGTTGTTAGCAAAATGTGTAAAATAATTCTGCAGTATTCAGTTTGTGGCTTCCTGATGACGGATGCAGCAACAATAGCTCCCATCTAAGAGGTTATTGAAGCTATACACAGATTTCCTGTGACGCTAAAAGCATCCAGGTATTTGATCGGTTTAGCCATTTCCTACACTAACATGGGTTGTATAAATTAAAGGGACTTCAAAGAAGTGGGGTAGTATTGTTGCTCGACCTCTGTTATGTTTTTGAATTCTCTTTTGCATGTATTTAAATACCTTATTTATCCTTTAATATCCATTATACACGCCAGGTTCACAAAGCTGATTTGAAATGATCACATGATGTTTATGTTGCATTTACGAGTATCTGCAGTCGTTTGTTTGGTACAAAAGCGAGAGGGTTCATTGGTGTACATGAACTATTCTGCATTTGTCCCAGTTTTTGTAAGGGCAAGAAAGGGATTACGGCTTGGGATCATATTTGTTTTTGTGAGCATTTTTATGAAAACGGGATCCGGTTGGATTCGTTTACAAAGCTGCTGTTACGTAGGTCCTATGCTGATGTATTCGGTTACTTTAAAGGATAAAATGTTTTGTAGTATGCCATGAGGCGTCTCTGCCTCCCTTGCTGCAGATACACTGAGATCATGGATGTTGAATAAATGGCAATAACTGTCAATTAACCAAAGGTAGTGCGGGCTTCAGATTCCCCCCCCCCCAATGTTTTGTTTCGATACCGGTAACGCATTTCACAGTGAGGTTGTAGAAACGGTACGCTTTGCAGAGGAGAGCCTAAAAAGCCTGAGCAATGGACGTAGGTCAGGAGGCACACGTCATTTGATATGGACATGTACTTCAGAAGCTTTGTTCAGACACCTGCAGATAAACAACGAACCTTGAACTCTGAATCTCAGGCATGTGACATTGCATACGTGCCCATACGTGCCGCTTCCAGGATACTCCGTCTTTTTTTAATTATTTTTCTTTTAAATGTTTCGATTTTTGTGAAGTTTGCGTCAAAGATAACACCTCATAATTTTACGCAACGTGTTAACATTCTCGTGTGCTGTGCTGATATACTTGACGTTTTCCTTTCTCTTTTGGGGCGGGAGAGTGCAATGTAATTTCTAAGTAGCCAGCGAAATCCTTTGTCCGCTGCACAACATGGCGGGTGCCTGGGCCAACACGTCCCGCACCTGCTTCGTTCACGCCTCCTGCTCATGTAGGCCTACATAATTGATTCTGGAGTGCGTGGTAAAATTTGTGTCAATTCAAAATGTACGTGATGTATGGAGCAAACTGGTGTTCGATAACTGTACAGCCTCGTTGCATGGTAAAGTGAACCCGGGAACTGTCGATCACTTAGTTAAAGCAGTTTCATACAAAAGTCAACAAGTTCGTCTTGAGATCGTAAGACACAATGCTGTTTACATTGATATCACGTGCATTAATACCGTGTATTGCTATGAACTTTCTGTCTTGAAACTAAACTCCTTTACAGTTATTAACTCTGGAAATTGAAATGACAGATACAAATTGACACCGAAGGGGCTTACGTCGTGAGCCTTAAATAGCTGAACGAATAGCAGTTGTAACAGGTTATCGTTTCCCTTGCACGACGTTCTAAACTTATCTCTTGTTATCCTTCAAACTTTGGCAGTCTTGCTACTCGTATGTCTAGTTCGAACGGGAACAGGTTAACCCGTAAACATTTGGAAGTCATCGCCGTAGTAACGGTGACGTTGGTAGATGGATCAGCCAATACAACGCGTCCAAGCCACGTCAGGGTTTATTTGCGATCCACTTACGAGGCTCATATGATACGGCGGTGCTTTGGCTGATTTGTTCACTCGAACTTGGCGAAACGTTTGGACCTATGTCAGATTTGGAAATTTTATTGCGAGGTTGATACCGAACTCGAAGACGAAGCAAGCAAGATGGCGATTATGACCAGATGTTGCTGTTGTGATGTCAGAATCGGATCCATCGTAGTTGCAATCTGGGTTGCGGTAAGCTACCATCGTGTAACAATAACTCGATTGCTGTTTTTAAGAGGATGAAAAGAAGGCAGGGAAGCTAAATAATACACTTCTTTTTTTGTACTGTTTACTCTCGTGTTCGAAAACAACTGAATACATGTATGTTTCTTGTTTGGTTGATTTGTTAAAGCTCTGGTTTAATTTGACGGCGTTTTTCTCGTCAATGCCGCTCTAGAACGAAGGGCAGACATTAATAATTAACACGTTTGGTAAAATTGCAGCCTTTCATATTTCTGTGAGTGTTTTCGTAAGGTGATTCCCATCTATAAAATGCATCCCGCACAAGAGGTTGAAGATAAGACACATGATGGCTTGCAGTTCAGCTACCAACTAATTGTTTGGAATAAATCTTTTTATTATGGGCTAAACTTGATCATTTTCTTTGTTCGGGAAGAGTTTTCAAGAGAACCAACAGTAGCTATTACGAGTAGCTGCTATATTTACGTCACGATTTAGATAATGACCTGGTTATTTACAAACACTTCAACTTCAGGTAATAAACCAAACAAAATAAATAAATAAGATGTCTTGGTAACATGAACTAAGTTTGATTTTTGATTGGGTGATAATTATCAGCAATCCTTATACGTTCTAAAACTGAACAATCAATTGTTTTCTTTTTTGTATCATTTTGTCAGATTTCGTCCGGAGGTAGCCTCATCCAGAGCGCATGCGGACTGGCAGGTTATTCCTCGTACAGTGACAACTCTGGTAAAACTTGTATTCAAGTTTTGTTCATCCACTGCTTGAAAGGTTTATCCTTTATGTACCATTGTATTTGAGAGCGTAGCATTGCAATTTCGCTGAAACATTATTTTTTCACCGGCAAAGACACGAGCAGGCAGAATTTACCTCAGAACGATTTTTATGGGTTCGTTGTTATGCTCAATTGCTGCATTCATTGTCGGGAGGTTTTGGGGACCGAAATCGTGTGACTTTGCTTCGTTGGCTCACAGAACCTTTCGCCCGACGAATTCTGCATTTTTTTGTCCCTGCAGCTTTGCTGTCAGCTGCGTGGGGGGCGTCGGTTGGGATCAATTCCTTGATGACCATTGCGGCTATTTGCTTGTTTATTGGTGTGCTCAAGGTAAGTCTTTCCTCAATTACCACAAGGCAACACCGGCGGAAAAAAATTCTGATTCTTCCTGCGTCATCTTTGCCAATCATTAAATTCTGAATTTTTCTTTATCTTCCCAGGACACCAAATCGCTGCTCATTCCCTATATGATCGGTGAGTGCCTCTACATGGTTGCGTATGTGGCACTGGAGATAGCTGTTATTGTTGTCTTAGTGGTAAGTTGCATTACACAAGAGTTTAAAAATGTTTGATTCAACCGGACTCTCCATTTTGGATACTAAATGTACTTGTTTTGTCGGACTACAATCCTTAATTGCAGTCATGTCTCGCATCTACGTGTCATTTGTGCGCCCTCTCCCCTGTAAAAGGGGAAAGGCGGTGACCACAAAGAGCTGGCTTGCAAAGTTGGATCAGCGACAATCTGTCAACCACTGGTCGATTTTTGAACCAACGGGGGATCCGAGGCGCGTCAACTAAGATGAACTCACCCAATTTTTATTAGCAATGAGGCCATTTTGATGGGCGAGGGACCAGCTGATTAAAACGACCTCCATAAAATTGACAAGCACTGATGGTACTGGCAACCCGTGTGTAATGCATAATATTGACTCAATTATTGAGGGACATGACTATTCGCTACAGCGTTACAATATCAACTATGGCAAAGCTGCATCATTATATACCTGATTCGATAAGACTTGGTGGCCAATGAATGATTTCACCGGTATTGCACAGCTTGTCCTGCAGTTCACAATTTCTGCTATTTCCTGTCTTTATCCTTCAGAATGGAAACTACATATATTTCGATTTCCTCAACTTGCCTAACCTCGACGAGGTGGAGCTCATTGCCCTGAGATGGGCTTTAATCGGCATTGCGGTGGGCATTCCAATCGCTTTGGCGATCGATGTAAGTAAGAAAGCAGCTTTTTGCGGAAGTTAGGGGGCCTTTGTCATGGGCATCGCGGCGGGGGCAAGAGGGCGTTTCTCCCCCTCCCCTTGAATAAAATAAAAGGGGAGGAAAAAGAAAAAAGCGAACGAACAGGACGAAAGGGGATGAAACTTATACGTCAGTCAAACCATTCAGGCTCAGATAGCCCTAGACATGGATACAGCAGCTTTTAATAGACGAGATAAGCTCTTTTGAAGCATAAAGGGTGATGTAGCCCTTTGAAGCAACCATTTGTAGAGTTCCCCGAACCCTTACAGCGTCATGTCTTAGATAGTGGCACGTGACATCGCGACCGTCCACTGGAGCATGTAGCAAACCAGAGATGCTGTGAGCTGATGTGCCAGCCGTTACATGTACCAACTTCAACCAACTGGGTCTTAAGAGCATCCTTTTCTCATCGCCATAGTTCTCCTCAGGTTTTCTCCGTCAGAATTGACTTTAAGGCCATCCTGCCTTTCTCTTTGCAGATTCTGTGTCTCCTCTGTGTCATCTCGCAATACCAGGAACTCAGAGATGGGCGCGGTCGAGGGGTAGGTCATGCATAAAGTTTACAGAATGCTAGTTGCAATGGTTTAGCTGCGCATGCAAATCGCACTTAGTGAACGCGACTCATTTTCGACTACATGTACACGAATCCACCATTACCTCGGCATGACATGACAGCGCAGAAACGATTTTCATCATTGGATGTAGTGATTTGCAATTTAACCCCTCGAGGTTCTGATATGTCAGATACGTGTATGACATGGCACATCGTGAATATGTTGCTAAACGTGTTTTCCGTTTCTTTCTTCTTCAAACATCAGGTTCCAACCGCTCCATCAACACTCATAATCCAGCAAGGATATAGCACTGGTTTCGCGCCAGTAACTTACGACCCTAAGCCGACTGTTCAAGTCCCAATACAACAGTACTACGAGTGTTGAAGTTGGCTGGCAGACCACGTGCATAGCCCCGCACCAACGTGGAAAGCTTGGCTCCTTTGCGAATCATCCGTTTTGAATCGATCCCAGGTTTTTTGGCTGAAAGTATCGAAGGAATCTCATGGGATCACTGAAGAGTTGCAAAGATTTAACTGGAATCAACCAATTCAAGCGAGATCAAGATTAAATCTGCCCGCATGGAAGGGAAAGTGTGTAAGACGATCATTTGTTAAATCGTTGAAATTTCGACCAATCTACAAATTCCACTGTTGGCCCTTCTCTAAAGTTTATGCAAGGGGAACTATGGCATAGAACTTACCTAAACAAGTAACCGAGAGATGACTTCTGTGTAAACCCAAATGTTATCACCAACATATTTTTGAAGGTGTTTAAGTTGCATAATTTCTCCTTTGAGTTGTCTGTACATGTAAATCCTAAGATTAGAATTAAAACATTATATTTGAATATATTCCAGTGTAGCCAGCACCTGAAATATTTTGTAAATAGTTTGAAATCATCTCCTTTCTGTACATAATTTGAAATCTTGCAAGTAGTCATCAAGCAGCGAAATGAAGCGGTAAAATGAGGTCGAAATAATTTGAAACATAGCCTTTGTAAATTATAATTACATTTATACATTGATAAACAACAGTTTAAATTGTTGTCATGTTGAAACTTTGATTTTAAGTTGGTAGAGTAATGTGTTATTTTAAAGCTTGATTTTCGGGACTATATTATTTTAGTGTACTCTGGACTTTACTCATTTATCTATCTCAAGTGGCTCATGGGAAACATTTGAACAATCATCCATTTGGGAATAAAACGTATTTTCTCTTGGAATTTGGAACCCATTCTGGTAGTGGCGGAGCGTTTGCAGTGATCTCATAAATTTTCATTTGGAATAAAAAAGAAAAATCCTCTCCATTTCTTGAAGGATAGGAGTGTGCCAAGAGTGTCTCCCTTGGGCGGATTATTAGCAACTAGGGTACATTTCGGAGGGGGGAAGGGTTCCTTGGGGCCTTCATTTTCTGGAGGGGGCACTCCATGGGTTGGTCACGGTTGAAACAACGACCAAAGAGGAACACCGTAAGAGTTTACCTTCTTTAATTTCTGAGCAGGGGGGGAGGCACGGGCCTCGAGCGGTGGGGGGGGCGTGCCCCATTCCGCCTTACTTTCGTCGTTATCCAGTAATAAGTTCAAAAATTGTCAAAACCGTTTAACAAATCCCACTTACAGCGTTGGTTGTACCAAACCACCTTATTCGATTCTGTAACTTCAGAGATAACAATGTGAAAAAGCAGGTTTCTAACAATCTGGTCAGGAAATCATTTGGATTTGAGGAGTTATACTGCAGGCCCACTTTGCAAGTGAATGGCAAAAATATTTGATTGGCTTTGATTTCTTTCATTCTAATGGCATTGACAGAGATGTTGAACTTTTCTCTAATAGTTCACTCCTATCTGGGTCGGATTCCACTTTGTACCTCTTCAAAAACTCGGCAAAGTAAAATAGATATCCACTTTGACGAACAACAATGCAACAAGTATAATTTCTTGCAAGAAGTGAACTTCAGTCAGACCCAAATACAAGTTTGTTTTTAGTTATCAGAGATATGATACCAATTCCTTAAGCAAACCCATCTTGCAAGAATATACCGGTACACCCCTAGCAAACAATTAGGTACACATTTTGTTTTGTTCAGATGTCATTAGGATACGCGACAGTGAAGCTAACGTCAACAGCCAATCATGTGACAAGCTTGGGGTTGTGTAAAGGTCTACGGATGCTTACTTGAACGCCTGTTGACGCAGAGAGCGAGGCTCCCAAATACACCTTTTTTCCGCTGAAGACCCCAATTTGCTCAATGTATGTGCTTTCGGAGGATCAGAAAGTGACGCAGGATTAGATGCAACAATGGCGTTCATCCGAAGATGTCTCTGCTGTGACGTCAGGGTTGGAACAATGGCGGTAGCTTGCTGGTCGATGGTAAGTGTGGAATTGGTATTCCTTGTCCTTAAATTACGGGTGTCACCAGGATTTTTGCGGAGGGAACCCCTTCTTTCCTGGGGGATTTCTAGGGGGAAACACTCACCAGCTGTACGAACTAGGTCAATATTATTGTAAGGCGGTTTCAAGCAAATTGGTTATTTTCACCCCTTGCAATTACAGATCTCATGTTCTTCTGAGACTGATGATGTTTATTGTTAGAGGTATTACCAAATGCACATATGTTGAGTAGTAAAACATGGAACCTTGCGGTCCGTTCACAGAATACGCAGGAAAAGTGTGAGTGCTCGGAAGCTCCAAACTATTAAGGGACAGACAGTAGACAGTGTACTAGCGTAGCAGGGGGAATCGAAATGAAGTGAAATTTGGGAGGAATTAAGAGAATGTTGAATTCACTTTCCTACCAGATACTCAGCGTAGCCAGCGTTATCCAAACCGTGCGAGCAATATCAGTATTCTACGTGAATAACCCCTTCGCTGCCCAAGGTATGATATTTTGGGTTGTTCGACATTTAGCTTAATGCACAAGGCTCGAGGTTGAGCCACAGATTTCAATCAAAATAATGAGATTTGTATTAAACGGGAAATTATTATACGTGAAATGTTCTTTCTTTTTGTTATTGCTGAAATGTGTAGCTACCGTGCTAGCGTGCTGGTGTGTCATGATCCTTCTCAACGCGTGTCTTGGCGTCACAGCAATAGTTCTTGTGGTTGGCATCTGTAAGGTACTGCAAGAGTACAATTGCATTCTTTAATTAATTGTTTCTGTCTAGTAAGGAAAACTCGGTGAAAAGACTCACTCATTTTAGGCTCGCTTTGTGAACACTCTTTGGAGTTGGAATTTTTGTTGTTGTTGTTGTTGGGGATTTCTTAATTTGACTGTTCGTCTTCCTTTCCTCTAACCCCCAAATACCTCTAAACCGTTTCTCAGAAAAGGGATAACCTTGCGTAGATCTGGCTTGGCTCAAGCAAGGTTCGCACGACCTCATTTGTTGAGGTCGGCACATTCACGAACAAAAGATGGGTGCTTTTGCATGGAAACGATTTGCTTCTTAAGAGAGAGGAGGGTGCGTCACTCTATCGCCTAGCAACGACGTTCAAGTTATTTGGCAACGGTTATCATCAGAACTACCCTCAGACCAAAATCTGCTGAACTTTACTGATGCCGCCTTTGGAATTATGGCAGGATTTTCATTTTCTATGACAACAAGATTGGCTTAATTATGTGAGAAACAAGTCTCACAGTTTCAAAAACTTGAACTGCAAATTATCGCGATCAGGGAAAATCTCATTTCTGGTCTTCCTTAATTTATTAGTTTTTTCTGCTAATACTTCTTCGTCTTTCCTCCTTTTCACGAATCCTAGAACAAGAAGCAGTTGTTTGTCCCCTTCATGATAGTCCAGGCCATCTTAGCGGCTGTCTATGCGGCTCTGGCAGTCATTCTGTTTGTGACTCTTAGTGTAAGTTGCCGAACACTTTATCAGACCGTGGGGGGGGGTTGTGGTCTGTAGTGGCCAGGGCTTGAGACTCATGACTAGAGGGTCAGGGGTTCCAATCAAGCTGCTGGCTGTTAAGTTGTGGCCTTGGGCAAGTCACTTCACCCCTGCTTGTGCATGAGTGCCGGTATTTAGCCGAGGAGCAGCCTCCGGTAGACCGGCACCCCATTCCGGGGAATCATGGACATGTTATCGGCTACCTTATGCTTGCAAAGGACATCAGACTTTAACATCGTAGCCTGGTGAGCCACAGTGCTGTGGCTCTAAGAAGGATGTCTTTTCTTTTCTTAATCGAAGTTGATTTGAGAGATGGTCAAAGTCGCAAAGTGATGAAACTTGGGCTATGCACATCACCATTACCCCCCAAAGACAGTTTGACCCCATACACCTTATATGTCTATGATGCTGCCATGAGTTTTACATTGTCCTCGAATTCATTTTTGTCTTTGTACTTTCATTGTAGCTTGAGACTATAGTGTATTTTAACTTCCTCTCCTTGACCGACCCGGGCGGCGTCTACATGATCATCGTCTACTGGGTCATGGCAGGACTATTGACTGGTGGAGTAGGAATTGAGGTAAGCCCATTCTCTGCAGGTTTGAAGATGATAAGCACCCATTCACGAATGGGTGCTAATCAGTACGTGTCATCACAATCTAGTCAGGGCCCATTCTCCGATCTTTAAGCAGACCAAGCGCACCTGCTTATAACTGTTTATGTAAAAGTTTTAACGATTGTGACCCCAAAACAACAACTGGCTGGATAGGCACTGTCAGACTTGCAGACTAAAACACTGAATGACGTCGTGGTCATATAACCATTGGCATTTGATTTCCCGTAATTTATTTTCAGGTCATATGCCTCCTGTGTGTCGTCTCGCAGTATCAAGAACTAAGGGATGGGCGTGGCCTCGGGGTATGTTAAGTAATTGACCCTATTTGCAAACCGCTATACGCCATGAATGAATCCATTTGTTATAAAGTAACTCCATAATCAACTTCAGCCGAAAGTTTCAGAACTGGTTGTAAGACTATGAACATATTCCTTAGAATGGTATTTCACTACATGTATTACTCATATTATATATTTACGCATGTATGCTGACCGTACCACATTTTGGTATTTTGTGGCATAGCTTCCAGAGACTACCACGACCACGACTGTCATTTTGGTTCCAAAAGGGTCTTACGTAAACCAGGGAGCGGACGTTGGCATCGACGAGACCAGGCCAGGTCCAAGCACCGAGCCCGCCACTTCATCGGCCAGTAGGCCTAAGTGTGCCGAGCCGGCCTGCGCTGGTGACGAGCAGCCCGTGGGCGTGCCGCCTCCCTCGAAGTCCAGACGCTGGTCATCGTCGTCGTCCTCAGAACACGACAGTGACCACGACTGAAACATCTACATGGCTATGTACATTGTGTGATGGGGCTGTCGGAATCGATTTGATTCGGGTTGGGATGGGGTTTTACTTTTAAGTAGTTTTACTTTCAAGTATTTTCTACATAATATAATCAAAGCGTGGTGCTGTGAAACTGTCCAGTTTTTGAACACTCCATATAGTATGGTTCACATTTATAGCAAGTTCGAGAGGAAATATTGCCCAAAGTGTCTCCTCCGATAAAATAAATTTACCAGGAAGGAAGAGGAAAAGACTAAAATTACCTCCAAATTAAGCAACGTATACGGAGCAATTTTATACCGCTGAAACAAATATCAACGTGTCAACAAAAATTCTTGAAATTGAGTGCGATCATGGAACATTCTTCCTTAAGTTTTGTCTTGCATCAGACACAAAGGGCAATTTAACGACCGAAAGAGGCTCTTTAACGAAATGTAGGCCTAGTAAACTTGCCACCAAATTTCGTCAGTGGTGTAACCGTACCGTAGAATGAAGTATATTGACCAACTGCTGTCGTCATACTTCATTATGTAAATGTTGATAACTTTTTAAGGTATTGGGCAATGTCAGAAGAAAAGCATAGTTTTGTATGCCTGTGACATTTTCAGTTTAAGGGCAACTATTTGGGGGTCTTATTTGTTCCTGCAATTTGATATTGAATAAATATATAGCCCAAACAATGGTGGCTGTGAATGCCCTCTTGAGACCACGTGCATGCTCTTCAGTTTATTTGCCTTAAATATGGAAAAAAAAACTTGCCCGACTTCGATAAAATTGATTACTAGTCAGAAATTGAAAGATCGTACGCATCCCCTCATGACCACTTCAGACAAACCGAAAGTACAAAATCGTCCGCACTTACCATGTCAACTGTGACGTTCGCATAGTATCAACCAACCTCACCAGTTTTTTTTCTCAGAAAGCAAAGGTTATCTTTGAACCAACACACGTTTTATTTACCGAGGCGCGGTTTCTGTACGGGCATTTTGGTATATTGCTGAGCTTGGACAAAGACGTGGAATTTTTCTTGTTTTGGGGGCTTTTTCTCATCAAAGAAGAGAAAAAAACCTGGACGTAAGATGCCGTTCATGCAAAGGTGTTGCTGTTGCGACGTCAGGACTGGGTCCATAGTGGTGGCAATATGGACAATGGTAAGCCAAGTTTTAATCATTCTTTTGGATGACATTTTGAAACTGTGACATTTTAAAACGTCGGCCTGCATGTCGCACCAATCCTACTGCAGGTTGTACAATATACAAACTGTCATTCCCCTCCCCTTCGTGCCTATCTCCACCAGTTGTTGGCTGGGATTTTTAGGAACTACATATGGTTTCCATTACAATGGAAGCCATGAAGTCTGCGATGGCACATCGCGTCTCTTTTGTGAGTGGTTATGCGATGACTTTTCGAACAGTGTGCAGGGAAGAAACTCCTCAAAACATCAGATCCAACCTGCTGAAATGCCGAGAAGAAAAACAGTTCTTCGTCTTGCAAAATTCTGCACTTGGCAGCTTCGGAAAATTAGTCTAACACATCAGCATCCAGTGCGGATTTAAGATTTTGTTCTTCCTTTCAGATATCAGCGGCCGCATCCATTGATCAGAGTGTGAGGATGTGGGTTCAACTCCCCCACGATGCTCAAATTGACGGTAATGCTCGAAACACATCCATCTTTCGTCGGGGTCTATATAGCAGGTCTATCTGGTCGAGACTTTTGGATGAATTAATACTTACTGAAAACTGCCCCTATGAAATAATGAGCCCGATTGTAAGCCTCTATAGCATCTCTGGTCGTATCTCCTCAAAGGCATTCTTCACTCTGGACATTTAAGGCAACCAACCTTTATAGACCAGTTTTACGGGTGCAAAAAATTTGAATCCGTCATCAGGTCAAGTGGAGTACCTACCTTTGACTTCATTTTCTTTCAGACAGCAACTTCGTAGCTTACTACGCTGCCATGACGATTGTGAATTCGTTGTTGGGGCTGTCTGCTCTGGCCCTTTTGTTTGGAGTGATTAAGGTAAGAGCACATTTCATTTAGAGTTTAGTTTTCTCTCTCTCGCTAAGCAGTGTGCCTGTCTTGATTGCTATTTTATCCCAACTTCGTTATACATGTAGATGGAGGCCATGTTTGAATTATGGCATTGTTATTTATTCTGTCACAAGAGGGAAGGTAAGAACCAGCTAACAGAAGAGCGATGATGGAAATGTCTGTTATTTTTTTAATGGAAGACAACTCGGTTTTGTGCATTGTAATTGAGTCGGTCACTGTATGTGGCCAAGACACTGCAGGACACATCAAGTTGGGGATCAGAAATAACAAAAATGATTACCCCCCTACGATAAATTTCATCAAATAACTCGAAACTGCAGACTCGATACCGTGTGATCATTCTTTGATTCTACTCACAAATTCACACGTGGTATAGTGAACTTAACAAAAACCAACAAACAAAACTGATATGGGCGTCGAAACAGGCTCCAGTCACTGTTTGAGTGTTATGCAAGCAGACGTTGTAGGCTTACGCTCGCACCAGATAGAGAGGGCGTTGTTTTTAAGTTGAATATGTGTGTGAGCGGTTGCATTTTATTTTATTCAGGAACCAATCCAAGAAGACCTCCCCAATTGTATGGATCTCCGCCCATGGTAAAGAAATCGCACCACATGTTTATGTAACTCTGATCGAACTGCATGCCCATTGCAAATGGCAACGTCCATCTCTCTACTTTTTACTTGCTGCACATTTTATTCCGTTGGTTCTTACTAATTTGCCTTCTCAGTACAAGAAAGAGTGGATGATTCCCTACATGATCCTTCAAGGATTGCTTATTTTTCTGGAGCTTATTCTGATGGTTATTGTCATCGTTCTCCTTGCTGTAAGTTCAAAATTTTTTCCGTGTCTCCTATTATTACCCATGCATTTCTGAGAGCGAATCCAAGTTAATTAATGGTGAGCTGCATGTAAACGGAAAACATGCGTTCTTGACAGTCTGAGACAAACTATATCTCGTCAGGACGGCCAGAGAAATCTCGTGATTTGAGACACCAATCGACCCTTTTATGATCTAACTGTGGTCAGTTTATAAACCTCTTAATAAGTTGTCCTGCCACTCAGAGCATCAGCTTGTTTATTTGTCATACTGCGATTTTTTTTTCACAGAATGGCAACATATTGGTCTTCAACTTCTTGGGGATCTCTTTGGAAGGTCAAACTCTGGAGGAACAGATGGAGATTGTTCGGATTGTATACGGCATCTTGGCAGCTAGTCTGCTTCTGGGTATACTGCTTGAGGTAAGTTGTACGCCACGGTCTTGTCTGCATATACGGCTGGCCAGATAAGCTGCACCTATATAGCTAGACACACGGCTTATCAATAATGATCAGAAAGCTGAAAAAAGAGATTATTAACAGGCATGCAACAACGAAGTTACATACCCTTAACTGGTGTCCAAAGATTACTGCTTTCGAACTATTTTCCCTTCAATGAACTTGGGCTTTATGAACCTGAACTGATGGATTAAAAAGAAATCCCTGACGTTTCCAATGTCAGATACAGGTACTGACGACCTGTGAGCTCTTGTCACAGTGACAAGAACTGCTCTTGTCACAGTGACAAGAACTGCTCTTGTCACAGTGACAAGAACTGCTCTTGTCACAGTGACAAGAACTGCTCCTATCACAGTGACAAGAACTGCTCTTGTCATGTGTCGTACAAGATGTTGACGAGATGTTCGTAGATTTATATCAAAGTGCCAAAAGCCAGGATTTTCACATTGAGAACAGTCGGTGTGTTAGGTTCCGGTCGATGGTGACAAACTTGTCATGTAGGATGACATGTCGATAACAATACTGTCACTTGTCAGCAGTGCTCAACAGCATTGAACTGTTAAATGGGGCGCCCACTGCCGTTGCGATTCGAGCCAACAATTCGACCTCGACTACAATAGCTGGGTGGTCGAGTGATAAGACGTTGGCAGTAGTAAGTAGCTCATTGGTTCAAATCCCATCGGAATAAGTTGTTTTTTATAAGCTCTTGGAAAGCAGGGAAACTTGTTCTTTTTGCAAAGTGTATTCTTTTCGTTGCAGACACTGAGCAAAAGAAGTTTTATCTTGTCAACATGACAAGTCTTTGCTGTGAAAATAAACCGGTTCTTCGAGGGGCCGGCGAACATCGCTTTTGGCTTCAACAGAAACGCACTTTTTTTTCTCTCTTTACAGCTTCTGTTCTTTTTCTGCGTGGTGTCTCATTTCCAACAACTGAGAGACGGAACTTACCCAGGGGTATGTTGGTCTGTTTGGGTTCAATTACGGTCTTCCTTTATATTATAGACCATGGTATAAAGCATAATTTATTACCACATTGTTACATTTCGCCGTGTGGAAATGTGCGTTTGCTGCGATTTACTGGTAAAAATTTGTTGATGAAAAAGCGAAACAAAGGACCAGGCCTAACGATAGCCGTTAAAACAGTTGAGAGTGCCTTACTTTCGGCCTCAAGGTTTTGCAGGAGCCCACTCAGAATGTGCATGCAAAATATTTATGTGCAAAATGCGTGCCAGCCCAGTCAATTGTATTTGTTGGTCAAAAGGAGAATCTAGGTTGTTGATTGGTTGGATGCCAGGCCTGCTGGGTTTACGGCTTAGGCAGACAACCGCTGATTGGCCATAATCGAAAGTCAAGATTCTGCTGCAGTCTTCCAAAGCAATCGCCGAGCTTTTGAACAATTCCGATGAAAGTTTGCATAGGCCTACTCGTGTTTGTCACACACGGACAAGGTATACTTCGGTGAACATAAGTTTAGCATGGCCAAGCTGTTTTCTTATCATTACAACGGTTGTATAGGTGTACACAGTGATAGTTCCCCACAAGACAACTCTCTGAATGTTTTTTTTCCCTCTGTTTTTCAGCCCGGTCATGTACTTATTGTCAACCAAGAATGTACACCGATCGTCGACACTTGCCCACCACCGAAGCAAGGTTACTACACCTCCTGCTGAAGCTCATTGCGTCGACAATAGTAGAGATAATGAGCCAGTTCCGTGTTTCAAAAAGGCAAGGTCATTCGAGAACTGAGTGGGCATGTGGGTTGGCATGTAATTATGCTTATAGGGCAGACCTCGCGCGCACGTATTGCAATTCCCGAATGACCTCGGACGCAAGAGCGCATCATTTTGAGCATGCGCTGTTGGGATACCGAACTGAGCTTTTGACCAGGGCTTTCTGCATCGTAGCGCCCTTTTTTGTGTACATTATGCGCAGAGTAAAAAAAAACAAATGATAAAATCAGGTTTGGAAATTTCATTTGGCCGTAATGGCAGAGTTAATAAGACTGTATTTGCAGCATTTTCCGTAATAAAAGCCGCCACGGTATGTATTGGTTTCAGATTTCAAAATGGGAGAAAAGGAGCTTGGAACGCAATGCACTTCGTCCACTTTCATACTAATTTGAAAGTCAGCCTTGTTTGGGGCAGTGAACTGTATTATAGCATAACCATAGACACGTACACTGAACAAAATCAGTCCACAGTAAGATCGAGACTGAATGAGTCTCGATTTGAATAATGATGCTAATGTGTTTCGATTTCGAACTTAAGCCTTTATGATTTAATTAAGTTCATAAAGTGAGGATATCTTTTATAAGCTGCATATAGTTAAAGTATTTTTCAGTAATTCGTAATACTAGAAGTGGTCGATCCAAGTATTTTTAAATAGAAGATCAAGGTTTAATCATGCACTGTAAGATAGGTTTAATAGTTTTGGGGATCTCCCAAGTTCCTCATTCGCCAATAGAAATTATGCTTGCCGCATTAATATTTCACAAGAGATCATTATTTTGTCCAGTCTTTGAGTTTAATTAAGCACAATTAAAGGTGTAAATATGTGTGCATATACCGAGGGTATGACGTGATTTGGCGGGTTACATTCATGAGTCTTCAAGTCGACCATTAGGGTCTGGGGATAATGGGGTACGTTGCCCACAAACGTCATTCGAACGTGCGTAATTAAGCGCCCATCTTGTGTAGTAGATAAGCTCTATGATTTGTATCAGTGATTTGGAGATCGGCCTTGCAATCGTCCTCACGTAGGTTCCTGCATCATTAAGGCGTGTTCTCGACATCAACGAAGAACTTTAGAAATTGTCTGTTTTCCTCAAATCATAGTGAGGGACTGAAGAAGAAATGTCTTTACAGACTTTCTTTTTCGTTTTACTTTGATGTATAGTTGCTCGAATTTGTTAGCTTCCCGCGTATGAATTCTCCGATTGCTGTCAGCCTGAATAGAATATCACGAAGCCATGGTGTTTGCCTGATTTGTTATATTTTAAAATGTTCTGTGGTTTTCTAAATAAATACATGACTTCACGTTTATGTTTTCGAGTTTTTTTTATATCTTCCTTGTTATAAAGCGATGAAAACGTCAAGTAGGCCCTACTGCAGCCCTTTCGAGTATACTAGTTAGGAACCTAAGAATGGAAAGCAGTTTTGTAACTGATATAAGGCTACCCTGTATAAATAAAACAGTTATTATAAAGAACACATTCAATTTGTTCTTCACATATATGAATTGTAAGTTTAAAGATTAAATCTCAAAGCTCGCAATTTTCGAATTTGGCTCATAATGACTGAGACTTGTAGGTTTTGGGGAATAATTTTGTAACGCCACCACGGCATCTGCAGACGACAGCGCAAGGATTGGGTCACACGTTATTTGCAGAGCTGCCCTGTGAATAGCCTTCAGACAATCCGTTTTGCACCCAGACTCCAATAAAGAAAAAGACAAGAAAGGTCGGATTTTCACCAGTCTACGATCTCATCTGCTTGGTTATTTCGCCATTCCGTGTAAATTTTGGACAGCAAAAATGGGAGAAAAAATAATAATGTGGTTAATTTTTGTGGTTGTAATATTTAGTTTTGTACTACCATGTGTTTCATCTGACTTTACTGATCCTTACTCTGTTATTGGTGTGAGTAGAACGGCCAGTCAGAGGGAAATCAAAAAGGCTTACAAGAATCTCGCTCGACAGTGGTAAGAACATGACTTGACAATAGGCCGGCTAGGCCTCACACTGGAAATGGAATATCGATCTGATTCGCATGATCAGAATTTCAGATAATATGCAACAACATTGTTAAAAAATATCATAAGTCGTTTTATTGTGTTCAATATTTACATTTACTATACATGTATTTTCCAGGTCCTTTATTGTGCCACTTACTGTGAAAACCCATGAGACTTGACTATAGGTGGCAAAACTAGGGACCTGGTGACTTTGCCATCATGGACTTTAGGGCCTATAGCCCAACGTTAGGCCTATTGCAAACACAGTAAAAAATGACTTGTCCGAACCTGGAAGAAATTTCCAATTTCGCATAAAAAAAAATGAGATTACATGATAATGTAGACCCTGGGACTCTCTTTGAAAATGTGGTCCACTCTCTAAAAACTTTGTATACAACCACGAAAATGATGTCAGGAATTTTAAGAAGAATGTTCATCATAACTGAACTGTAGTCCTATGTATATCGACATGTAAAGCATCAACATGGTTTGCAATTAATGCTTTGGTTTGAGTATAATTTGAATTACACATAAAATTTCAGGCATCCTGACAAGAACAGGGAGGAAGGGGCTGAGGAGAGATTTATTCAGATTCAGCAGGCATACGAGGTAATCCGCTGTGCAGTCTGTGAAGACATGAGCACTGTATGTCTTTTATGCATATCATAATAGAATTTTACTATTTCACAAATTTATATACATCGTCACCGTTTTCACAAAGAGACAAAGGTATCTGAAGAGAAAAATCCAGGTTTCGAGAAAATCGCATTTACACGTAAAGTTGGTCTCTGTTGCAAACGATCATTTCCCCAAGACTTTGACTTTCCCTTGATGACAAAAAAGCTACCTCGTGAAAGATCTTAAGTGACACAAAACCACAAAATCATATTTGTAGGAATCAATTAAAATTGTTTATTTCGTAAACGAGCACATTTGTCTGTTCATGAAAATGCTGGAATTTGTGCCCATTTTGTCTCTTTGTGGAAACGGTCCATATTGCGTGAGTGCCAGGTGCAAATTATTACATTTGGCTACATTTCCTGAGTCACTTTTATCTCTTCCTGAAAACAGTAAAACGTATTTTGCCTTAGAATGGTAACGTTATATCTTTGAAGGACGACTTTCTCTCTTCATGAAAACCGTAAATGTAGATTAAGTTTCATTTTGCCCGTCGCAATCATGGTGACTTGCCTGATTAATTTAGATTTGGTAAAAAATTATTATACCATTCTGTAGGCAGCAGTTAGCCTTGCTGATTTTGCTGAAAAACAGAAATTTGAAAAAAAAATCATGATTTGGGGCACCTTTCTCTCTTTGCAAAACCGGTGATGTCATGTAAGCACTGTGCAACCAATTGAGATTCGGTCATTTTTCACCCAGAAATTGAAATGGAATTACATTGCTGTATGCGTAGATTTTGTCGAACGAGGAAAAGAGGGCAGAGTATGACCTATACGGCCACGTGGACACCGGCAATCGGCCCCACCGCCATCATCACCGGCACGACCCCTTCGCTGGCTTCCACTTTGGCCAGGACGGCTTCCAGTTTCGCTTCACCAACCAGGGCTCGTCGGCTGGCTCAGACTCCCGCCGGGTCACGCTGGACAGGTTTGAGCGCGGCATCCTGCCGGAGAGCCAGCGTAAGCCCTTCCTGCTGTTTGTGACGGGAGACTGGTGCTTCAGCTGTGTGCGGGTGGAGGAGGTGTGGAGGGACGCCGTACTTGAGCTGGAGAAACTTGGTCAGTCTCTTCCAATATTCTCCAGCGTGCTGCAAATCAGTTGCCTATGTTTCTCTGCACTTCAGTATTCAAATTATATCAAGCTCATTGTAAAATAGGAGGATTAATGTAACAAATTGGCGTATGACATTAAAACAGCCACTATTTTTATATTTCCTGTGGACATTGTCAACAAATGCACCTTTATATAACATGAAACTACCAATATCTCATTTCTAGGCATTGGTATGGGGACGGTGTATGGGGACTATAGCCGACCATTGCTGAGAAAGCTAGGGGTGTACCAGTGGCCCTCCATAGTGGGCGTCATTGAGGGCAAGGTCGTCATCTTTGACAGGAAACAAGTCAATGTTGAGAAGTTGAAGCAGTTTGTGCAAGAGCTCCTTCAGGCTCATGTGATCTTGAAGGTAGGGACCTTCTCAACACTCGACCTCTCTCCCTATTTCAGCTTTTTACCTGAGCAGAAGCACCCCCTCATCGGTTGAAAAGAGCCATGCTGGTCAGGAGTGTTCATTTTGGTAGCAACACGCACGCAATGCTTTCATCTCATAGTCGTTCATGAACCCGTGAAGAGAAGTTCCAACAAAGGAGCCTCCATTGCTAGGAAAATTGCTCTCTCTCTGTCCAGCTCGGGGCTGATAGGGCAACAAATAATTTGGAAGCTTGATTATTGTCTGAAAAGATTCAGCAACAGAGAATGCAGCGTCAGAGCAACCAATTGTAAACTTGAGTGGGAGCCTAAAGTAGATTTGTCACCCATCAGTGAATTTCTCGTGGCAATGGATTCCTTGTTTCTCTTTCAAGGTCACAGATGCAAACCAGGAGATGTTTTTCTCCGGTTGGCATAACGACAACCGGCCTCGCTCTCTCCTCTTCTCCCGTCGCTCCGGTCCGTCTCTTCTCTACCACCTCCTGGCATTCAAATACCGTCACCTTCACACCTTTGGCTTTGCCCAGAACCAGGGAGAGGAAACGACGGAACTCGTCTGGAAGTTCGACGTATCGGCCCACGAACCTACCTTGCTCATCTTCAAAGAAGACGGTGAAGAATACGTGGAAAAAATTCAGGTACAAAATCTTGAGATGGGTCACTTGAGAACAATTTTGTGTTGCCTCCTTCCAACAAACCAGTGTGAAGTAATTACAAGAATCCATAGTTCGCAATTTTAAGTGGATAGAACAGAAATAATAGAGATTTCCTTCATTTATGCTAAATGCTGTGTAACACTGCTTAACCACTTGCCTCCGGGGTTCCTGGTACCGGGTACCCCGAGCCGGGGATGCCCAAAATGGGACATTGGAGCTGGGCCTTGTAACAGAAGACTGTACTCAGAACAAAAGACCGAGCTGCTGGGAATTGCCATCATTTTCAGTTGGCAGTAGCAGAGGTAATCTGTCCTTGTTTTGAAACAGTGTATCACTGTTTGCGGCATTCAGCGCCTGCGGATTATCAGCGGGGACAGAATTTCTCAAGCACTCCAGTGATGAGCGATACAGCACCACTGCACGCCAATCTGGCCACATTTGAAAAGACACCACTGCCATTCAGCAACGCACTGGGCCAATTTAGGGAACAAAGTAAAGTATGCACCATCGCACAATCCGGGCTCTCTTTACTGGGCAGCAGGCCTGGTTGCAAACTCAGGCGTCAATGGAGGTTGCCTGTCAAATTAGAGTAGCCACCAGACAGTCATTTGTGTAGGTTAATTTTTAAGGACCCATGTTAAAATTTGACCCTAAGAAAGGCATGCTTTGCATTTGCACATTTAGGTTTATGCACAGCAGCCATCTTCTCAGTCAGTGCTTTTGATATGCACAAAAGGTCTACTCATGTGTATCTCTATGGAACAAAAACACCGACCAGGAAGATGGCTGCCATGCAGAACATCTACATGTATAACTTGAGAGGCCTTGACCAGCGACCAGAATGCTGCGGGTTTGAGGTTTGTTAGGCAATTTAAGAAACCCAGAACATCCAGCGCCAACGTAAATAGTTGGAATCCTTGCACAGTTTGTAGCTCTGAAAATTATTATTGGATCTCCTCTCTTTCCGTTTTGACCCTTAGTCTTCAAAGATTGATACCTCCCTGCTCGAAGATGCCGTCTCCAGGAACCAGTACCTGTTTGTACCCCGTTTGACGTGCCAGCCGGTGTACGAAGACCTGTGCCCAGAATCTCCAGGGGTGTATGGACGAAGGTAGGAAACGGATTAGGGCATTGGCAGTCTCCCTCCAGCAAAAAGAGGGTTATGCTGCTCTAACAAATAGATTTAAATCTTTGATGAAGTTACGAGTAATTTCTATTATCATCAGCAAAGAAAGAAGTGTGTTGCATCTGACAGGCTTATTTATAGTTGTGTTTCTGTGAGGGAAACCACCACCAGCTGATGGTTCCCAACTTAGCCACCCTACTAAGCCAGCTGAATGGCTGAGTTAGTTGAACATCGGCACAGCATTCTGGAGGCTGCAGGTTCACACCGCTTCCAGCCTCTTGTTCATTTTTTGTTGGTATCATCTTCTTTTCCATTGAAAGATTCTGCATCATCCTCATCACCAAGAACCCCTTGGTCCACAAGGAGCACCGCGACTTCTTCCGTCATGTGGCCAAGACCACGGACTCCTTCCCGGCAGACGTGCGGCTGGCCTACCTCTACCAGGAGACCCAGCAGGAGTTTGTGAAGGCGCTGGGCCAGTTGGCCCGCTTTGATTCCGACGGCTCCATTCCCGTAAGTGGGACTTCGGCACCATAATTCCAGCATTGTACTCATGAGAAATATCCTCCAATCTCCCAAATGACTGAAAGCCTTTTGGTCATTGTCTTAAAATCTTTGTTTGAAATTGTTGCTTAAAAGACGGTTTTCAACTTAAAAACTAAGGATCTTGTAACTTAATCTTTACTTAGCTAGTCTTCAGCAATCACACTGCACCATGACTTTACAGAAGTTTTCTTCTTTCAATGTTTGAAGGTTGCTGTCCTTTGGAGACAGAATGGCAGAAAGGTGGCATATGATTGGCTGCCCGAGGGTTGGCATGGCAATGAACCGCACAAAGACAAGGCAAGACTGGACTTCTTCCTGCAGCAAATCGTGGACAAAAAATTCAAGCTGGGCTTCCAGACAATTCTACCAGAACTGAAAGATGAGAATGCTCCAGTGAGTTTATTTTTATTCTTTTAATAATTTTCAAACTTTGATGCCTACTTTTCCACTGATAATTTTAACTGAAGTCCATTTGCAAATGACGTGTTGTGTGATGATGTTGATACTGACTTAAGAAAAGACTATAATGGGCTGTGCACATTCTGATGCAAATTTATCATGCCGAGCAAAAGTCAGCTGGAGACCATTAAAAAAAAAATGAAAAGTGAATGGCCTTTTTGCACTGGTAACCTGCGGGCCAATTTCATAGAGCTGCTTAAGCACAAAATTTGCTTAAGCGCAAAAAAACCTTGCTTAAAAAACCAAAGGTTACCAGCTTAAAATCTATGTGATTGTCATGCTAACCAAAAGACAGGTGAACACCATGCCAAGACAATATACATCACATGGAATTTTGGCTGGTAACCTTATTTATTAAGTAAGGTTTTTTCACGCTTAAGCAAATTTTGTGCTTAAACAGCTCTATGAAATTGGCCCCTGATTTTGCTAATACTTAGCAAAGCTTAGCTCAGCAAAGTTCCAGCTTGGCAGCACTATGGCCCCAGCATGTACTCACTGTTTGTCTCACGCTGATAAGCCTGCGTGAACAGACAGATAGTGCCGTCTACCTGGCTGCAATTTGTTATGTAAATTGTTATGCTCCCGATCTCACTTCAACATTTAAATAAAAAACAAAATCGTGTCCAGCTTGCACAGTGTATAAAAATGACTTCTCTTGTTTTGTTTTTTTCAGCACTGGATCTTGCAATGGGTGTACAGTTTCTGCAACCTGTTTGTAACGGCTGCCTCCTCCTTACAGCAACTTGTGTTCACCGCCTGGTGAGTAGGGGCCAATTTCATTGCGCAGCTTAAGCAAACAATTGGTTTAAGCGTGAAAAACCCTTGCTTGACAAATCAGGTTATCGACCAAAACTTCTTGTGATGTACGCTATATTGTTTTGGAATGGTATTCACCTGTCTTTTGGTTAGCATGACAATCACATAGAGTTTGAGCTGGTAACCTTTGTGCTTAAGCAATTTCTGTGCTTAAGCAGCTCTATGAAATTTGCCCAATACAAAATGAATTTAAAGTTTCTCTTAGTTTATAGATTCAAATGAGGTCTCAGCCTTCAAAGTTTTATGCAAATTAGTGTTTCTGAGGTGAAGAAACAAATTTTATGTTTGAAGCCATCCATCTTTAATAAGTTTATACCCTTGGTATTAAAACTGGATTTGAACTAATCTGACAGCTCGGGCAAGCCTGATGGTCGAGTGGTTGTCTATCATCGCAAGCAGAAGGAATTGGGTTCAAGTCTACTTTTGAACACAACAGGCACTGTAGCTCCTTTTAAAAAGCCTGCCCGCACCTTCACGTAGGTTTTGTTAGTTGGGTTGTCAAACGTCCTGGAGTTTGGTTGGGGCGTCCATGTATGAGCAGGAACGAATACCTTTTATTGCATCTCATGATTTGCGAAAATCCCACTTGTCATTTTAGGAATGAGTCTTCTATCGCAGTTCTGGTCGTCCTGGCGTATCTGTTGGCATTCCTCTTTGCATTTGCTGGACTTCGACATGCAGGGTAAGAGTACGTGATTCACGTATTTATAGACTGATTGATGTGAAACTGATTTTGTCTAAAAAATCCAATTCTTTCTTTTTATTTCTTCAAACATGGAAATCTATACAGCTGGGGATTAGTGCGGCAATTTCTTTTAAAGGTCAAACTAATTTCGTCGAAGTGTGTGGTTGTGTTTACTGTTACTGGAAGTAAGTTGATTGCACCATTAATTTTCAGTGTTCCTTCTACTTGCAGTAAAGAAACCATGGAGCCTGGATCCGCTGGAAATATGTCGCGAGGAAAAGGGTAAAAATAGTCCTATTTAACCTTGTTTGTGTCCCCTCTGTATACCCCAAAACTCCCTGGACACTCTTGTGAAGAATATTCTGGATTCCTCAAAAATCCTCTACTGTGCAGGAAGCTTACCAATGGCCCATTGTTTATACTTAAACCTTCAGAGTGGATCAAACCCCAGGCAAATTAATACGAGCCAGGCTATACCGTCAATTTAGAAATCACAATTGTTTTTACCCACTGCGTACATTCTCATTAACGTGCATGTAAAACTTATTTTTCCAAGTAGTCCGCTTTTGCTCCTGTTTTGAACTGATCACACCTATTCCTTTTGTTCTCATCAGATATGCATCAGAGGTCAGAGGTCACTCACAACCAGACAGCTCCAATCTTCGACTGAGGTAGAGTCTCAGATTAAAATGGCCTTCAACTGTAACCAAAAGAGGATGTCTGTCACATACTGTGTGTTGAACAGTTTTAAAGATAGTAGGTGTGATTAGGATTTGAAATGCCAGCTTCTTGTCGAAGTGTTTATGAAATTTAATCAACCGTTTCCTTTTTCAGGCACATCCACATGCGGGAGCTGAACGAGTTAACTTATGAGAAGTTCTTGGCCAGTGGAAGACAGGGTCATATCCTGTTGCTTCTCCTGACAGACGAGGGCAGCAAGGACACGCTGTTTCAGCTCTTTAAGCAGGAAGCACACATGCACATAGCGAGGTACACGTCTCTTGGCTATTGGTTGGGCCAATCCAGGATCTGACTATTGGAGTGAAATTGGGGTGTGTGGCAGGGGGTGTACAAGCCTGCAAAGACTCCATCTGATGTAACGAAAATGCTACCTAAATGTTTCAACCGAATGGCATTTGCCCAGAAGTTTTCAAATTAAATGGCAATATTGTTTTCAATATCTTTGGTTGGGAGCCTAAAGGTCTGGCCAGGCGAGGCAGAAGGTTATGCAAAGCTGAGACTTGACAAAAGCCATTAGTTTCCTCATTTGGCTCTCATGATACGGTAACACAGCGCCCTCAGCAGTTCATGCACAGATCCAATGCCTCATTCAACAGACTATGGATTTGTCATGTATTGATTTGATCCACAGTCACCCATTCCTGATACCAGCCTTCTTGATGTTGGACAAGTACAGACGGTGGCTGGGAAGTCTAAGATCCCACAGTGAGGACCCGCCGCCGTTTGCCACACCCAATGGCTTAGGTAAGTTCAGCATGGAAACCAGGCTATAAACAGCTTAAATGCAGCAGAGAATGTGATATCGAGTAGAGCATCTCAGATGAGTCCAGTGGATTTGGTTTTTTAGAGACTTTCTTTACATTTTTGAGGCTTGTTTTTTTCTGTCATAGGCACCATACTAGCGATTCGCCCCTCGAAAAGTTTCTACTTTGTCTTCAAGTCCTCGCAAGGTCAAAGGTCAAGGAGGCGACGTGACGAAATAGACGTAGGCTTTGTTGGTCTCTTGGACAGCTCGGACTCTGAATCTGAGGAATATGCTGAGGCGGTCTCATTAGATGGACTAACTATGTGGTTAGATCGACTGCTGGATGGGAGTCTACCAAAGGTCACTGTGACTACATGGCCATTGCTAGAATGATGAATTTTTTGGGGAGGGGGCGGGGGTTTAGTCTGTCTTGAGATTTCACGGTCATGCACTTTGCAGCATTGCGACTTTTGCAAAAAACAATTTTCCCAGGAAAAGCCCAGCCATAACGGCCTCTTCAGAGCCAATGTTTGTTCTACTGGCCCTGGAGAATGCTGATTTACTTGCCACTCACACTTGTTGCCAACTATTGACAAGACCCTGCAAACTGTAGCCAAGTTCTGGCTTACTCATCAGCTACTCTCCCAAGGAAGATGGCTTTTTGATCAGCTGCTCTTCGGTAGGTGAGACGGTGGTTGTCATGGCGATGTCCTCTCCTCTTGAGAGAACCCTTTGTTTCCTGCTGATGCTTTTCTCACGCTTTGATAATACTGTGGGATGTACATGCACTGGAATTACCTTCCACACCACAAATACAGGAATCAGCGCATGCAGGGAGCGTCTCGGTCCTCTGGATATTGTTGCTAAGCAACAACGCAACCACAGTTACAAGTCGTGAAGCTGACATGGTATGATGCTTACACACAGGTCAAATGAACGTGCTCCAACATTGCTTCCCCCCAAGAAGGGCTGAACGCACGCCTCCAAGAGTCAAGAATGCACACAATGCTTGCATGAGTGCGCTCAGCAAATTACGTCACATTTGTGTCAGCTTGTCTATTTTGATTTGTGTGAATACTGAAAAGTTTGGATAAGAACTCAAAAAAACTTGTGACGGAGTAGCAGTTTTTGAGAAATGAGGCGAACTGCTTAAAATATAACTAAGAATCGTATTTCTGAGGAAGACTTGCTTGCGGAAACATTTTAAATGCATAGAAGTATTTCGTTTGTTGCAATATATTTAAATGACATCTCTATGGCTGTATTGAATGAGAACACGTCCTGTGTACATTTTGTTTCTTTTTAACTTATTTCAAATGTAAAAAGAAGTATAATTCCTAATACACGTATCATGATATTTATGGTTCCACATATGCAAATCCCTGTTGTCGACTTTACACATTCATTGTCTGGAACAAATTGTTTAATGACTCTGATTTATTATTGTAATTCATTCTTAGCACGAGAGGTAGACTGAGTGATTCGATTTTCAGGGGTTCAACGTTCTTCCATGAAAACAAGAAACACAGACCTAAAAGTTAAGGATGATCCCCAAACCAGTTTTACATATATGTAAAGTAAATAGTAGTGTTATATGTATGTGTAAGTCAGAAAAAGAAATTAAAATCACTGTAATCAACGGGATTTTACACTGTACTTTCAAACATCTCAAATTCTTTTGCTGAAATAACCTACAGCGACTGAGCTGAGGCAAATGTGAAAGTGAATTTAACGTCACGAAAAATTTGCCACCAAATTCCGCTCCAATTAAAGTGTGTTCCACTGTGGTGTGTTTGTGATGTGAATATTTGATCTGACGTCAAAAAATTCGCATTTGCTTTCACTCTCGCGCAAAGTCGGAACCGGCCTTAAACCCTAACCCCCAGGGTGTGCGTAAAATCATACTGAAATCGGAGGATACGGGACTGTCTAGGTGAGATTCCCATATGGCACGTATGCAGATTTTTACACGTGCTAATGTAGTGCAGTTTGTAACAAGAAAACCCTTTAGTAATGCTGGGTGCTGTGCACAGAATCATTTGGAATAAAGGATAAAGAAATGTCTTGTCCAAGAGTTCAATTAAATCATTTTTGGTTCAACTAAAACACAACAAAATTTGTTCAGGATGAAAGAGCTTTTGAAAGCAACACTTCAAATGTTTTATTTGTGTCTCTGTATCCAACAAAATCCATGAAGATGGCATAGTAAGAGTGGACAAAGAAGCACACTTAAAACTATTGGATAACTCTTTTGAGAAATCGGCATTAATAACGTGACTTTAAAAAAACCTAAGGATTGCTTCTGAGAGGAATAAAACCATTTTGTTAACACTTCCTGATACCAAAATCGACCAAATTCCTTAAAACTTGATTCAAATGCCAATTAATTCCTTGGGGCCCAAAAGCTGAATAAACATCATTGACTTCCCACAAGTCTCTCTGATGACCTATCTTCACTGACTGGCCATATCCAGGAGGGCACTGTTACCTACAGCCACCCAACCTGGTATTTTTGATAATGGCAACAAATCCATGTCCCCCTAGCTACATGTACAACATATCGTCCATGCATTAATACTGCTCGACATTAAAGATGGCAGACTGTGTTAAACACAAACTAGTCTCCTCAGTCCTTACAAATCAGCCTACTGAATCAATTCTACATCAAGGGTTAAGCTTACAGGAAAAAAACTGTCCAAGAGATTCAACTTAAGTTTATTTATAATGAAACCTGCCTTATCCTCGACCCTAAGGAGCAAGGACACTGAATTTTGACAGTTCTTGGCAGTGCTTTAGTATAAAAAAAAAGGCAGTTAGAAGATGGGACAAACAGAGTCTAATAAAATTACTGCCGACATTAAGGCCTGACATATGGCTCTAATGCTGTAAGTGTAACCTGAAAAGCACACCCCAATCGGTGGGACTATCAGGTTTGTTTCCCTAGAGGGATGAGATAGGACACATGGGACGAATGAGCCCTCTTGGAGAAGGGATGAGTCCCCTTTCTCACACCTGTGTTACACTATGACTGCCGGTGACATCACCAGCCTATGAAATTCAGCGAGTGCCATTATCATTACAAAAGTCTTGAAGAGATTATTCTATTTCCCCAAAACAGGAAGCTGTGCCTCGTAGGGGGGAAAAAAAGAAAAGGGGAAAAAAAGGTCTCTTCTTAAAAGAGAATACTGCTTAAACAGGAAACCATGTAAATTGCTTGATTGAGACAAATTATTTTGGCATAATGACTTCCCTTTATAAGGGAAAAGACGTAATCCCTTAAACATAAATTGTCCCAGTTGCTTTTAGAAAGTTCATTCCAACATTGATGGTTTCACACATGAACCCCTGATGCCAGACGACTGGAGACAGAAATGTTGATACTCCACAGTGACAGAGCTCCACTGTGTGGTTCAACTAACAAATTATACAGTTCCATACTTGTAACACTCTTCATCAGATATCTTGACCTAGCTAGAGTGAAATGCGGAAAAATTCTGACCAGTGGTAGGGGAGCAAGAGCAACGGTCAAGTTTAGTGACTGGAACCTGAGGAGAACTTCAAGTAAGGAGAACTGTACTTGAAACGGTTGGCTAAAGAAACATGATCAAGGTATCATTCATTTCTAATACATGTTGTGATTTGTTCTGCACGATAACTTCCATCTGCTGGAATTTACGAAAAAAAAAAGGATTTGAAATTCATTTCTACAGGGGTGAAAATTCTTGTGAGGCATTGCATAAAAATAGTGTGTGACTACACTGTACATACATGCACTTCAAACATAAAAAGCATGCTGCTCTGAAAGCGTCTTCAATGTGAAGGAGGAAAGAATTTGGACACGCAAGTTATGAAAAAAGAACGTTACACACACTAAAATGAAAGGGAAAAAAGCACTGGTGAAATGTTATCTAAATTTAAGAGAGTATTCTTTGCAAATCAGCAATGCTAATGAAAAAAAGTGTGTTATTAAGTAATTGGAGGACAAGCTAATGATCCACAGACCTAATGATCTTGATGCAAGTACGTTTTGTTCTCAAAAACGCAAAATGCAAAACGAGAAACATGAACAGGTAGCAAACTGGCCTTAAAGGAAAAAAACAAAAGACACTTTTTTTTTCTTTCTAGCTACTAATCTGTTGTCACTTCTGCTTTGACTTTCTTTGCTGGAGGGGTCTCTGAACCACTTTTCTTGCCGTCCTCGACCAACTCATCCACATGGAAGCTGCGTTTAGTGTCCAACTTTTTTTCTTCAGTCTCGGTTGTGGCTTGGCTCAAAGCCTGTCTCTTTGGAAGATGGTCCGACTGTTCAACTTCCACACTGTTCCCTTTGTCGTCTCGTGATGCCTGCTTGCCGTCGTCCGGCTGGGGGTCCATGCTCGTGCCTTGGCAGGTGGAACCAGCAGCGCACTCCCCCTTGGCACAAGATGACTCTAAAGGTCTGCTACCAATCTTGTGGGGAACGGCAAGGGGTGTGCGGTCACCAGTAGAGGGCGTGTCATGCAAGGTGGGCACCACAAGTTGTTCCATCTTGCTCGTCGTCGACGAACAGCCGGGGCTGGGAGGCACCTCTGGCTTGGCTATGCCATCTCTGGACGTGGTCAACTTTGTGAACATCAAAATTGGGCGTCGGAAACCTGAAGTGCAGAAGAATGTTTTTTTCATTAAATGTCTGCCTTCTCATTAGAAATAAAAATTTTAAATCCATCAAAATGCCCCCGCCCCCCCAAAAAAAACCAACCAGGTTTTGTTCTTGGTGAAAAAATGCAACTGATAAGGTTGTAAATAAATTTGATTACAGAGGGATTTTACATCTTTCAGGAATCCAGGGATAATTTTACAACATGAATAATATTCATGACAATGAGTAGTCCTGTACATGCAAGTCCCAAATTTTGGACTAAATCTGGTTAATGAGGTATAAATGCACAGTCATTTGAAATGGGAAAAGTTGCTGAAAAGCTTTTACTTTACAATACAAGATGTATTGCCCCAAATGTCTGGGCTTCCCTTCAACACCAAATCACACTCTGAAACAAATGCATGCCTTCGACCCTTCGTCAGACGAAACGACCCAGCGTATCAACTCATTGCCCCACCTAACACACCCAAAGAGTTTACGTCCTGCGGTCTGCAAGTCCGCCCGGCTGTTCCAAGCAAACAAGAGAGGGCTCCCACACCCATACCTTTGGACTTGTTGAGCGGCGTCCCAATAGTCTCACAGCTTGAGAAACCAACGTGGCTGGACAGGAGGTAGTCCTTGAACTTGTCAGGCTTGAGCTGGATCTGCTTGAAGTTCCTGTAAATCGTCTCCTGCAAGAAAGAAACGTCAATTGTTTGACAAATGTACTTTGACAAAAGAAGGAGAGTTTTAAAAGTTCAGAGCTCATTTCATTTTTCTCTTAGTCTTACAAAACTTCACAAAAGAACAGTTAAATGTCCCATTATGTAACTACCCTTTTGATCCATGAATGACGACCTTTCAACCCATCAATTTTCTACGAAAATGACTATTTACCTTTTGTCAATGACCATTTGAAACCAGTTATATTGGGTCTAATAGCCGTGCCATCAAAAACATAGTGGACCTGTAACTTCTGACCAATGCCCTTTGACCTCAGAATACAGCCTTTGACAAAATGACCCATGAGACAAATGAGATCCATCCAAAGGACTGACTTTCAAACTTTCAAACAAATGACGTCCCTCTTCCCCCGGGTTAACCCTCTTTCATCCAGTCCAGTGACAGACTTTCTTTACACCACTGACCTCTGACCCTATGTCCCATGAAAACATACCGTCAGCTTCTTCTTCTTGGTGTAGGAGGGCCAGGCCTGGGACTCAAGGATCAGCCTGCCTCCAGGCCGGAGGCAGAGAAAGATACGACGGAACATCCGCTTAAGTCCCGCATCCCCCCAGTTGAGATGGACCCACTTGGTGACGCTCAGACACAGAACAGTGTCATATTCCGGCTTCTGCATCTCCATGATGTCATCATTTTCAGGAACAAAGTTAGCCTAAGATATAAACAACATTTAGAAGTTTGGTTTGGGTATTACAATCAAACCAAACAATGTTTGGATGTGTGAATAATTCTACTAAAACACTTTAACCCTAACCCTACATAATACCACAAATTACTACTTGTAGTAAAACGTAGTAATCAGCACTGCCACTTGTAAGAGGACACGACCGTATTGTTCTTTGAAGCCATAAATACAACAGAAAAAACAATGTATCATACAGTGCTGTGGCACTATGAATGCATGGCTTTACTGTTCTCTGTACAAATAACAATGGAAGTAACCTAGCCAGAAGTAGTAATCTGTAGCGCTAGGTCCTTCAGGCTCAGGCTATTACTTAGTAGTTTGTAGTACATGTAGTGAGTATTGTAAACCAAAAACATGCTTGGTGGTTAGGGTTAATTGATCCTAGAGGGTAGCATATTTTTTTGGAGTCGATTACTTTTTGAGTATCAAGTTCTCTGCTAAATACATGTCGGAGGAAACAAAGCTAATGTACCAAACATGAGCATTTGATGATTCAGTATGTGAACATAGATAACAAAGAAAACTGATCACTGTATTCTATCACGGTTGAATAAAAATTAAGTTTTTAGGACAAAAGTACCCAGCTGAGTACTATTCTCCTTAAAACTTAAATTTTACAAACACCGGGGTGTCTTAAGTCTAACAGCTAGTTTGTAATCCAACCTTTGTGCGTTTACAATCAAATGCCTATGCACTCCAGCTTTATTCCCTCTTACCCAGTTCAATACAGTATTTGGCAGAGAACCTTGGTACTTGGAAAGTGCCAAGTACAACACCGAGAGGCAAAAGGCATCCCCACAAGTAGCAGATTTACAAATGAATTTGGCTGGAGAGCTTACACATCTGAAAAGCATATTCCCAGGGAACTTTGCCGTGGTCTTTCTCCTCTCAGCTGGTTGTTCGGTTGAATTTATTGGCCCATACGTTTTCTCCATGGATACGGGGAATTTCTGATGCCCGGGATTTTTGTCCATTTCAAGGCAGTGGCGAATGTTCTTCCGGGCAATCCCAATCAGAGTTGCGTCAATGTCAATTCCGGTGATCCTCTGCGGAGCAAAGTTCCTGGCCAGGTAGAGGGTCAAGTGACCAGAGTTGCAGCCAATGTCCAGGCAGGTTTTCCCCTCAAACCATTTCCTCTTCAGGAAGGGGATTCTAGAGTCGTCTTCCTGGTCGGGGTTTCGGTAACCGTAGTACCGGTGGTAGTTCCCATACTGAAACTTCTTATTCTGTTCTTTGAACTTTGGTAACTCTTTGCTCGTTTGGCGTTTGTACCTGCGCTTCTCAGGTGTCCTGTCCCTCTTGGGAGGGGGTGTCTTTTTGTCCGGGCTGACCTCTTTTGGCTTGGAATCTGTTCTCTCGATCAGCAGAGCCCTGGAGATTTTTGCCGTGGGCTCCTGCTTTTTACGTTTACGATAAATTTGGCTCTCAGGGATGACCGGTGAAACAATTTTATCCACTATCTTGGAGGTGCTTCCGTGGTGCTGCAGTCTTTTGGCACCTTCCAGATTCAGATTGGATGGCTTGCTCTTGATAATCGTGGCTTCGTCAGCACTGTGCGACTCGGTTATCTTGTCCATGCGTTTCTTGCGCTTCTTGCTGGCCAATTTTGGGGTCAGGGTTCGTGTCAGGCTAGCCACATCGTCCACCTCTCCACAGACTGTGTTCAGCTTGAGCGGATCGCTCAAGTCGATCGGAACCAGCACTGGATTGGGGTCCTTGTTGATGAGCGGGAGAGGGGAGGAGATGGGCGTGGCTGCATTCAGGCAGCGCGAGACCTCTTCGTTGCACAGACTGTTCAGGTTCAAGGGGTCCGTGATGCTTCCTCCCATCAGGAACTTTGGGTGGGAAGCACTGCGGTCTGTGGTCTTCCGACGCTTCCGCCCTACCTGTTTGTGATTCCCAGGATTTGACACCGAAGCATGTCGTTTCTTCTTTGCACTCACCTCAACTGCCGAACCATCATCATTTGATCCTGACAATCGCCTCTGATTGTCTAATTCATGGAGACAAGCTTGTTCGAGTTTCACTTCCGAGTTCTTGCTGTTTGCACTGGCCTGACTGGGCACACTGCCACTTGGACAACTCCCAATATCATCTTGATCATCACTGGCCTCCTTGGCCATCCAGTTCTGGTGCTCAGAAACTTCACAAATGCTGGATCTATCCACAGTATCTGGCCTCAAATTCCACGATTCTGGGTGGCCAGTACTTACAGGCAAAGCTTCTGCCTGACTAGACATGATGGACAACACGGGCTGGTGCGGCAACCTCAAGTCCACGTGCTTTTGTGTACAACCACACACAGGTCAAAGGCCATCGATGATCTGACGATGTCGATTTGCATAACACCAAGACCTACATAAACATGGTGCTTAACAGCGATTGTGAATGAATGCCCACCAAAGTACGACCAACATCGAGATAGTCACGTCCTAAAATACGCGCTTGAGCACCGCCTTGTTGCACAATTCAGAGGACAGTATCGCAACCCAGCTCATGGGCTGCCAGACAGTTAACTTTGTGAGGAGTATTACGAGACTTGACGCTCCTAACCGACCAAAAAATGATACATTCTACCCAGAACCGACGTCTCAGACGTCCGTACGATACCACTCGTACACTGTACATTATGCGTGCACCACTCGATGCTTTCGTGTACAAACGCATTGACCACGTACGCATAGAATGATGTACATGTATCTTCAATACATCACGTTCACCAACGTTAAGAAAACGTTCAATCTTCGTCACGAGGGGGCGCTATTCGTAAAAGCGTTGCCGGTTAAAAAAGCTGCCACATGAATGTCTCAATAGTTGGAAGCAAAATAATTACTGTGTGTCAGAGCCGCATATGGACAGTTCTAAAGCAAAAAATAGCTGCAAGCTGTAGTGCACGCATAGTGAATAGCAGTTTTGGTCCCAACGTCTGAAGATGGCGCTACTCTATTTATTATGCAGCTTTGGAGCGCTAATGCGCTCTGGAGCGACTAACATAAGGTGGTCCTCTTTTAGTGTCCGGCCCAAACCGTAATACACACTCGGAGACATTTGGGATGTGACTGTGAAAGCCTCCGAAGAATATTGAAAGTTAACTGTCTAATCGTCTTGTAAAACACTAATTTAGGTGCCAGGATAAGAAGTTTTTTTCTGAACAAAATTAGCAGTTGGACACATTAGCACTGGACAACTTGCCCCCTGGCCCTGCCAGGCTCCCAAAAGTGGATGGGAAGGGGGGTGCTATGGGGATTTACCCTTGAGTCAAGCTTTTGGAAAAATGAAAAGAAAGGGCGATGCTTTGGGTACGTCTCATTTCAATTTCAAAAACATAAAAAACGCCTCCAAATACAACTTCACCCCTCAGGACGACCGTAAAAGGTTTCATTATAAAATCCAAATTGGAAAAGAAAAGTTTGTCCCCACCAAAAACTTTGGCTCTGAATCTGTCTGTCCTAGCCGTCCCTCATTCTGCCCCCGCTTGCCGTCCCTCCTTCTGCCCCCGCTAGATACCCTAGCCTGTTAGGACTGGGACATATGTTTGGTGACGTAAAGGAAATACAGTAGAACACTTACAACATTATTAATAACAAGGTCTTTTTGGATCTTTACAAATTACCTTGTTTTAACAAGTATTATCAATAACAGAAAAAAGAGAGACTTGGGACCTGACATTTTGTTTGTTATGAACATGAAATTGCTTTATCAGTGCTCTTCCTATTGTGTGTTCAAATAATTACGTCGGTGAAGACGAGCGTACCGTGCCCTGGCCAATATGTTTCATTGAAACTTTCTCACGTGACCACTGATTTTACACTCTCTCGGCAAGCATTTCATTAATGAGCCCCGAGCTGGACCAAGAGAGGGCGCAATTTTCTTGGCAACGGAGGTTCCTCTGGTACTAGTGGCGCTTGACAAACTATTTGCAAGCGTTAAGGTTGTATCGCTACAAACATAATGAACACTCTTATCAATATGGCTCTCCTCAACCGATGAGGGAGTGCTTCTGCTCAAGGCGTATTCCTGCCGGCAAACGTATTCTGTGATCCCACTTGCAGTTTACAATGAAAGGTGCCGGGATAGAGATATTTCTATAAATAAAGAATTTAGGTCTTGTGGATTCCATCTAAGGGTATTTTGGTCAAAATTTCCAACTTGTAGATCTGTTTTGCATGGAGGCAGGTCACTTCTAGGGAGGGAAAGATTTTAAAAAAAGAATGTTGCTGCTAACACCTGTGAGATCGGAAAGAAAATTGCCACTGTGGTCATAATCCTGCATTTTCAGGGAAACGCATTGCTAACGGGTTCTTGGGCGTCACTAGGTGGCGCCATTTCTAATTTGGACCTTTTTTTGAAGGCGCCAACCGTCAGGGAATGTTTTGGGGGGCATGTGTTGATCAATTCCTGAGTCCAGACTTGCTTATATCTGACTAGTTTGAAGCTGTTAGGATATAGAAGTTTAGGGATTAAGAGCCGATGAAAGATCTTTCACTCATGGAAAAAATCAACTAATGAAGATAATCTCAGTTTTTATGCATTTGTTTTATTCGTTCAAATCAAAACTTAAATTTAGCATGCACCAAGGTTTTTGGTCCTGGTCTTTGAGATCGAATCATAATTATGAGGTCATGATATCAAGAACACAGGTTTTTCCAAGTAAGACAGTTTTGAGACAGGAAAGAGACCTCAGACGAGGTTTGTGTAAGAGCAATGGAAGGAAAAATTCGAAAGGTCCTGTGATCCAGCTTTTTATTGTCATTTGAGATGTCCCAAACAGGAAGTGAACAAAGGGGAAAAGCTGGTAGTCGTTAATTAAGTGTGTAAACTTTGCTTGTTAAGAGCATGTTCCTCTTGCTGGATTCCAAAATTGTTTCGACAATAATTCATTTTGATATTTGTTTAATCACAGCTCTATAAGCTAAAATCGGTAGTCGAATACCGAGTGACTGCGTAGGTCTCTTCCAATCAGCGTCGCGTCCGTCCCTTGGCCACCGGTGAGTCCCTTTCTAACACCGGACGGCACCTCCAGAAGTGGATGATAACCAGCTACAGTAGTTGGCGATGTTGGTGTAGACACCAGGGTACCTAGAATCAGCGCAGCCGTAACCCCAGCTGACAACGCCCCGCAGTCTGGTGCCGCTGCTGTGATAGTTAGACCCGTAGTTGCTGACAATTGGGCCACCGCTGTCACCCTAATGTGGGGAAACCAAGCAATTCAAAGCCGTTAATCTTTGTGAACGTTAATGTGTGTGCGTGCCTGTCGCGGCGCCTGCGCCTCTGCACCAACATGCACCGCACATGCGCAGTCCAACCGAAATGGCGCCCATGCGATAACGACGTTTTACACGTATTCACGGCGAAGTTCCCCATCTTGCGCCGCTAAGCGGCGCTTTAAGATCTTTGATATCGATCGGGAGTCACGCTGGCCGAAGTAAATCTACAATGGCATGAATGCGGCAAGCTTAGGGAAAGACAAAGGGCTACCTTCGTCACATTTTATATTGACTTTAAGGACGATTCAGGCAAGATAGCGAAAACAATGAGCTACGTAACTCGGCAACCACGCCTGCCAATGCCAACACCTCCTCCAAAAGAGATGGCTTCAAGGTGGTCCCAAGAAAGTTCAAGGGGATTGTTCACAGCGTACTAGTCTTGCACGAACATTTCACTTCAGGTCTGCGCATGCAATATACATGCAGTGATGTCAACCCCTCCACATGTATCTCGCCCTTGAACCAGCGAAACAAAAATGACCTACCTGGCAGGAGTCTTTTCCGGAAGCAGCCGCGCAATACATGTTGCTAGTGATCGATGAGGATCCATAGGCTTTTTTGCAATCACTCGTAGACTTTGCTTTAACCACCACTTCTCTCAGCTTCCTGGAACTTGACCCTCCACCTCAATAATTAAACGAAAGAGGCTTTGTTATGCAGTGAACTTGATCCATACACATCCATAAGCACTCTTCACACTGTGTTAAAAGAAGTTGGATTGAAAATCCTATGCCCAATGATAGGCCAAATCTCTTTGAAACTACCCAGCGAGCCAACTTATCAAAATGCCCAGCCAGCCACGTTTGATTGGTTGGTTGTCGCCAAAGGATTTGTGTGGAATGCCAACGTTTCGACTTTGGACGTTTCATTGATCTTAGGTAAGAAAAAGGTCCGTTTCACATATTCAGGAGTGCTAACCCTGTGGTCTCCACGAGAAAAGTCTACGGGGGAGGGGATTAGCCTGTTTTGATCTTGGCCACGACAGACAATTAATTGAAACCAAGTGGCGTGTACCAAGAGATATCCGCGGTTTCCGAATTGTTGCAGTTAAATCTAACTCAGCCTTATTAAGATAAATGCTAATAAGCCTGTATAGTATTTGAAAACGGCCAGGTCATTCGAGAGCAACGCACCCGCCATCACGCAGTTTGATAGTGTTCAGTGCGTACGCGTGGATCGGCGCAAGGCTGTCTAGATCCAACCTCGTTCCCATGGGTAGATCTTGCCGCACCGTGTTAGGTCTCACTATGGATTGCGCGATCTAGTGAAGGAACGCGCACGGAGCCCATGGAGTCGAGGTCGGTCTAGATCAGCCTCGAGTGTGCGTATTGGTGAGGGTGTGGAATAAGCGAAGAGCGTCTCACCTTTAGCTTACGCTGTTGAATATCAAACGCATTCTTTAAAGGTAGACTTACTTGACGTTGTTCCCCATCCGCTCACGAGCAGGCTTGTCCCCGAAGAAGGCTTGCTGCTGCTGATGCTGATGGTTGAGATCTTTGAGCTGCCGGTGTTGGCACTACTGTCCAGTTTGATCAAGGCGATATCATTATCAAGGTTGCCGCTGTTGTATGACGGATGGCGACGCCAAGTCCCCCTGATAAACTGCTGACCGGACCCGCTGTGGCTGTACTTGTCATGGTATCCCAAACCTACGTAGACAGAGCTGCCCTTCCTTTTTTTTCACAAACGGAAAGCAATAAGCGAATAGTAAAATAGAAAACCTGGTTAACAAAACATTAAGGGTAGCCTATTCACGTGTTCCTTAAAACAGAGCCATATAAGCTGGGACATAAGATTGGCGGGGGACGTCATTTTGTTGTTAAAACAGTGGGTTGCGGCAGGGTCAGAAATGACACTAGGACAGATCAATGCTGGTCCAACCTTTCGTGCGAAGGAGCAAAGAAAGGACCCAAAAGGTATATGAAAACTAAATCATCGCTAGGGCTGGCTCTGCCGCGCGATGGCCTCGCATACAATCAGGCAGGCAGATGAAGAGAATAAATAAATAAACCCTATCCAATCCCTAGACATAACTTAACAAACTATCTGCGAGTTTATTTCTTTTCAAAATGATTACATTATGTACCATTTTGCTGGTAAAATTTTCATAGGCCTTTCTACCTTCGCGAAAACATATCAAGCATAAAATAAATTATGACAAAGGGATAGTTAGCCTACGTGTTGGTCCCTTCTGCGAATGTGACTGAATAGTAATGGTCGGGTGACTTGAATCAAAGGGATAAAAAAGAACTACTGGGTCATACTTACACGCAGTGGGCGGCTGTAACGACCCATCTTGAGTTGACGAGGGTACCACCACAAAACTGGAAGTTACCACTGCTCGAGTCATAGAGGGCCACCTGGTAGGGTCTGCTGTTTGCTTTGGACTCATACCCGCCGACGATCTGTTCGCCGAGAACTGGTGCTGAAATAAGTATGGTTTGAACAGAAGTCATAATAGCGAAACTCGAGTGTGCGGTGGTTATGCTTTAACTCTAAAGAGAAACCATTAATTTTGCTTTATGGTAACTTTTCTAAAGCTGTTATACTTTACACGTAATTCATCAATCGACTGTGAAAGCCACCAGCCAGTAGTTACAGCCACTTCTTATAGACGCATGTATACTCCTAGTCGTAGCCAGTTAATCTAGACAGGACTCAATTTTCACCTTTCAGCAACATGCTTCCTTTGACCCATCCATGCTCATAATAAGTACACACATCTAGGCTGATAAATGTAAACAGTTCTCATTTATATTCACTAGAACCAAATGTAACTATAGTAATATTTTTTCCGTATGCATTCTGCTTAATATATTAAGCTACAGAGATGGCCATGATAGCGTATATGCCACGTTCATACTGAACGGTTTGCATCGCACATGAACACAATCTGCATCAACTTACCGAGTACTGCCAGGAGGCAAGCCAGAGGAACGAAGAACTTCATGATGAATATTGCCGTTGATACTATACCAGTTGTTTTCTTGAGACTTGAGCCCAAAGTACCGAGATGAGTGATTGTGGTGCTGTTTTATAGCCTGAATCAGGCTAGCAGTACGTGCCGACAGTACGTGCCGGTAGTACGTGCCACAAGCGGCGATAACCAGCCGAGCGCGGGTTGGTCGCTGACAAGACTTCTGGTAGATTTTTGTCACCTATCGTTTATCTTTATCGAGATGTTATCAAGCAAAAGAACTCAACTACAAAACAGTACCTAAACCACTTTTGGGAGGTGGCTTTTTTATCTGGCATCTCTTTGAATGGAGAATTCAGTAATGGAGGTCAGATACACGCTACAACGTTGAGCTGATTATTGTCTGGTGTGTAATGGGAACTCTAGGTAAAACAAACGGTAGATGTTTCTCCACATTTTCAAACTTTTCTATTCCAGTTCAAACAGTTAAGTTCAGATTTGTCTCGGGAAAACGCGCAAAATGCTGCACTGAATTTAATCATCGGTCACTCCAAAATAATGACCAATGGTTGTGATCCTTTCGACATTGTTTGGCCATTCAATTTAGTCAGATTGAAATCGCCGTACCCGATGATTACGCACATAATTTAAGGACTGAATTAGACTTTGTTCGACGAATTCATCGGTCGATGTACGACCATGCACAAAGATAGATAGACAGTATTCAATCATGTGACAAAATTGAAAGAAATTATCGCAAGTTGACATTCTAATGTTGCATCTATCGTACGTTCGGCAAGGGTGGACGACAACGCCCAATAGTCTTTCATTAAAAAGTGTGGCATTGCAAAAAACTGAACAAAATCCAAAATTAACGTCTAAATATTAAATCAAGCATATAAAAAGCAATGGAGTTTAGAGACGAAGGTGGAGTTTAACAAAAATGTATGAAAATTTGCGGGAAACCTAGAGTAGAGCTAAATACATGGTTTTTCATGAGCAGGTGGTGCAGAGCAAAGTGAGGATCTGCTCATCATCCATTACCGTGTCATTAAAAAACTTCTGGAGTCCTAGAAAGACTGTAGGCCTATACGGTTGAAGACGTAAAGAACGTTTTGACACAGACCTACCTTTGCTTAATTGCTACCAAAAGTTCGAGGCAAAATTATCAAAGCTTTTATCAACCCCGTTACGCAAATTACCAGTGAACCTCCGCTACAAGCGCAGATAAAAATATTGATTATTCTCCACCAGAAATAAAATTGAGTTACTAAGCCAATAACTTATTTACGTCGTTTATAAATCACAACTTATGATCAGTAAACGGACAAATATAAAAAAATCTGACAACAGAATTGGCTCATTTTGCGTGCATGCTCCCACGGGGGGTGGGGGAACAGCTTGACTGCCGCAACCAAGCGTGTCAAATTCTCCCGTTGGCTTGAGCTAAAGGGTTGCTTTTAGCATTACAGTCCAGCTTTGCAGATGAAAATAGGATATCTGTCCACCCTAAAGCAGATAATGTCATGATGGGAGCCTATGTACAACACTGTGGTTCAGCTTGTCACTAATTTCCACGATTTTGTCATGGCGTATGGAAAGAAGATCTGGCTGACTGCCCCACACATCCCAGATGTAAAGAATTCCATAGCAAAGTCTACATCGCGTAATTTTCGAAATGACTTTAGGTGGAAGCCACTAAAAATCTGACAATGATATTCTTGCATCTAGTTTAAATCTGCCAAATTTTGCTTCGTGTTTTGCGGCAAGCAGACGACAGCCATCCCTACAGACGCGCGCGCTTACGTTGGACTTGTTCGTTGGTAAAGTACAATCGCTTCTATGTCTGCTCCATTCAGTTTGATTAAACAGAGTGCTCGCTGTATTAGTTATTAAGCAGGGTGAGGTTTTGGCCATGTCATACTCAAGCATAGTTTCTGACAACACTATAGCTGCGGGCAAGAATCCCATTTACCTTGCCAATAAAACGTAACTGCCTTCTCTCCCTTCCTTGATCCAGCCAATGTGCGACCGTCTGAGGCTGACGGCATGTTACTTGCCAGGGAAGCGCCCCGCGCTGACATCAATTAAGGCATTTCAGGACTCACTTTCCAAATGTTATCGACCCATCTTGGCGCTTTACCACACAACCAAACAAAAGTGCCACGAGTCTGCACTCAGGAGATAGATTTGTAGTTCTGATAATGGAAAGAGCCTCATCCAACTTGACAAACTCTGGTATCATTTCTTGGCGAGTCAATGTAACAGCTTAAACCTTACTAGGATTAATTTGTCAGCACTCGTCACATCGACACAGGGGACCGAAGTTATAGTTCTTATTCGCTAGTCAGGGGACTGATGACAGGAGCGTTTGACCTGAGGCCCATGAGAGCCTGCCACTAACATAGGCCTACGTGGAATGTGACAGTGGTTTTCAGAAATTTACCAACTCGAGGGTCCAACTATCCATGCCCCACCTTGAGCAGAAGTACCCCCTCATCGGTTTTAAATGTGGTTGGGAGTGTTCATTTCATGTTGGAAGCAACGCAACCTTGGTGAATGCATTTCATAGTCGTTTGTGAACCAGCGAAGTGCAGTTCCCTCCAAAGGAGCCTCGGTTGCTTGGAAAATTGCCCCCTCTCCTTAAACAACTCGGGGCCCAAAGGGACTTTCTTTTAATGACCTATTTCAATGACGTTGGTTCTTCTTGTGGCTCTAACATCGGAACAACATTGCCACACGTCATCACAACTGAACCCATTGATCTCCATTGTCTTTATTTTAAAGATCAATGACTGAGCCCCAATTCTGTCCAACTTGGGACAAATCTTGTTAAACTGAATTGCACTCCCATCATGTACATGTTTAGTGTATGTCTTAAAGGTTTAAAGAGAAGAGACTCCCACGAAGAAGTAGGATCAGGGACAATAGACCGCCGGATCAAACCCTTTCAGTTGATGCTATGAACATATAGAAGAAATGACCATCCATACCGCATGCTCAGCCTTGTAACAAAGTGTTCCATTGCAAATAATTAATGTGATACACCGAGCACACTATACGTTTTGTTTAAACTAACTGAAGCCTTTTACTTGGCTGTTATTCAATACTCTCGTCACAGGTCAGATTTTGATTTTTGTCTTCGTTTTCTTATCTCTTGTTTTGTTTTAATGATATAGCCCGATGGGTAACTTAAAATCCGATATACTGGCACTTTTTTTTAATTTACCGAGAGGTATTTCTTTACTCACCTGTGCTCGAAGCCGAAGTTCACACCATTATGCGAGGGCAGATTGATAAAGGCTTTGATGATTTTGCCTTGAGTATTGTGCAACACGAATGCAGGTATTTGTCCAGGCTCTGGCCTTTTGTTTTTCACGTAAATACATGGCCCATCCTCTAAAAAGTCTTAAAAGGTTGCGATCCTGTTTGTGACTTTGGTGTACTGCCCGGTTTATAGAAAATAAGTCACGTCCGAAAAGTGGTTTCGATATTGCTTTGTGGTCGAGTTCTTTTGCTTGTTTACATCCCGATAAAGATAAACGACAGCTGCAAAGAATCTTCGACCTAAAGTCTTGTCTCTGACCGACCCGGGGTCGACTGGTTAATTATTGCCTCTTATGGTACGTACTACTGGCACGTACTACTAGTCCGGTCCTGGCTATAAGAACACCAGAATCCCCCATTTTGCTAGTCTGGTTTTATGTCTCCAGCGACTAGCTGCATAAACTCGGTGGCTTGCTGCTAGCAGTAATGAGTAAGTTGATGCAGATTGTTCAAAACCACTTGGTAGTTGTATTTCGAAAGGCTAGGGGCGATTCGCAAAACAGAGTCAATTGGTTTCCACAGAAAGGCATTTTTTTTAAAGTTTACGGCCAACAAAGTCGTCGTTTCGCATTTCGGCTTTTAGCTAGACAACTTCTGGAGATTTTTGATAGGTTGAGGCATATGCTAAGTAAGGAAGAAATGGTTGATTATTGCTACCCAAAATACACTTTAAAATCTTCTCACTTGGCAAACGAACCTTGGGAATTAGTCAAGTTCCCCACGTGAAGTCGACGAGTAGAATTTGCAGACACTTTCCCACAATGCACTGCGAAGGTCATCACGCCGTCGCCGTTTCGTCTCGAGCCCGGACACTCTTATTGAACGTTGCCCCCGTTCCAGCTCATTTTGCACCGTCAAGGATGCCATCTGTGGAGTCCAGCATTCTTCAATACATAGGGCCTGTCACGCTCTCTAAGATCATCTTATTTGTATAAAATCAGTCTTGATTCTTTATCCTTACCATTATAAATTAGTGCCAATCAGCACCTTCTTTGTTATCCATATTTTTTTACAAAGTGTAACATTCTCATTAATTCATAACTGTTTTGTTCTGTATCCGTGTGATCTTGTATGATTTCTTTGTTACGTCGGAGAAAATTCAAGCTTACAAATTCTTAAATAGTTTGGAGTTTCTCAGATCGTATCACACGTAAAATTCCTCGCTTACCATAGGTGGCTTAGGAGGCGAACGAGCGGTGCGTTCCTAGTTGACATGGGTTTACGGTACGTTATTTCCGCCTGGACACGGTCATAATAAATGTTCGTTTTGTTCACAACCAGCATTTTCCTCGCGGATTCACTTTGTTTATATTCATGTGTTTTGGGGTAGATTTTAATCTTGGAAAGCTTAAGTGTGTGTGAGACCAATTTAGATCTTCAAGGCCGTAACATCGAGTGTGTGAGCTGAAAGTGTTTGCAAGTGATCGGTATATACGTACTTCCCTAAGGTCTCTGAAGAAGCGGATGACGATCGGCCGGAGAAAATCTAGTCCAGGTACGATCCGATGGTCAGATCTAGCTAAATCTAGTACGATCCTTCAGAATCCGGTCCCAAATTTTTGCCACACTCAGCTAAGAAACCGTCAAATTGCGTTACCTGAAATAACCATGGCCCTAACCTTTGGGTTTTGAGAATTCCCCTTACATCCCACTACAGCGTAGGATAGTTCGAATTCCGGGTAGCCTGTAACAGCTAAGTCACTCCTTGAGAGGAGAACCTGACTGGACCGCCACGGAACCGACCAAACTCACGGTTACGGAGTAGAAACTCACATCTTTACTTGTCAAGGGAGTAGCCACATTTGTCATGGACTCACTGAATTTGATTTAAGAAAAGAATTTAACAATTATCCATAAATAACATTTGCTCTCGCAAATCTGGTAAAAGAGTAAAGTAATAAGTTATAAGTAATCTATCACTCCAAATTTAAGGGCGCACCGAACAAATCGTTAATCTGACTTGGACTCCGTTGTAAATAGCGTAAATAATCTGAAATTGTAAATACACAAACGTGAATTTTAAAGACTGATCTCAGATCACTTTTTCAACTGGCTGAGATATATCTTTACCCTGAGTCACTACTATCATATGACAAAATTGTTCAGTTTAGAGAAGTGGTGACATCGTGAAAGTTTGAGAAGATAGCATACAAAAATGGTTTACCTTCTCATCTAAGAATTATTATTTCATTGCTTATTGTTTCTTTGCTGTTTTTACGTGAATGCATTTTGAGTGTCCTTGGTGAAACATACAGCAAAGCAGTGAGTATGGTAAAATAAACAGGGTACCACACAGTGAGCCGAATTATTAGAGATTTTTATTAAATTAGTCCGTTATATATCTACAACTATCATCTGAATCTACTTGGATCGTCTGAAGTTGAGTACTTACAGGGTACTCAGATCCATTGATCCAAAATTTAAACGGCCGTTACTTTAAAAGTCATCGCAAGGTTTGGGACGATATATAAGGAAAATCGGGTTGGTGGTTGATTTATTATTGGGTAAACTTTTGCCATTTCACTGTGCCATCTAAGGGCTAGTCAAGCGACATGAGCTACATTCAAAAGAACCCAAAGAAATACATTTTCTATTAAATACACCAATTTGTCGGGACAAAATAAGCAGTAATATTATGGCGGTAGCCCTTCTGGCAAGCATAGAAAATATATGTTTCCAGCAAGTCGAGGTGCATTTTAAATACTCGATTGTGCCTAAAATAGTAAGTCCTAAGCCGTATGATCTTTGTTTTATGAACTGGCCAGGGTTGGGTACATCGACGGACTATTCTTGGCTTTTTTCTGTGAAAAGTTTGCGAAGTGCGACCAAATAATACACGGACGCGTCATCGATACACCCACACCAGCGTGTAAACATTATGCTCAGCACTAAATTTGCATGCTTCACTCCGGCTTGGCGACTATGTCAAATTTACCCAGCTGGCTTCTGGCGGTATCAATCGTCTCGAGCGCAGACCTCATTTGACGGGTCTAGGCTATAAGTTCGTGAGTTTTGATGCCTCAGTCTATGTTACAGAAATTGAATGGTAACGCAGAAAAATGGGTCCAATTCTTGGGTGGCGAATGAACACCCTCCATTTTTATCTGCATTCGATTCACATAAATATGTATATTGTAATGGGTGGGTGGGTGGGGCTCGTTGAGTTAGAGAATGATGAGACCCTGGCGTATGTACCCACTGTATACTTACAGGTGTCTGGCCTGCTGTTTGTAGTTTCAGTCACTGAGTCAGCAGATGAGGGAGGGGCGGGGACGAGCGAGGGGGAGAAATCCGAAGTGTCAAATAACTTGCCTAATGAGGGGTCGAACGGTGGGGTTGGGGAGGTTGAGGCAGTCCAGACTCACCAGGAGGCTTTCACCATCAGAAGAAGAAGCAGTCGACTAAGAAAAATGCGCAGGCGCACGCATAATTAAGCGACAGACCATGAAGATTCTACTTCACTAGGACATGTGTTGTTATTAATTCCCGAATACGGACTTGCATAGCCGAATAGTTTGAATCCGCGAGTATCGATGTTTGGGGACCGAGAGGGCAAAACAACAACAACAACAACAACAACAACAACAACAACAACAACAACAACAACAACAACAACAACAACAACAACAACAACAACAACAACAACAACAACAACAACAACAACAACAACAACAACAACAACAACAACAACAACAACAACAACAACAACAACAACAACAACAACAANAACAACAACAACGACGACGACGACGACGACGACGACGACGACGACGACGACGACGACAACAACAACAACAACAACAACAACAACAACAACAACAACAACAACAGCAGCAGCAGCAGCAACAGCAGCAGCAGCAGCAGCAACAACAACAACAACAACAACAGCAACAGCAGCAGCAGCAGCAGCAACAGCAGCAGCAGCAGCAACAACAACAACAACAACAACAACAACAACAACAACAATTTGAAGACATATACAATTTTCTTATGCTATCAGATTGCTTTATTTGGTCAAATCAAATCAAAACATGCTCCGAGGTTTGGGTCCTGGTCCGTAAGATCCAATCGTGTGAAGTCATGATCGCATAATAACACGGAGCTGTCCAATGAAGACATTTTGGCAGTGTTGTAGTTGAGACCGTGCACAAGACCAGACACAAGACCACACACAAGACCAGACACAAGACCATGGGTAAGACCATGGACAAGACCATGGACAAGACCATGGACAAGATCATGGACAAACCAGTCAGAAGTAACAGGGTGAACTATGACAAAGGAAAGCTTTTGTTGCAGTTCATTTGAATAGCTTGTGACTTGAATTCAGACTGGAGGCCTTGTGTTGGTCTTGTGCTGGTCTCGTGTGGTCTTGTGAAGGTCTGAAGTGGTCTCACTGCATTTTGGAGACCGGAAAGACAATTCAGTTGTGGTTTTTATCGGAGAAATCGGAAGAAAAGACAGAAATGTCTTATGACTCAGCTTTTTTGCATTCTTTTGCACTCCGTTTTGCATCAATTTGGACCACATGTCAGTTTTGTCCTAATTAAAGAAATTGAAGAATTTATGTGCAAAAGGAGAGATAAGTAGTAGCAAAGTGTGTATAGTTCATTTCTAGAGTGCTTCAGTGCTGTTTCATATTTGGATTCTTAATTGTTTTGACAATAGTTTATTTTGAAATTTTGCATAATCTCAGTTCGATTTAGCAAACGTCTTAAGTCGAATGCCAAGAGGCAGCGCAACCGATGCACCGTCGTAGCTCCTGTGCATGATTAGTATAAATGCGTCCGTCCCTCGACTACACCGGTGGCTTCCTTTTTAACAGTTGACGGCCCCACTGGTAGTGGATGATATCCAGCTACAGTAGTTGGCGATGTTGGTGTAGACGCCGGGGTACCTAGAATCAGCGCAGCCGTAACCCCAGCTGACAATGCCCCGCAAGGTCGGGTTGGGGGTGCTGCCGCTGACGGGGCTAGACCCGTAGCTGCTGACAATTGGGCCACCGCTGTCACCCTAGCGAAGGGAACAGGAATTCAAACCGTTGAAAGCCATTATCAAAGTTCTGCCCACAGAGACCCATCATCCTCAAACCAGGATGGAACGGGTTATTTAAGGAAGAGTTGGGGGCATCCCGCTCGCATACGACAGGTATAATAGTCGATTCCATCATACAAAGTGTCAATCGGAAGTCATGCCGGTCAAAAGTAGGTCTACAATGTCATATTTCAGCTGGGGGGGGGTCGACAAAGGGCTGTCTTCGTCATATTTTATATTGATAGTGAAGACGATCTTCTAAAGATAACGAAACCAATGAGCTCATAAGCATTCCAAAGCCAACACCTCCTCTAAAAGAGATGGCTTCAAGGTGAACCCGAGAGAGGATATTGTCCATAGGGTAATTGCACGAACGGCTAACATTGTACAGGCCCCTCCATATCTCGCCCCCTGTACCAACGAAACAAAATGGCTTACCTGACAGGAGTCTTTTCCGGAAGCAGCCGCGCAAAACATGTTGCTAGTGATCGATGAGGATCCGTAGGCGGTTTCGCATTCACTCTGGGACTCCGCTTGGACCACCACTTCCCTCAAAACGCTTGAAGATGAACCCCCACCTATCATCACCATGAAAAAAGCGTTCAAACTTTACTACATTGAGTCAGATCCATGCACATCCATAAGCACTCTTTGCGCTGTGTGAGATAAATGTGGATTCAAAATCCCAGACCCAACCAGCGTTACCCACCAGGAAAATAACTTATGGGCCACCCAGCGAGCCAAGCAATCAACATGCCAAACCATCCATAATGCCATCGTGATTGGTTGTTCGGTTGGCTTAATGTGACTTCTAGATTTGGGCCTTGGGTATAGCTTGACATGGAGAACCAATTATGCGAACGAATTGTCGAAAATTGTCAAGGTTTTCGACTTGGGATGACAACAGTAGTGTTATATTGAATTTGGGGGTGGGCCAGAAAAGGGGAATTTCCCTTTTCTGATTTCGTAAATAAGAAAATTGTATTAAAAATAGATGGTACTTCGGGCGACGAGAGTAGTACATAACCAAGAGATATTCGCGGGTTTCACATTGCTGCAACCTTATTCTGTATAAGTTTCAAAGGCATTCACAATACGGGCGATTCACGGTAGTTCACCACCAAGAGTCTGCAACGTATTGGCCAATCACAATGCGAAATCTATTGACCCAATGCACGTTCAGAAAAAGTTGACGACAACGTTGCAGACTCTTGGGGGCGCACTATTGTGAATCGCCCGTATTAGCCAGATCGGTATTTCAGAAAGACAAGGTCATTTGATATTAATGTTCCTGACTTTACACCAACTTGTTAACATGTTCACTGCCTGCGGAGCCGCACGTTACCGCCCAGAGGATCAACCTCGCGCGTGCGTATGACTGATCTGGTATGCGTTGTCTGCTTGACATAATTCAAGGCAAACCTACTTGATGTTGTACCCCATCCGCTCACGAGCAGGTTCGTCCCTGAACCAGGCTGGCTGCTGCCGATGCTAATGGCCGCAATCTTTCCGTTGCCGATGTTGGCACTGGTGCTTAGTTTGATCAAGGCGATGTCATTATCGAGAGTACCGCTGTTGTATGAAGGATGCTGATACCACGTGCCCGTGACAAGCTGTTGACCGGACCCACCGTGGCTGTTCTTGCTGTGATATCCCAAACCTACGTAGAGAGTTCTGCTTGACCTTTTACCAATAAAAAGCGAGAGACAAATGTTAAATGCAAAACCTGGTAAACCCGGTGGGTTTTGGGCATGCAACCTCTTTCCGTTTTCCTTTGCGTTGCAAGCAGGGTTGCGCGATTCGGTCGGAAAATGAAACATTGATCAAAGTCGAGCGATTCTTTCATGCAAAACACGTATATCCTATGCAGCATGCCAGTTGGGTATGCTTGTAGGATAGGTTAGAGCCAAAATCCTTTCTAAAATGGAGCTTGTGGCAAAAATCCCTAAAGATGCTTTCGCCTCGCAATGGCCTCACGCACAATTTGGCAAATGTAAGAGGGATGTTTAACAAACCATGCCCCATCCCTTAAAGTATTAGCCAGTTTTTTTCAATTAGACGTACCGTTCTTGCTGGTACAATTTTCCCTGGAGATTTTTGCTTTCGCAAACCGCAAGCACCTGCCTATTAGGCCTGCAGAAATGATGGGAGTTCTTATGTGCCAGCCCCCTTTTTTGCTACCTGTAGTCAAATGATCCCTCCGGTGCACCAACACCTTTATTCGGTTGCTCACAAGCCGTCAACCGCTGACGGCCTATATAAAAAGGTTGTTATAGACCCCACAATCCCTTCTAATGACGTTTAATAAATGGATCAGTGGGTGTCCCTCAGTGCCAGCAAATAAAGAAAAAAAAACTCACAAAAACGTCAGAGTAGGGTCACGATACCCTTTTCCAGTCAAGGGGGCCGGGGGGGGGGCTCAACGGCTTAGCCATAGTCACCAATCAATCGACACCCCCCTACACATCAGAGAGACCGATATATATATAAGACAGGCCCTAGCTTGCCCAGGCAACGCTTGTGTAAACAATCCGATATCGCCACCTGGCACAGAGGTAATTAACACGTGATCCTATGGGATTTGGCCAGAGGCCGGCTCGGGCGTAGGTTATACCAGCCAAGGGAAAGTCTTTACCTCAAAGGTGACTAAACAAGGCTGTTCACCATGGACAGAGGTAGAATTAAATGGAAGGTCATTGCATTTGGCCGTATTTGGTTTTTTTTTATCAAGAAATTAGTAAAAAGGCCGTCAGCTATTGGCGGTGCTTGCTTCGTTTAAAGAAGGGCTGGTGGTGTGTCATACTTACACGCAGTGGGCTGCTGAAACGACCCATTGTTGGTTGACAAGGGTACCGCCGCAAAACTGGGAGTAACCACCAAAGAAGCTCTTGCTATAGAGAGCCACCTGATAGGGTCGGGAGTTGTCTGTGGATTCAACCCCGCCAACGATCAGTCTGCCGAGAGCCGGTGCTGAAATGGTTAAACAGATGTCATTACAAAAGGAATGGCTTTTTTTGTGTGTACGTGCTTTTGTGGTGGTAGTGGTGGGAAGTTTTATGGTTTGTCATTCTTCTTTTGGTGGGAAGGGTAAAGAAAATTTATTTGCTTATAGTTACTTAACTAAAGTGGGACTTCTTGACACCAACGTTCGCCTACGGAGGCTGCCAGCCAGTGACTGCAGCCACTTGCAATAGACGTGTGTAATACTCCTGCCATAGCCAGTTTATTGAGACAGGAACCAAGTAAGAACTGTTTTTCACCTTTTAGCATGCTTCCATCGACTCAACTATGCTCATAACTATCGAAGCTTACACACTATTACTACTAGAACCTAAAGTACGGAATGCATGCCACTGGGCTATCAGTAATATGTATTCTGCTAACTATGTAGCCTCATGAAATAAGGGTATATTACAAAGAGGCCCGCAACACTAGTATCTGTTAGGCTATACTGTTACTAAGTACGTCATTCATATTGCGCCGTTTGTGCAAGACATGAAGACAGTCTGCGTTGACTTACTCAGTACTGCCAGCAGGCAAGCCAGAGGAATGAGGAACTTCATGGTGAATGTCGCCGTTGATTCTTCAAGCCTTGAGATGTAAACTCAAAGTACCGAGCTGGAGGATTTCGTTGCTTTTTGATAGCTGAGACCGGACATAGTCGACGTAAGCGGCGATAACCAGGCGAGCGCCGGTTGGTCAGAGACAAGACTTCCGGCAGAAATTTTTCTTCCTATTGTCGCTTATCTTTATCGAGAAGTAAACAACGAAATAACTTGAAACCAATGCCTACTTTTTTATGGACGTATACGTATATCAAAGCAATGACAACATCACTACCAACAATATGGAACCGCATTCTTATTTTTTTCCAACCTTGTCACCGAAAGAAGTATTAATGCGGGACAGATCCTGTCAACACAGTTCAGCTTTGAAATGACAAATTCTTGTGTGAATTAGGAATCCTGGGTAAAATCAAATAGTACAGTTAAATGTCTGTACATGCTTCTCAACATCAAGCAGTGGATTTCATGAATGCATGCAGGGCTCACTAAGGATCCCATTAACACCAAATTACTGATCGACTCCATACCCGTCTTAATCCACTACTTTGAATTTGATTGACATTGAAGAGCCTTAAAAGACACGAATTATAATTTAAGACCTGAGTAACCTTTTACACAGATCTTTTCTTGCGTGTTACAGAAAAGTGGAGGAAAAAAATTATCAAAGTCGTTATCAATCTGAACACGAGAATTCCGTGTGAACCTCGGCTACTTGCGCAGATGGGCGACCAGATCCATTCCTGGTCATCTTAATAAGGGCCATTATAATAGAATACCCGCAAGAAGAATTTAATTTACCGACAGGAGAAGCTTATGTCGCTAACAGAACACAACTTGAGCCGAGAACAGGGACAGATGAAATTGAAATCTGACCTGTACGACAGTATTTAATACCAGCCAATGAAAGTGTGTATGTGATCTAGAAGGCTTAAACCGAATAAAATACTACACAATCATGAAAAGAAATGCTACACAGTTGAAATTTATCTTGTACGTGTACATAT